TCCCTGATATCATACTGTCGGTTCAAAACATAATGTGTTTTGAACCAACAGTATGATATCAGGGATCAGCAACATGGGCCTGCCGTTCTGAGGGCTCACCACCCACAGAGGGATCCAGGAGATGGTCAAAGGCGGAGACCTCGATAACCCGGTCCACACACACAGCATCTGTCTGTTGGGATGTGGAACATCTCCTCAATGGGGGAGAAGGAGCCTGATCTAGTGAGGGAGGCTGAGAGACACCGACTAGAAGTAGTCAGCCTCACCTCCACACACACTCTGAGCTCTGGAACCTCCTTGAGAGGAGTTAGCCCATCCACTTGTATGGAGGCGGCAAGCTGTGGTCTAGCCATACTCTTTGCCCCCATCTCAGCCACCACGTGTGAATGAGAGGGTTGCGTCCTTTCACCTCCGGGTGGGGGAGAAGTCACGCCAGTGACACTTGGAGAGGGGTGACCGGGAAGAACCCAGGCAGTGTTCAGTTGTTGGACTTCTGTGCTAGTCACAGTTTGTCCGTAATGAACACCATATTTGAGCACAAGGGTGACCAACAGTGCACGTAGCACCAGGACACCCTCGGCAAGTGGCCGATGATCGACTTGTTTGAAGGAAGAGATCCCAGATACAAGCGGTCAAAATAAGTTTCATCCACAGAGTGGCTGGGAACTTCCTTAGAGATGGTGAGTGAGGAGCTCAGTGACATGGGAGGAGCACAGAGTAGAGCTGCTAAAATTCTAATACACCTTTTTGTCTGTTGAGTCTCTCTTTTGGTTGGGACAGTACATATTAATTAACGCATCACTCCGGATTGTAGCCATGGGCTAATTTGCATCCATTGTCCCACATTCGCACTCACAAACACAAATTCACCCTGAACTATTGCACATGTTTTTAGTGGTAGGGGAAACCAGAGTACCCGGAGGAAACCAACGCAGACGGGGAGAACATGCAAACTCCACTCAGAAAGGCCCTGTTCCGACCGGGATTCGAACCTAGAAACTTTTTGCAGAGAAGCAAGAGTGCTATACACTCAGCCACCATACCGCCCAAATAAATATACTTAAGAGAAGGCCATACACACGACTTGCCAATTGTGTTCTACCCTAATGTACCCTACGTTAGGGATCAATCTAGAATAAAATACATTGATCCAGAGTGAATGAAAAACAACAACATTTTAAAAACAGGAAAATAAAAAAATTCATTCCAAATTTGGCCAATTGTGATGAATACAGTATTTGCAATGAATGAACAAAGTGAAAAAGTGTAGATTCTGGACACCTTCACTCCACAGCTCATCTATGAGACAATACCCCACTAGATGGTGATGACATCATCAGTATTGATTTTCCATTCCCAACTCTACAGAAGCCTCAGACATACAGTGTGTGCATGTACAAATTCATGAAGCAAAAGGTGATTTATTAGGATTCTAAGATCAAACTCATGACTGAGGAATGCTATGAATGGATTATGGGCCTTGAAATGAGAAACCATGCATTGACACAGATTAGGCCCATAACGTTTTAGTTTGCATGCTGCTATGATGACCTCTTTTCTCCTGCAAGAGTCACATGTTGCTCTACAGCCGCCTAAGAAATACATTAATGAATGCAAAAATGCACAGATGGGGAACTTGGCCCACCCACCGGACAGTACATGTCTCCATTTTTTTTTTTTGTATCACGTTAAATAGTATGTCATTACATAGTTGGAACCATTTTAATAATACTTAATTATGTTAGATACTATTCAAAGGACTATTTTGTGTTTAACTGATGAACAAAGTTAAACCTTTTATACATTGGATTGTTAGGATTGATACTTATGGCTAAAACTAAATATATTGTAACATACAGTATTACAGCCATAAAATCAAATGTATTATAATTTGTCATAATATTATCAGGAGAAAAAAGAACAGCCACAAGTCATATTTATGCAAGAAGTTAACTGTAACAGCAAGTTATTGCATAGTAATAGCAACATATTTTGTTTCTAGTGTTCTCTTACAATAACATGTAAATGTCACAGACAGAGTATGTGAAAAGAGGTGTGCAGAGCTCAGAGTTTGAGGCCCCGAGTTTGGGTGGCTGGCATTCAAAGGCACACTCTGTGACCTATGTGGTGGTCGGCCTGAGGGCTCTTCTCCTGGACGCCTGTCTTTGATCAGCTAATCACCTGCTCTGCCCCAGAGGAGGTAGGGGGAGACATGGTGCTGAACATACTGACTTAACCAAAGACATTTTCATTTCTAATGCTCATTTCTCACATGAGAATCACATGTTTGATTAGGAAAAGAGGACCACAATAACTAAGTCCCTATGAATAATGGTTTGTATAAATAACCACAGCCAGATTGCTTGAACAGGGTAAGAATAATACTGATAGGACTGTGTGCTTATGACAAAGAGCCTCATAAATGCAATGTGCTTAATGTGGACACACTCATCATAGTCCCATGTGTTCTCTGTCCTTTGTGAACACGATAGCAGAGTCCACAAAGATGTACATTGCAGACATATAAAAGTGCAGGTATTTCCAATGTCACAAGCACCACGTCCATGCCCTTGTTTAAAGAAATCCACATATAGACAACTGTCATTGTCTGGAGTCTGAAGAACTGCCTGTTCTTTATACAAAACCACAAAAAACACAAGGATGTGATGTGAAGACCATGCAACAGCCCAGATAAATGAACACTCTTGTTACATATGAACACATGCACACACCTGGCTGATGCAGCAGCATGTATAACTATGGCATCACACAAATTATGTTCACAAGCGTGTACGGGCTGTTGGAGAGTACTGATGCTGCAGTCATCTCTGTAATGTGATTAAGCAGGGGTTAATTCAGCATTGGGGGAACTCCGTGGATCCCCAGATGCAGGACCCTGTGTGTCTCACCTCAGCAGGTTGGGCAGAGGGGAGCCGGAGCCCAGTATGCCCCTCTTTCCGCTAAGCAGCTTCTCCACCAGCGCCACATTGCCGGTCCGAGCTGCCTCCAGCAGCTCCTGCTCCTTCCCCATGCTGGACGTAAGTTAACTACAACGGGGAGATGGATATCCCACAAATGTCCCATAAATCCACCGGGCTCCGTCCCCGGCTCAGAGCGTGATGCGGGGCAGCATCACGGGTCTTTCTTCCGCTGCATGCCGCCGCCAGAGCTGCAGAGCTGCTGATGCCCCGAGAGCCACGGGGAGAGTCAAGTGTGACGATAGGCTGGTTCTAGGCGCTATCCCCGGCCCCAAGATCTGCCTGTGTCCGCTCCATAGACAGTAGAAGACTCCGTAGTCTCTGGTCCGCTCTCTGCCATAGACTTTACAGTGTCTGCTCCTCTGCGCTGAGCGCCAAGAGCCACGCGCGCACGAGGGAGGTTCCGGAAGTCACTTAAAGCATAAAACTGCACTGTAGCCTTATTAACCAAATCAGAGTCACGTGTTCAAATACAGGCTTCTTTCTGTAATGGATGGCATGTAAATAATACTTAACTCTTCGCTACAAAACGACAGGAGAAAGTCCTGTAATTCCTCAGTTTATACATAATTGTGGTCAAATGTTGCCCCCTAGTTACAAATACTATTTTTTCCAATGTCTAACCTTTATGTTGAAAGGTCCCCACAGGACATGCACCTGCGTGTGCATGAGTTTTGGACGCAGACAGAAAGTGCTCCTCCACTACTACAGAATGGGCGTGGATAAAGATGCTGGAGCAGCAACCAGTAAAGCCTTTGTTATGGTGTCTAAAAAGTCCCCCATGTTCGTTTTTAAAACACATCATCATGCCCATTATTTGTATTTTATTAATAATTTTCAAGCAAATGGCCTGTGAGTGCATTTAGCTGTTTTTAGCTCAAGTACACAATATAACAATCTTGCACACGCAAACATAATGAATTAAATATTTTTATTGTTAGTACCTTTCAGCAGTTTTAATTAAACAAAATACACGGCATTGTTTTTTTTAAAACCATACTTTTAAGAGGAGGAAGCTATTGTTTTTTAATCAAACTTTACTTCTCATTCACAGAAAAGTCCTGGTTGAACAATCAGTCTGTGCATTGACAAAGCGTGTGCATGTAAAAACAAAAAAAACGACAGTTTCAACTCTTTAAATTACACAATTTATCAATGCATTTTATCAATTTTTTGTGTAGTGCTAATTGAAGAGCAGCAGATGTTGGACAAACTTAACAGATTGTATGCATATTCAGGGTAGTTGAAGTACCCTTAATTATTCTAAATCTTATTTTAAGAGATGCCAATATGAAAACAGCTCAAGACACTTAAGCAGAAGTCTCCCACAGTTTAAGGTGTATATACAAAGCTAGAAAGCCACACCTCTTCTATTTACATATAGAAAAATATGAAGACACATACAACATGTGGGTGGTTTTTTTAAACTGTTGAAATGAGATATAAAGTCACTATTTTTGGAATGAAATGCTTGTTCTGAATGAAGTACATTCAACATAAACACTGCATTCGATTTGTAGAAAACTTGTTCACATTTGTTTTATACGGTTCAAACAAACTTCTGATCATCTTCATGAATCAATATCTTCCCTTTACAAATATAAAGGCCTTTAAGTACCTTTGCAGTACCATGTACAGTGCAAAATAAGGAATCAGGACATTCTTTTAGGACATTCAGAATTTGTTCAAAAATCATCTTTAAATGCCTGGTGTTTATTAGGCACATCTGCATACATTATCTTCATGTAACAGACATAGCCTATTGTTACTTTAAACTTAATTCATAAATCCAATGGAAAACTTAATGATACAGAGGTATATATATATATAAAACATCCACTATATTGTCTTCAATTGCTTTATGAAGGAAACGTTTCATGTCACAATTGCAGACTTCATAAATAAGCACACATTATGGAAGCATGTTAGTCCAGAAATGCTTGCCCTGGCGAAGGCCGACTTGAATGATGTTGGTGACCAGTGTGGGCAGAATGTGTGACGGTGGACGGTGGAGGGCTGGCCTTAGCTGGGGCTCACTTTGAGACTCTTGAGTCTGTGCAAAAGAGAGTCCTTCTCCATTTGAGCTTCCGCCAGCGCCATCTTGGCTCGAGATAGCTCCACCTTGAGACACTCATTTTCTTCAATTAGCATCTGTTAAGAAATAGAAAACATTTCATTTGTTAACAATATATATGAATTTCTTTAACCACCTGATTCTAGGTCACGTGCATAATGTTGAAAAATAAAGTCATTTTGGTTCATTCTTTGTTTTGGTTCCTGCCACCAAAGTCTTAAAATGAGTAGCCCTGGGGATCAAATCTGTGCAGGAACATACCCAATGTTTTCTCACTCTTTTTATATGTCTAGAGAACTCTACCTTGTCACGTTCTGTGGGGTGTTCATTGTTATCCAAAACAAAAATATTCCCGCAACTGTATGTTGACTTGCTTATCTCCATGGAAGTAAGCAGATGTACATTAGAAGCAGGTATAATTATCTGCGGGGCGACAGTGGCTCAGTTGGTAGCGCATTGGCCATTGAGCCTGAAGGTTGTGGGTTCGCGCCCACCATGATACCTACTTAACAACTCCCACTGACGTCTGCTGTCGTTGTGTCCTTGGGGAAGACACTTATCCCCACTTTGCCTGAAGCCCCCACTGAAAGATCTCAGCTCTTGTGGACTCACCACCTGCAGGAGGATCAGTGAGGGGCTGGTGCTCTGTGTACTGGGTGCAGCTCTGACTACCACCACCGCCCGACCCAGAAATGGATTAAGGGGAAGAAAATGGATGGATGGATAATTATCTGCCCAAGGTCTCACCTATATGCCCAAGGTGAGACCTTTATGTGCTCAAAGGTCTCACAAGCCTTTGAGCACATTGAAGATAGTATTTTCCGTCAAGAAGCACAGTTTTTTCAGACTGAAGCTGCCCATCAGCTTACACCCCTAAGGGTCTTTTATGCCGTTTTTCCACAGTGTCGGTTCAGTTCAGTTCATTTCGGTACGGTACGGCGCACCTATTTTGCTTTTCGACTAGTGGATGGTATGGGAGATTTGAGTACTTTTCCGTACTGCCTCAGCCGTGGTTCCATCCCCATAGTACCGGTACCATGACATGACGTCGGCCCACTGCCTTACACTGATTGGTCAACGAGTGTCGTCACTGGAAGCGGCATCTGACCCTTTGGGAAAAACAACTCAACCGCCATCTTTAAAACCGGCTGCTCTGCTCGGCTCTGCTTCAGCTACATTACGTCCTCCTCACTCCAGAGAAATGGAATTGCACAGAAAGCCCCAAAAGTCCTGGTCCTGGTCGGTGGAAGAGGTCCACACGTTCCTCTTTTCAGGCCAAAAGAAAGAATTCAAAGGCAGCTCGAGTCTCAACACAGTTTTCAGGAGATCACCCAGCTCTGGATTTGTGACTAGTCTGTGGTAATCCTGGAAATAACTGGCTAGCTACGAACCCCCTAAAGCTCTCACTGAAATGTATTTACTGTGTAAATGCTCGATTGTCTGTTGTACACAGTGAGCTAGCTACATTTAGCTTCATTTAGCTATCGATAGCAGCTAAGCTAACGTCCTTCCTGTGCTACTGTGCTTTATCTCGTATTATCTGCAGTATTCATGTGTTGTCATTCTGTTTTGTGCTTGTATTTAAGTTGTTGTGTGTATATTTGTATGAGAATCTCTTCCCATAAGTGTGGAGATTACCAAGAGTAATGAGTGACCGGAGTATTCTCCTCATCTGGACCTGGTCTGGACTTGGTCTGGACCTGGTCTCTGACATACGTACTTTTGACTTTGTAAACTGTTGGTTTTGCACTTTACTTTTGTTTTCAATAAATCTGTGATTTTGCCACAGACAACTTTTAGCAAGAATGGAAATGATTAACTGGTCCCTCAACGCAATTGATTCTATCTTTTCAACACGTAAGCGCGGGTCTGGAGAGCCCGTGTGCCCGGACGGGACCTCACCAGCGGGGTATACTCTTGACAGCTGGTACAAGTGGCAGCCCCTCTGTCTGTCGACCCTGTCCATTGAAGATTCGGAAGACGTATATATCTTTGGCTTTTTGGTGGTGGGGATCCTCCTGTTTGGGTTTGGAGCGGTTCTATTCTACCATAAATTCGGAGGCATGGCAGTTCGCAAGATTCACGACCTGCTGGCCAACAAAATTGATGGGATGTACAAGGAGCTTAACCGAGTCGTGGTTGAGAGCGCTGTGGCTGGACAACGGAGAGTGGTGTTAGTGGAACAGTTGATCAAAGATCTCGCAGCTCGTTCACTCGATGGGCATAAAACTCTGGAATTGAGATTGAATGACATTGTGTGTCAGGCTTGAACTCTCTGACCCGGCTTGGATTTGCCCCTGTGTACGGGGTCTGAGGGCGCCGCAATTCGGTTTAATTGGATTTAATAGAATATCTGCCTGTTTTTGACTGCTAAAATGCATACTATATTGTCCCTCGTTACAGGAAGATGTGTTTTTCTCCTTGCTGTGTCTTCCCTCCACTCTTATCTCACATTCCTCAGGCCAAGGCCATAATAATAAATCTGGTCTCTACAACAATTCACACTCTTTCAGTCAGTTCCAGCTTGGATCCCGCTCCCCCCGCCTCCCTCTGATCTCTCCCTCCCCTCCACTCCTCAATGTGTTTCCGACTCACCCCCTCCCTGACCCCGCCCCCCTCTGACAGCCACATTCGGCTGCGGAGGTGCTCATCCCGAGAAAAAAATCCGTGGTTTATACAAAGCACAATGTTTTCTATCCAACTGTCTGTTGTAACCTGAATGTTATTGCTCTCTGCTGTTTATTCTACTGTTTGTCGCATGGCGCCGGAAAGATGGCGCCGTGGCAAGAGCTCTGGTGTGTGTCGCCTTCTCTGTCTGGCGCACACCGGGGTAGTCTTGCACAGTTTTTCCAATGTGGTTTTACTGCAAATGGCAAATAAATGAATCTGAATCTGTATCCCAAGACTGTGTTTCATTCATTTATTATTATTGTAGCTGAGGTTTGGGTATCGATTGTTGGTCAGGTCTTGGAGTCTGCTGTAGTCCGGACCCGAGTCCGGACTAGCCTAGCTTAGCCTAGCTTAGCCGCTAACTCGCTAACCCTATGCCTGCCGCTGTCTCTCCCTCGGTCCTTTACTGCTCGAGTTGCCATATGACGAGTTTAAACCCCGGATCCTCCTCTGAGGGCAGTGATAGATGTGTTAAGTGTAGTACTGTTGTAGCTTTGGAATTCAGGGTTAGTGAGTGAGCTGAGTCTCGAGCTAGCGCTAGCATTAGCTATAGCCTAGCAGTATCCTCGGACATACAGCCCTCCTCCTCTGGCTGCTGTTGCTACAGGTATGTCCCATTCAGATTGTACAGAGCAGTCAGCACCATTGACTTCACAGTGTCTGAGTCATTCTTTTAAGACATAAGCATTTTCAAAAACTACTCGTGCTGTGCTGAATTTTCTATTAAACACTTGCTCTGGTATTATAATAAATCAATGCATCGCACCAGGGTACTATTTTTGATGGAAAAGCACGCGAACTGGGCCATGGCGCGCCGTGTAGAGTCAAAACGTACCGTACTCGGACCGTGGAAAAACGGCATAAGTGACTCACATGGTACTTCCTTTGGCCAAAAATAAGGAAGAATTGTTTGAATTGTGTAAAAGATTCTACATTTGCAATATATTCTTAAGGGAAAATGATTTGGTACGTTTTGAATTTTTCCAGGTAGATCTTAAGAATAGAGTGTGCATATGTTGAGTTGCGTAGTTGTACCTTTTCTTTGCTGGAGGGCTGGGGGCAGCTCGGTGGGGCAGGGGTCTGCGTTGTCTTTGAAATGCCACAGATGTTTCCTACAGCCTCGGGGACTGGGGTTAGACAGGTGTCGGTAAGGTGCTTCGCTTTGTTTTTTTCTTGTGCTGCTGTGTCCACTACAAGCCACAAGTTTTGAATAAATAAATTGTTGATCTTACATATTTGAAATGCATGTGGGCTCGATGAACAGTACCTCCTATAGAGAATGAGCCGTCGTCTTTTCTGTGTATGATGAGACTATCCACGTGGAGAGTGATAGGGGTGGGCTCGGAATTGGGCGGTACATCGGAGGGGTCATCATCCTGGAGGACATACATTTGAGAACGGTTGAATAATCAAGAGAAAAATCCAAGTGATAATGGCAAAATATTCTGAAAGTGGAATTTCTGTTATGTTTTTGTTCGCATCCAAATATAGGAATTTATGTTTAAATAATTAAACTGGCAAAACATAGCAGCAGGGACATGTCGGAGAGTGTCATAAAGACTCGATTCTCTACAGATATTGCTTGTATCTTCGACAAGTGAAGTCAAGTTTAATGACAAACTCTACCAGGCAAAAAAAACAGCATTTAGATTAACCAAAACAAAAAGCAGGCTCTCCACCAGGACAGTTGAAGAATGCACTTTCAAGCACACAGTACATTTGTGGAATAGTGTTCACACCTTCAGGTTGATGTGCGTGTCCATAACACTGATCTCCATTGGCAGCACTTGGGGAGCAGAGGAATCTTCCAAAAAGTGAGCCATGTTTCGCAGAGTGGACATCAGGAAGTTTGCGTGGTAACCTTTGAGACGCAGCGTCAAGAAGCCATTGCGTCTGGCTAGTTCTGAGTGGGCTGCAGCACACGGTCCAGACTCCAGGCGAGCACAAACTTCGGGACCTTGCCCCCCTAGGATGACATCGCCACTCGCTGGAGAAGAGACAACCAGTTGTTAGATTAAGAATACATTTACACACTTCGTCCATTTAGGGAGACCCTGTTACAAATGCAATATCGACACTGGTGCACATCATGAGCAGAAAGAGAATTATACTGCTATTAGAAGGTGTTAATGGCATTGGCATGAAAAACAAGGGGCCGACTATTCAGTGAGCCATAAAATACAATGAGTACGTTTACAAAGTGCTGGTGAAAATCGGATCCCTCACCTCATCAAATTTAATTGTGACAGTCCAGACCGTTTGGCGTAACTGGATTGAACAGTTTTAACAATTTTATTGAGACACGGCCATGTTTAAAATCACAAATGTATGTATTTGTTTGGTTTCCTTATGTGCAACAAATGCAGGACCCGTGGTGAGTTTAAGTTGGCGGAGTAAATTAAGGCCCTGTTTACACAGAGACGCAACCAAGCCATTTGTAAAAACGACCCCACTCCGGATTTGAAGTGCAAAGCGTCTACACGGCGAGTGAAAATTATGTAGTTCTAACGCCTGGCCAGTAGGGGGCAGTGGAACTTTACAATGCAACACATGCAACCCCTCCCAGTACAACCACTTCCTCAACAAAATCCTCCTCAGGCCACTGCAGAGAATGCACCATCATCATTCTGCATTCAACAGTAGCAGCGAAAAAGGAAACTGCAACTACAGCTTTGCGTGGTTCTGTAAGAACAGACGAAGTAGCATTGCTCCTCCGTGTAACTGCTGAAGCACACATAGCACAAGTTGATCCGCCGCCATTGTTGTTTATGTTTGTTTTTGGTTACTGCGCAAGCATCACAAGGCTCCAGCTTCACAACAGGAGATGGAACCTTGAAGTGGTCAGAGCAGTTTGAAACAACAGAGTAGTCATTTTTTTAACATACGCTGTATTCTTACGTTCTATAAACGTACTCAATGACGACGCTGAATGCCATTTAAAGAGCGTTGGGATTCGCGCAAACACTTCTCTTCGTGTTCTTGGCACATACTGTTTGTTGAGTTAAAACAAGATGGAGAAAGTGGTTAAGTGAAGCTGGCAGCACAGTGAGAAAAGACCACAGTAAGACAGAACGATGGAGGTGGCTGTACCCTGGAGAGAGACATAAACGGATGACTAAAAACAACAATGAGGAAAGGAGGATTGAGTGATTTCCTTTCTGGAGACAGGAGCAGTCAGGGGCGATGCTGGCACTTGTAAGGCCTAACCCTAAGCTCCTCCGAGGGCAAAAGAGTATATTGAAGTGTGGAGGTACCGGCACTGTACTTTACAACAGAATATTTCTCAGTGTGAGTGTGAACATTCTGGAGAGTGCTATGAGAGACATAATGACATAATTATAAACCTAGTATTCCAACTAATGGATCTACTCGGTGCGTTACAATACAGTACGGGGGTGGGAGAAAGTCATGCTACCAAAAACAATCTTCATGAAGGTCTGGCACTTTATGTTGATTAATTATACTGGGTCTGCAAATGGGATTCCGAACAATGCTCAAGCACAAATGCAGACACAATGGAAAGCATGCAGTTAATTTGCAGATGGTGAATTAAGACTCAGCAGTTACCTTGTCTCTGATCAGGTATTGGTACAGAATTCACCATACCTGTGGGGAGTTTTGGCAAGGTAAGTGGAGGAGTGATTGTTAGTCTGAATACACATGTGCAAGTTTAAGAAAAAAAAAAGCTTGTCAAACCCTCAAGGCCGAAGAAATAACATGTGTCAGTCTTGAATTTGAATGTGCAATTCGAGTTGCTTAACATTCATTTTGTTTAACAAAAGCAATAAAAACACGCCATGCTCCTTTTAAATGCCACAAAATGCGATGTCCAAATCTTCCTTTGTCCCATAATTTCTTCTCAGTGAATGGTGCTTGCCGCAAACGGGGCTCTCAATGGTAGTATCTTACCCAGGCTGCGGTTGCTGAGGTACTGCCTGAGGCTGACATTCCCGAGCTGACTGGACGTGACCTGGCCCACCTCCAGAGCAGCAGCAGTGTTGTCCCCGACAGCCTCCATGCACATGCACACCGACTGAACCTTCAGCATCAGCACGGACACCTAAGAAACACGTGTAGTATGTGAGCACATTTACTAACCAAATAGCACAGGAGGGTGCTAGCCAAAGCCACCTCCATCATGAACAATACCTCCCACCCACTGCACAGGACTGTAGAGGAGCTGAGGAGCTCCTTCAGTGGAAGACTGAGACACCCTCAGTGTAGGAAGGAGCGCTACCGCAGGGCCTTTATCCCCACCGCTGTCAGACTGTACAATGAGTCATTTTAAATGATCACTGTGTGAAAACCTGCACTACTATTGACACTGTTTCCAATTGACACTTGTCACTTTTGTTGCACATAATTATTGTCACTTTTATTGTACATATATCCTGCATGTAACATGTTTGCACAATCTGAGTGTCTCTATCCATGCTAAATGTGACATGTAAATTTCTCCAATCTGAGATAAATAAAGCACATCTTATCTTATCTTAGAAAATTACACAGACAAATCTTATCTTTCAATATAATAAGGTGCATTCACATAGAACACTCGTTCTTGAGAGGTGGAGGTAAAACTGAAGTCAACGCAGGGCCCAAAATTGTTGTAGAATTGATTACGTTTTTGACGTGTTGTTGCCACTTAATACCAACAGCTACATAGTTATGTATAACAATATGACCTCCACCAAGAGGCACAGCTCCTTTACTTAAATTATTTCTGGATCATATTTGTTCCAATAATGCGCAACTAATTGTAATCTAATCAAAATCACAATTTTAGTTCCTGCAATTACCAAACTTGTTCCCTGTGAAATACAAGTAACAAATGTGTGTGTGTTTTTTATTAGTATTTCTAGTATTTTTCTTAACAATACTACATTTTGAAAATGGAGGGTCCAAGGACAGTGAGGATCAGGGACATTTAAGGACATTTATGGGAATTTATTAACATCTACGGACATTGGTCATCCTACGCCTGATGGGCCAATGGATCCAATGTGTTTGATTCTCTGATCTGTTGTTAGTGAATTAACAACTTTGTAAATTCCTCCAAGATGAGGGCTGTTGTGATTTAGGGCTATACAAAAATGAAAAAAAAATAATTTTAATTTACAGCAACCTGCTCAGGGGTCTCCAGGTTTGAATCAGCGTTCTATAAACTGGCACCAACATCTCTCCTATGACTTTGTCTTGGCTTATTTTTTGTTGAAAAGTGTCTTTTTTTTTTCTTTTTCTTTTTTTTACATACCGCACTATAACATGCTTATTTAACTTTTTAAAATTCTAAGAGAGAACTCCCCTGGTGCTCTGTCCTAGCTTCATAACACAAATTGAAATTAAAATAGCAAAATTAACAGCAAAATCACAATTATATATTTCTTTAATATCAAGCAGCCCTAGTTTCCTGAACATCCCATAAAAACCCACCCCCAAAAATTACCAAGATTACTCAGATCAACAACCTTGGTGAAAAACCCAGAAATAATAATAATAAATACACTGTAAAAATATTTGACTCTAGTTCACCCAAGGGGGAAAAATTGACATTGCATTGTGTCTTATCTGATTCATATCTAACATATGAAAATATAAAACAGGAAGCTGAAGACCATAAAAAGGCCTTTCTTCAAACATCAGCACAACTTCTGCACCAGCCTCTTACCAAGTCTTTGGTGGGCTCATCAGTGCTTTGTGAGGTGGCGCTCACGGTGTCTGGAGAAGCACCCCCGTCCTCATCGATCACCACTTCTGCAGTATTAACCATGGCTCTTTCTGTAGTGCTTTGTTCTCCAATAACATCCTTAAAGCCGGAGATGGACACATCATCTGTGGACCAATCACACAGATATCAATCACTATGACTTGAGCTGTGGAACTAGAACAATGCTGCCACCTGCTGTCCACACAGCATACATAAACAAGATTGCATTTACTTCACATTTATATGTTGTCAAGTATTTTTGGTGTACCTCTTTCAAGCAGACTGAAAGAGTCACCATCTTCCATGCAGCTGTCTATTGAAATGTTGTCCAAAGACTGAAGAGAGGGGCTTTTCTTCATGTTCTTATACGATACTGAAAAACTTGACTGTGAGCGATCCCGCATCAAACGACCACTGCAACACAGACCGGTCAGAATTTAAATTGAGAGCTACAGATTTTGTTAGTATTACATTGACTTAAAAAGTCAATGGAGGTATGTTTAGGATTCTAACTGTAAATCATAGTACCACAAACCAATACAGTTACAGGAAGACTCAAATCACAGGGAAACTCAAATCAACACAAGAAATATACAAATGCAAAGTACTTGGTCATGCGTACATGCAAATGCATGCCTCGGGAGTTCTCAAGTTAGTACATAAGAGAACAGTTCAACACCTACACAAATCAGCAGGGCTGCACCGGATCATTCTCATTAGGTCACACGTAGTAATCAAACACAGCATTGATTACATTTCATGCCATGTTGTAATCCCACATAATACAAAATTGTATCAATTAAATAACTTTTAGGCTGCAAAAAATGGCTGAAGATTATTACTTTTTTATAACATCTGTAATTGTGCAGCCCAGCTCCTAAGTAGTTTGCACAGAATCTTACATGTTGGACATGGAATAAAGGGAGGTGGATCTGCTGGAGTTTGAGGAGCTGAGGAGGTCAGAAACCACAGACAAACTTCCTTTCCTTAATAGAGAGAAAAGAAACACACCTCTCAAGGTTCAAAGCAAAGCTTTAGCAGCAGTAAAGGAAGAAGAATGAGAAGGACTGAAGATGAGTGAGACAGAAACATTCACAAATTCACACTTGACAAGACGACCAAAGTGATTATGTTGTGAGTAAAGTAGTTCAAACCACACGTTATTTAAATAGTCTAAGCCAAGGCTTTCTCTGGACTGCAATTTGAAAAATGTAAAGTGATTATTTAAAGTAGCAGTATGTAATATTTACATGTCAAGTCATCATTAAATGGCCCCCATATTTCAAAAGGCGTTATTAAATCATGCTCTTTTCGTATACATCTTTAACTGATAACAGTAGTTCAGCCGAGATATTTGATTATCAAAATTAGTTTTACGACCCGTAAAAGTTGTTGTTTTGATTTTGATGTCCTACCCTCCGCCGTTTCGCCAATCAGGAAGTGTCATGTAAGTCCGTGATCGGGTTGCCAGAACTCTGCGCGGCTCACTAATCTCAGTAGTAAAATAACATGTGGCGCAGAACTAAAAAAGGTCTTGTTATTCCTCTCAAATAATTAATGACAAAGCAAAGACTAAAACGAGGATTTATATCGGGACGCATTTAAACAATTGAGACGGCTGATAAAAGTTTACGTGTGATGCAAAATTTGCTGGTTAGAGTCCGTTCTTCAGGACAATTCTTACTGGGAGAATCGGTGGTCTAGTGGTTAAAACTGTGCGCTCACAATGCAGTAACCCGGGTTCGATTCCGGGTAGAGTCTTTTTGTATTTAATTGCATGTTATCACATTCTATGACAGATTGCTCTAAAAACGGTAAAAGACAAAGGTCAAGACGTTTTTTTTGCAGATTATTAATTATTAATTGTAAAAAGAATAATTTAAGACCACATGTACCCCAATTAAAATGTTTGTCTCTTTTTGATGTGGGACTTATACATGTTTATCTAAAAAAAAGAGAATAAATAAAATTGAAGGGTGATATCCTCTGGAAGAAACCCTGATGTTGATACGCTGAAGAAATACGTTCCAACATTCATTCTTCCCACTCCTATTTTGGACATCAATTGCTTATTTGGATAATCTATAATTACATTTCTTTTATTTTGTTTTGTGTTTTTTATCTCAAATGTCCAAATAAAATAAAAAAAATTAAACATTCAGTCAACATTAGCATGCCTCATGGCAATGTGAATGGAGACAAACAACTGATACAATAATTCCCTGTGTTTGCTGTGTTTGCTGCTGGATTTGGTGTGTATCTGGCAACCTGAGTCAGGGAGAGTGGGAGAAGACTACAAAATATTGACTGACTGCAGTACCACTTTTGGCCAGATTTTTACATATTGTTCCTTTAATTTTTAGTTATTATTTTATGATTTGAATGTTTCAGTTATTGTTTTGAAAAGCACTTGTGGCATTGTGTAATAATTAAGTAAAAATATAAATGTTAAACAAATTAAAATACAGTATTTCTGTAACATTTTTTTAAAAGTATCACAAAAAAGTGATACACAAAATGTCAAAATGTATACAATACACCGATTATTTATTTTTTTTATCATCGTTTTGTGTGACTTTGTAAGTACCTTGATACAGATTGTGGCATTTTCCCTGCACTCATTTTGTCGTCGGAGGGTTCGCACAGAGGATCACAGTTCTGAGCTTTGTGTATTCCAGAGGCCAATTCACCATCTCCCATCGGTTTGAGCTCCCCCTCCGAAGCCCTCTTTCCAGTGTTCTTAGTTGATGTTCTCTCATCCACTGAGACTTTGTGGTTTGTGTCTGAACTTGTTGAGGATGATGTTGGTATGAGGGGAGTCCTACCAGGAGTAACTTCCTCCTCTAAAATCCCTCCACATAACAGCTGGTCGACAGTGCAGGAGCTTTTGGCTGTTCCACCCTCTAACCGGCCACCTGTCTCCTCCGCCCCCTTGTCAGCCCCATCTGCTGGTTCACGGGCTGGGTCCAGAGTCCCTTTGCTCTCAGACGGAGACACTTCAGAAGCCAAAGGAGAACTTTCAGGACGGGGAACAGGTTTCAACAGTAGAGACACCTCTGCACTTTGGAGCAAAAGACCCAGACAGGCGGTGAAGGGCTGCTGCTCTGTCGCCTGCAAGTCATCACTGTGGTCCTTTTTTGAGCTCATCTTCTCCAGATCTTGTTGTAAAGTCTGCTGTAGAGCTTTGATACTACGCTGAAGTTGCATGAGGAACACATATTGCCGATGGCTCACCTAAACACACAAACAGAAATTTTAAAAAAAAATCTGGTTTTGAGAGTATCATGTCAACAGTAGATTTAAACAACTTAGTTTAAATGTATTGTTTAAAAAGTAATAAGTACTGAAGTATATTAAACCAATGTTATTTACCTGAGCACTTAAAGGTTTGTGTACATGCACCAAAACATGCAAATTTGCATCTGTACTTGATGTGGACAGGCTTTCCAGTGAGAGGGGTTTATGAAGTCCATTAGTAGGAGGTAGTGATGCACTTGGTGATGGAGCTGGAGCCCCACCATTACTATAAAATTCTTTAAGTAAACGCTTCCTCTGCAAACGGCTGTCGCTGTCTGCAGATGTGCTCCTGGATAGTCCTGCCCCAGTCTCTTTATGCTTGTGATTGTGCTGGACAATCTTTGCAGGTTGACAAGCCCAAAACGTTAGAGGGAAAGAGTCCACAAAAGGCTGAGGTCGGCCTTTGCCCTCATAGTCCACCCAAAACTGAGCAAAGTGCAGCGCCCAGAAGTCACTGGCAGCAGCCATCTTTAGAGAGTCTGTGGCAATTGTTGGCACCACGAGCCCTTTGTGGATGTCATGAAGTCTTGTATCTTGTTCATGGGCGTGGCGGTAGAAGACTGGGTGAAGGAGAGGCAGTGAACTAGGGGAGCGAGGGAAGGATAAAATAGAGGGGGAAAAGAAGTCCTGCTCTTGAAAAGCATGGAGAAGGGCTTCAAGACAAGAGCGGGAACAATTGGTCGGTTGCCTTGTGTTTGTAGCCACCATTTCAGAGGTCTGCACCGAAATAGAGTGAGGGAGATCGGCAGGGCATGAAGGGTCTTTCTCTGTGGGAATCACAAGCTAAAAGGAGAACTTTGCATTAAAATCGGATTAACATCTATAACGCCATTAAGTATCTCTTGCTTCTTACCTTGAGCATGAGGCCATCCACTTTGATGTCAACATGTTCATCTGGCTTCTGTGAGTCATTGAGCTTATAGATCTCCATGAACTGCTCCAGACTTTGCCGGAGGTCAAGGGCAAAAAAGTTGAGCCACACAAGACTGCGGGGATCCAGGACCAACTGCAGGGCATTCAGCTGGGCAAACAGGTTTGCACATGGGACTAAGAAGGGGAAGAAAAAATTCAATTTCTTGTGCTGTATGTTGAAAAACAAGGATTCTGATCAACGTGTCAGGCAATCTTTGTGATTTTTGGTGTTTTTAATATAACTCACAAATTAACGAATACATTAATCAGTAAGTCTCACTAAACTAGACTTTTTATTGACACATGCATTTCATAGTACATCTGGTCAGCGTCTTACTGGGATAGTCTTTTCCATCAGGAAAGTAATACTCTGTAAACTCCACATGAATGGCAGGCATCTCCGTTGGGAGGTATAAAGACTTTTTATTGCAAGATATCATAGCCTTGGGGCTAGAGCGGCGCTGGTCTGCTGTTGAAACCTACAATTAAAAGGTAATGTAAATGCACAACATTTTAGAGTTTTATTGAAAAAAATAAAATACAAACCTGGTAAATGCTGAAGTCGGCCATTCTGAGAACTATTGAACTCGACATGAGCTGAGTCTTGGGAGCTTGGTGAGGAGGTGGGCTGAAAGAAGAGCTGGTGTTGATTTTACCTGCAGGACAACAACAGATACAAGAATAAGGAAGCAGATATACAAATATAGAATTATGCACTACAAGCCAAAGTACAGAGAGTATAACTCAATTGGTAACAAGAAGAATCTCTAAACTGAATGAGAGGTGTGTATCACTGCACCAAACTGTGCACACCACACCATGGTACCTGGCTCTAGGCACCAACAGCACTGGGCCGGAGGCTGTGCTTGGAGGCCCCACTCTACGACTCCTTCTGCCTCCCTAAGCCCTACTGCTTCATCTGCACTCTCCTGACCTTCTAGGGGCCCATACACATCGTCCCTAAGGGACACTGAGGACACTGAGGACACAGAACCCACATGGGTAAGGTAAACACTAGTGACAGGCCAAATGAGTGAGCACATGAAGGTGAGTTAGAGTCAGACCCTAGATTATCAAGAGTCAAGACCATTGAAATGTAAAAGTCAGCCTCACGCATTAGCACTCATTGTGAACTTGCATTTACCTTGAAGCGGTGAACTGTGTGCAGAGGACTTTTTGTCTTTAACAGCACTCTTCAGCATCTCCACATTTGACCTAAATTCCTCCAGAAGGCTTCGGGCCCAGCTCTCTCTGGCTTTAGTAGCCTCTCCGTAGTGCATCCAATGAAGACAACTGCCACCTTGAACATATTGGCAATAAATTAATGTGGAATGGACATTGAATAAGAGATTATAAATTATGTATATATATATATATATATATATACCCGCTTTGTGGAAAGGATAATAGTCTAGAGTAATGGAACTAAAGGACAACTGCATAGCTCCACCTGCAACACGCTTGTTAATTGCTGAAAAATAAATTGAAAGTTATTAACATGTGTTAATATGTGAATTGCCGTTGTGCTCATTTTACCCTTGTCCTTGGTATGGATGTCATCACAGATGTGCAGGTCCAAGTGCTTGATCTGAAGATGGTGTGATGTCTCACACACATCAAAGTCACTGAAGAGCTTTGCCATATTTGCACTCTGGTCCGCTGCAGCCGAAGTCTGCTGCGTACGCACCTGCTGGGTGGACGGAGGTGTGGAGGATGACACCTGGTAAGAAGTTAAGACGCTCATTAATTCCAGAAAAGAGAGATTCATGGGAGATCCATTCCGAATCCATCCAGTAGGTGGCATATCCGACTTGATATTAGCATTGCTGTGAGTACCTGGTCTTCAGTGGCCATGCTCTTCCTCTGCTGATTTGACTTTTCCATGGCTTCACTCAGAGACTTGGCATATTGCACCATAGCTTTGAGCTGGGAATCTGTCAGCACCCACAACAAGTCATCCAGGATAAGAATCAGCTTGGAGGCTACCACATTACAATCTTTCATCTGTAAAAAAAAGTATGAAAAGGAGGTAATGGGTCTTCAATTGACATTATAATGTATTAATTACATACAAACATTAGTACGTCACCTTAGGGTCAGATAATACAGACTCTACTAACTGGGGTACAGCAGTCAAACTGCAGTGAAATTTCCACTATAAAACTATAATGTAATAGTGGTAATGTAACTTATGTAGCTTACGAAGATAAGTTAGAAGACTTTATTGTCCCCTGCATTTGACCCATCCTGCAATGCCCCTAGTGCCTCAGGAGCAATGGTTGATGTTGTACAGCACCCGGGACCCATCTCCAGATGTTGATGCTCGGCTTGGTCAGGACCAGAGCTGGAGGATATTACCCTGTTTTTAAAGTGGTATGGGAAACCGGGCACCCAAACATGCGAGGAGAACATGCAAACTACACTCAGAAACCCATTATCTGCAGTTTTGTGCCAGAGCTCACCCTTCTCTTGAGTGTGACTCTGATCTTGGATTGGTTGGTGATGAGGCGAATGGGAGCACTTATCATCTCATGTTCAGCACTTTGGATGGCGTCCGCCTCAATCCGGATCATTTGCCAGCTGATCTCTTTAAAGCTCAAGATCTGATCCAAACAAAAGTCATAAATGTGTACAACAGAAAAATAAGTCACTTTTTTACAACAACAAACCTCTCCCCTCTGAGGGTCCTGGATGCGGGTGTAACGCAGATCACTGATGCTCCAGCTGGGGTTGACGCTGTAAACCTGAAGCTGGGAGAGCTCAAAGGAGGCGTTGAAGGCCTTTGCACTGATCCTGATCACGATGGAATTAATAGACAACGTCATGCCCTCCACCACCTTCTCAGCAAAGCCATATTCACTGTGGCACAAAGCGAAGGCCGTGAGGTACAGTAACGTGGCATTTCAGCAATACTACCACTTACCTTTGACCTGATGCAGTGGCTAGGGGGGACGGTCCATTGGGGGCTCGAGGCTCATCACAAGTGCTCATCTCCATCACCACTTTATCCAAAGTCTTCAAACAACATCAAGCACAATCACGTATTGTTAGTTATAATTATAAGTCTGTTAAAAAGCATGGCAAACAAAGGAACTCACTGAATCTTGGCATTTCGTTCTGGGCCGAAGTACATATTCACATGCTGTTGCTTTTTTTCAAATATAAATTTGTATTTAAGTGTCATAATCAGGTTAAGGCAAGGGTTAGGAACCCTTAGATTTCTGCAGGCTGAAATACCAATGATGATCGTCTGCTACAGGTAATGTGTGTCTCAAAAGAATATATTATGTCAATAATTTCTGAATTATTGACATAAGTGAAACTCAGATAAAAAAAGGAAAAAAATATAGAAAGGGGAATGTGTTATTTTTCCACAAAAAGTATTATTTTTACTATAAAAAATAAGTAACCCCTACAGTCACATGTTGTTATTAATTTCTAAATTATGTTCTTAGATTAAGGTACACTTAACTTTAATGCTTACCAAACAAATAGGGTGCGTCTTTAACTTGGTCCATGGTATCTGTAAAAAGATAAACACAGAATATTACAGATAAGCAAGTAATTTGTATTTCTTTAGAGAATAATAAAATGTGAGAAGTGCACATGTGGATTAAAGCAAACTATAAAAATGACTCAGATTGTGTTAATTAAAGGTTGTAGGTAATTCACAAAAAACAACTAAATATGAACATAACCAATACATTCTATATACTACAACAAAATTTCATATAATTTTGCTGTTTGATATTTTGCTGACAAGGTTTCTTGCTGCTGATGTGCTAAAACAGAATAAAAAAAGAAAGATAGCATCCAGATCATTTATTGTAACTGTACAAAACAATAAAACAAAACGTCATTTGAGCAAACCAAAGCATAGAGATCTAGCTGATCAAATTGATTAAAAAAGATTAATAAATACCTATGTATTTTACCCCATTGATAAAAGAGCCTGAATAAATGTAATATTGCAACTCCAGGCCTTTTGATCACTAGCCTTGGACAGAATAAAAATACATTTGAGTCACAAAGTGACTGGAATTCAAGAGTCACCATTTCCAGGGTGTGACCATTTCTAGAAGTAAAGACTTTGTCTGTGTGCCACAGCAGCGATGACAGGAGGCTTTACTCTGTCCACACTGTGGAGAGCTATCTCCAAATTAGATATACATATTGATAGATAGATACTTTATTGATCTCCCGTGGGAGAAATTCAGGTGTCCAGCAGCTTAAAACATTTCGTTCTACTGTGCAGTGATAAAAACCTGTTGCTGCAGTTTGTGTAAGCTCTCAGTCGTACAGGGATTAGTCAAAGCAAAGGAAGGTTTCTCACCCATCATCTGTACTTCTTAGCAAGTTTTCCCGACGTTTCGTCCTCAATCCAAAGGACTTCTTCAGGGAATGAATTCTCAGACCGCGCGTTGGAGATTTATAATCTAACTCATTAGCAATTAGGAGGGGTGATACCTGCACTCCACTTGAGCAATCCCAGCAGACAATAGGTCTCTGACATGCTAATGAGTTAGGGTCGTTAGCCTCAGCAGGGTCATTAGACCTGCTCCCTTCTACATCAAACAGACCTTAGATTGTTTATGAGTTAGTATCAGGATTAGGGTGTGGCTAACCACACCCATAGGTTATAAATCTCCAACGCACGGTCTGAGAATTCATTCCCTGAAGAAGTCCTTTGGATTGAGGACAAAACGTCGGGAAAACCTGCTAAGAAGTACAGATGATGGGTGAGAAACCTTCCTTTGCCACATCATGAGTCACAGATATTTGTCATACATGCAGGGCTGGTATATGTATATGTATATGGTGTCAGTTACAGAATGATACAAGAAAAATCTATTTCTATTTTTCTTCTTTGGAGTCTGGTGGAAAGTTGGTAACAGGATTATATACAAATAGAAGGGTGTTTTATTGTTTAAAAATGTTTTAAAAGGTTGGACATTTATTATTGGTTTGCCTTTTTTAAGTATAGTTTTTTCATTAATCATAATGCTACAATGCTCAAAAAGTGTTAAACGCCAAAACTATAAACAGGCCTTTAAAAATTATGTTAATGTTAAAAACAATAAATAGAATTTGAGGATTATTTTGGATTCAGTTTTTCCCAGACCATAGTTCATCCCGTTTGCAGCCCACTCACGTTGGTGTGATGTCCCTTGAGGTAAAATCAGTGCTTCACAATTATTTCTGCCAGCCCCTTAGGAACATTTCATGTCCCCCTCTCAGGCTAAAAACTCAAAAAGTGACTTTGTCTCATTTTAAAAGAATAAAAATCTTGATGTTTGCCACACTTTTGTCAAAGCAGACGCTCTCTGCTTCCCCAAAATGTACCAAAGGCCTGTCTCCTGCCTTTACAACGGGATGAGCCTGAATATCAAAGCCACAGTGCATTAAATCACCAAGTCATCTGAGCCATATAAAGTCATCACAAACTGCATTCTCTATAAACTACAATATTCTTCTGTCTTTCCTGTTTGGATCTGAACGTACAAGATCCCTTGTGCAAACGTTCCGAGGACACAATTGCTCTGGCGGTTAGAATGGAGCACTGACTGAGGATGTGGAATCCTATTTTAGTACGTACATCCGAAACGGCATGTTCACCACATTTGAGAAGGAATGAGATAAGGGAACAAGGCTTAAATGTGTGAGCGATCATAGGGTTTTGATGTGATCAGCTCTTGTTCCGTGAATATTTTGCAAAATGACATTGTTTCAATGTCTAGGTCAAGATCATTATCATGCAACCTGAATGGAAATTAGCCATTAGGCTCTGGTACAAACATCTCAGCTCTATGTTTAATGGAATTGTACATTGTCCTGATAAATAAATGAGATGGAGTGAACTATGGGAGAAAGTAGTCTGACCAGGTCACTAGCGGCCTTATAGAAGAAATATAGGTACTTATGAACATTTCATGATGCAACGTTCTGAAAGTTGTGTGTTCATTGTGCTCACCCTGATGGTGGCCTTGTTGCAGCCCACGTGGCTGATGGCGAGCCAGGTGGGCAGGTCCAGGAGGCTCTGCAGGACCTCCTCGTCCAGCTCCAAGTTGGTCAACTGGCCCTCACCCTTCAGCGTGCTCAGGTTGATCTTGTCTGGAGACAGATTCTTGGCAAACCTATGCGAACAACACCAGATTATCTATCAGCAAAGTTTTGTCCAAATGTAATCAGTAAAAGTTTGTCGAATATTTAATTGTTTGAGTATTTGTTGTGTATGACTATATCAAAATACAATGCTACGATGTCATAATATACAGCACTGTGGTGAAAGATTTATTTTCCAGTGGAAAATAACTGAACTCAGATCCAATGCAGTTGAGTACAGTTTAAGGGTGAATATAGCATCCAGCAGTGAGAATAAGTAACCCGGTCACCTAATCTAAGCCACACCTGGAGATGGGTGTAGATTTGAAAAGGATCAGACCAAAGCACAAAGTGCATAGCCATAAAAAAGACAAGAAAAACAAAGTTGGAAGTCTGTCAATCCCTCGAATATAGGATTATCAGTGTCAAAATCTTGTGTTGTAGTGGTTTTGACCAGGAATACATTTTTGTTGCAAGGATAGTAATCATCTGAATGTTTCCCCCAATATTGACTCACTTTGTCTGTTTTTACCTTCCACTAAAAAAACAAAAAGAATATGACAAATAAAATAAAATAAACTTTAAGGCAAACTTTACATTGTACATAATATTAAAGCGTTAAAAAGTGATAACACATGGTGAGCAGAGGTACAAACACATGCTGCCTGTTCTCCCGCAGTTCCCACCACATTTTTGGAGTCAATTTGAATGTGGTGAAGTGCTACGTACCAAAGTTCAGATTGTGATGTGACACAGCCCTAGTACAGAAGATCATGAATAACATTCAAACTAAATCTAATTCAGTAATATCAGGTGAAATGTTCTCATGGCATTCCATTCATCACTTTAGAGTTCCCACTAGTTACACTTCCTTATGATTAAAATATTATGTTCGTAACTGAGACAAATAGGGAAGAATGCAATAATGCACAAACAGCAGAGAATGCACACACTGGACAAAAGTATTCACATAGGGCAGCAGCAGTGACAACATCGGAGTTGTTTTGCCCGGTGAAATATTTATTCAGGCGGCCGATCAAGTATCAAATGCTGGCAATCTCTCCCTCCTCCCCCGACAGGGCTCATGGGACTCCCTTAGGCCTTGTCTCGTTTTCTCTTATTTTATCCTTCAATAAATCAATTCACTGAGCAAATATGAAACTGACCAAGACTGAACAACAAATATCTGTTGGCTGATGTCACTGTGATGTGACAGCGAAGGTTCTCAGCCACTAGACTCAGGTTCAAATCATTAAAACTAAGGAGCCCAAGTACCTCCAGAAGGTTCCAGTCGTACCTGTAAATATTTGAAAGCACCATTGTGAGGAAAACAACAGGGGAATAATGGAGCTTTTCAGGGCTGCAATTTTCTTTAAAATGTTGGCATGCATACAACAGAATTACCTCAACGGAATAAAAAATAAGTGCTACAATATGTTTCCTGAAAGCTATGTAGGAAAACAAAATGTTCTGGAAATTCTCACTCTTTAAGAAAAGTGACTTTCTCTGGGAAAGAAAGTCACCATACAAGAGGGTCTTAGAGGGCAGCAAAATAAAGAAATTGAGCAAACATTGTATTTTTAAGCATACTTTCCAATCTCGGGTGCATTATGAATATAACCCACAACCACTTAGCCAAAAGTAATAGCAGTCGCACATGTGCGGATTCTCGCCAAACTGATAATTTCAGGACAATGCACATTAATGATCATTAGTATTAAAAAAAAGTAAATATATTGGATGTTATAGCTGCAGAGATATTTTTATCTTTACTCCCTGGGTAGGAACGTACATACAACATACAAGACGGGCAGTTTGTTTTTAGCCATAGTTTGAGTGGAGTTGAAATGCTGATCAGTTAAGGGTTTTCACTTTTCACGTATGTGAAGGAGAAGACGGCACCAGATATTAGTGGCCCTCACAGAGTGTGCGTTCTTCTGTCCGAAGGTTGTTATTCTGAGGGAGCCCTAGTTCTCAGACCACTTGAAGTCTTTAGGTTTGAAATAGGAAGACCCCTTTTAGACTAGACCAACCTTTCAGTAGCAATGTACACTACAATGCAGAGTCAGAGGACCCATCTCCAGGTTTTGAGGCTCTGTTTGGTCAGGATCTTTAGGAAGATTTAACCTATGGTGCATAATTTGGGTGGTGGGGGAAACTAGAGTGCCCAGAGGAAACCCATCCAGATACAGGGAGCAACATACAAAGTCCACAAAGAATCAAACACAGGAATCGATGCGACCATAACCTTGCACAAGGTGTGCATGAGCATGGCACACTTAGCTGTTGGTTTTTCATTGGTTTCCCCTCAAACGATGCTCTCCCAACACACTGCTCCCGACAGGCTGCAGTAGCCACAGAGGCCAGGCTGAAGGACGAGTCAAATGTAGAAAACTTGATGAAGCTAAATACCGATACTGAAGATGCATGGTTTTTTACGATTATCCTTGAGTATACACCCAAGGAAAATCATGTCTAACTCAAAGGTCTGGGAATCAATCACAGAAAAAGCACATACCATTTTCACAAAGATTTGGGATGGGCGTTCTGTAAAGTCTTTTCTAAGTTTGCTAAAGCAACCAGCATGGATTTCAGACAGAGAGTAGGTTAGAGCTGTGGTTTTATATTGCATTCATGTGATATCAGAAAACTACTGAGGTATAGCACAACCAACATCAGACTTCCAATCAGAGCATTCATGATGCAGCTGGTAAAACACATATGAGACAGTCGCAACAATAACAACTTGAACCTTAAACTGGATTATTTTTGCTCATATTTTAGCAATGTATTGAAACCTATTATATAGTTGTGATATGAGAATTTCAATTAATAAATATATTGCTGATTTGAACAAAACTGTGTATAAAACCATCAGTGTGATCATTGATTCCCTCTCAGTTTGTAATATCTCCCTTTACAATCTGACGGACTCAGAGCCTGCCACGTTCACACAAGTTATATTTCCAACCAGAGCAGCGATCATCCCGTTTTTCTGAAGTGGAAATCTAAGATCAAATGAATCTGCAGCAACAGTCTCACAGCTGCAGAACCGGAGACATCCACAGTACGGATCACTCCTGAGTCATGCCATAAAGGCTCCTCAGTGACTTTGAACAAAACTGACAAAATTAAATAGATCAGGCTCACTGCTGCATCATCACCAGTCATAAAGTAAATCATTTAACATCTTGCATATTATTTGCTTGATACTGCAGCATTCTTTTGTCAATTGCACACAAAAATATACATCATATTTTTCCTGTCTTATATTCATATGCAGTTATGCGTTTGTTTTGCCTTCTTTTGGCAAAACACAAGTACTGCTGCCACAACACACAAAGCCAAGTACTGCGACCTTTATTAGTGGCATAAAGTTTGCAATACTAAATTATTACCTTAAATATTATTTTATTAGAAGAACCCATAGCACTGTAGTAACAGTCTAAAGAAACACAATTGATGAGAAGACAATATCTTTCAACTAAAGTCATGAGCCACAGAATATTACGTGTTAGAAACCAGTTTGTATGCATCTGCATAACCACAAAAACTCTTTTGCGTCTAATTCAGGTTGAAGACAATGCCAAAGCAGAAAGTTAAGCAGTCTTCCATTAAGTCTAAATTCAATTGAGAAACCTTAAAACAAATTTACAACAAACATCGCTTTCAAGGGGGGCAGTGGAAACTAATTAATAATGGAAGAGGTTGCCATCTTTACATGTGTTATTAAAGGTAAACAGCATTGAGATGGCAGGGGTTCCTGGAAAACAGGTGCATATGAAATGATTTGGACTGCGTCAAGCACTTTTAAAGTCAGGTTACTATAAACAAACTGCCCTTGAGCAAAAGCTGAACCTTCATAAACATGATATATATGCTTTCATGTATATACATTTTAGTAATATAATAATGTATAGTATAGAGCGCAATTGCTTTTTGGTTTCGAGGCAACGCTAACATTGCGGCTTGAAAATATCTGAGTCAATAAGAACTTGCTCAACCTGCTGTGGCAAGTGTCCAAGATAAGCCTCTCAGGATCAAGCTCCAATGCTAAAGTAATAGCAGCGTGGACACGTCAGAAAACTTCTTTACAGAAATTATGCTGAGAGACACAGTATGCAAGTGGGAAAAGTGGCTAACCAGCTGGAGATTGTACATTTAAACCAGTCATTCCATACATCGGTTGCATTGATGATGTGGAAGAATGCAGCCAAGCTAACACCAGTGCCATCCCCATGGGTCGACTCTCTGCTTAAAAAGACGGTCAGTACCGACTAACCTGGAGAGATGTTTCAGAATCTGTTTCTTGATCAGCCCAGCCATGGTTGTGTGGTTTTAGGCGAGATGCCACTGTGAGTGTTGGTTGTCAAGCTAAGGCTAGCCTGACCGCTAGCTTATTCCTGGAGTTCAAATGATCATCTCGTCATCAGTCTTCCTCGCATTTCTTGCTACGTTCGCAAGAAGATAAACAGAATCTACTCCATCCAAGCGCCACTGGAGCGACAAAGACCTCTTGGTTACTTTTGTTTAAGCCATTACAATTATATACATCGATTCTCCAACTCGCAAGCAGTCCCGAAACATCACACCATCACACCTGAGCGTAGCAGCAGCGTCATGGTGTGTGGGCGGAGACATGTGTGGCGTTCAGGGCCTGCGGGAACTATCAGGATTAACAACACTGCTCACTCATGATCTCTGTAATGATTCCATTTACAGATGGCATGGTAAGAAAAACTATTTCACTCTTGTAAATGTGCTCAATCATCTGTTTATAAATCTTTGCCTTTTGTTGACATAATAAGGTAATAATGACATTAGGCTGAAGAAGCGCCGATGGAGGCTTTTGCTGACACCTACTGTTGATGTAGGCGTATTGCTGGTTTATTAACTAAAATTGCTGGTATAAAATAAAAACGTACAGCAATAACATGTAGCAAGGTACAAATGTGGGCTGGTTACCAAATTATTATTATTAATTATTGATGTACTGGAATGAAAGTGGCTGGAAAGCAGAGGATGGGTTGGTCTGGGGCTGAATAAGAAAAGAATGGCAGACATTAAAAATGCTTAACCTGTGGGAAGAGGAAAGGGTGAATGGTGCAGTGATTAGAACAGAAAAAATAACCCACTAAAGGCGTGTGAACAATCTGATCAAAAAAGTCTGTCCTGTTCAAAAGAGTTATTTATTGGCCCTTTCTGTTACATTTGAAAGACCCGACTCTGCACAAATTTATATTTAAGATTCAAAACTACTACTATCAATAGAAGTCTTTATACTAATCAAATTTACTAGAGATAAGATTATTAACAAGTGAGTGTATACTGTATTATCTTCATAATCACGAGCCCCAAGAACACAACGTATGAAGTATTCATACTTTTTGGTACTTTTGGGTATTTAATAATAATAATGGTGATTATGTTGATGATAATTGTTTATAACGCAACAAAAAGTTGCATATAACCATGTAAAAAGTTGCATGGTGTGACATACGTTTTACACATTATACTACAGCTTTCTTTAAACTATATGGCGATAATTATTGTAGTTCAATGGATTATAATCCAAATTGAGGCTCAGAGTTGGAATGGTTGGCGACAGGAAAATGTCTCGGGGTCTAGAAAGTGGAGAGTTGCCACGTATGAAAGGAGGAGCCAGTCACAAGGACTCAGACCTGACTCTCCCAGAACACTTATCCGCATCAGCAGGCCTTCTGCTGTTGCAACTTTACACAAAGCATTTTACATATAGGGTGAATATGAGTAAACGAGGGAACTTTTTTTGAAAACTCAACTTCATTGACTTTTTTTCTTAGTTTAAAATGTTATCACAATTACATTTCTATAAAGCTTGTAAAGTCAACTGTATATTACAATTGAATAAAACATGAAATACACAGAACATTGAACACAGAAAACAAGAATCATCTGGATATTCCAACGTAGGATCAACGAAAGCCTATAAATAAAGTGGGAAATGTAAATATTCAATCATTTAAATGGTAACCCAAAACTATAGGCAATATATTTACATTTATTTGGAGTGTAACTTGGCCTGAGCTTGGGACATCCCCCATCCGCATACCTCAGCAGAAAAAGCCTGGGGAAAGACACGCCGCGCTCCCTGATACGCTGTTGTCCTTGTGGGCCTGGACCTCCATGGCCTGGACTCAAAGCACTCTCATCCACGACTGCAGATCCAGCCTGCATCCCTGCCACCTCAAACTTATTCAACTTTGCATTAATTTTAAAATGACTGCAAAAAACCGAAACAAGAACAGCGCCGCTGAGAAGAGCCCTGTGCCAAGCCAAGAAGATGTGCCAAAGAAGAACCAAAAAACTTCCAGCAACGGGACCACCAGCCTCCCGAGTCAGGGGCAAGGCTCGGGGAACTGCCTCGGGTTCTTTGCATCCGCTGTGTTTTATGTCACTTTATTAGGCGCCGCAGGGTTTGCAGCTTTTTATTTTCAACAAATAGTGGAGGAAATTCGCCAGACAAGCGCCGTACGTGAGGAAAGCGCACTACAAAACGCAGAGCTCATCAGTAAAATGCAGACTCTTGTTCAACAGGTACGATACGCCTCAGCTTCTGTAATGTCCGTGCTAAAATAGAATAAATGCATGACAACCTCAAGATGGTATGGGTCATTCCTATGGCTCGAGTACTCTGTGTACTTTTAGGGGGCGTGTTCATTCTGTAAAATAATATACGTTTTGTATTTGTTCTTTACTTTGACTTACGTAACTTCATGTAGCCTAAACAAAATATTAAATTAGATTTCAAACATGAACCCAATTGCAATTTAAAGGGGATTATAAGTTTAACTCAGGGGTTCTTAAACTTTTTTGAGGGCTCCTCAATTGAAGCATGAAACTATCACCCCGCACTGATAATTAGTGTTAATAAGTAATAAGTGCCAAAACTTGCTACATCCATTTGGCTTTCTCTTATTTGAGTCTTTTGTTGTGCTATTTATCATAATGTCACTAAGATTGTAGAGTGTTGTGTTAAATAATGGGTGAACTATAGAGAAAAACATTAAAGATTTTATTTAGAAATCTTCTCTGGATTTCTTATTGTCTTGTGCTCCCTCTGTGGGTCCCGCCCCTCGTGTTGAGAACCACTGGTCTAACTGCATTTCGTTGTGACTGTGTACAGGTGGAGAATATACAGAGAGTGGTAGATGGACTGGAGTCGTCACTGGGCATCACTCGGGGGGAGATGGAGGGGGCCATCAGCCGAATGAAGAGGGGGGAGGTGGAGACCAGGAAAATGGAGGAAGCTCTTCACAAGCTCCAGAAAGATCTCCTTAGGGACCTGTCGCAGGGCATGGCTGAGGTGAAAGAGGAGAACAAAAGGGACTTCTCCTCTCTTGAGCAGGCAGTGGAGGAGCGACTGACAGAGGCAAGTCAGTCCCTTGAAGCTAGTTTCAGAGAGTTCACAGAGGCTCAGGAAGACACCAAGACACAACTTTCCCAACTTAAGATTCAGATGGAGGGAATAGAAGATCCTGCACTGGTTAAACAAGAACTTTCTGAAATTGTGGACACTGTAGTTGAAATAAGAACGGCAAAGCAGGAAGCTGATGCGTCTGTGGACTCCCTCAGACAGCAGATCATTTCAGTAAGGGAAGAGCTGCAGACACGCAACCAGGAAGTAGCTTCGTTGTCCAAAGAATTTGAGTCAGTGAGGACATCAGTGCAGGAGAATATGGGCCGCCTGAGGCAGTCCCTCTCTGATGCTGAGGTCAGTGTCCAGGCAGTGAAGGACAACAGTGTGACCATAGAAACCCAGGTGGGGCAGACAGCACAGGCAGTTCGCGATGTGGAGAGCAAACTGGTTGAAGCTGCTGCACAAACCTTAAAGAAATCTGATGAACTTGAATCTAGGGTGAAATCCTCAGAGGAAAGCAGTGATTCTCTGTCCTCTTCTCTTTCTGATCTCACCTCCAAAGTGGAGTCTCTCCTGTCCAAGTGTGACACGTATGACAGCACAATGGCAGCACAGGGTCAGACAGTGGAGCAGGCCAAAGCCATTATGCAGCAAGAATTAGAGGCAATTAAAAGTGCTCTAAGTGAACTGCAGTCTAGTGTGACTGATGTTAGCAATCAGGTCCTTCTGTTTTCTCAAGACTCCAGCCTCAGTGTTCAGGTGGAGGATCTTGGCAGAAGGTTGGAGGATGTGGAGAGAAGCAGTGCTGGTAGCGTGAGGCCTGAGCAGCTGGAGAGCCTTGAGAGCTTGGTCAGCAATCTGGAGGGCAAAGCTGCCAAACTAGAGGGTCATGAAAATGCCATTTCTGCTCTTCAGGAAACTCTACAGAAGACCACACAAACACTGGCCGGTCTATCCAAAGCTCCAAAGGCCTCAAAGTAGGGAGCAACTATCACAAATAATAACAGGTCAAACAATGAGCCACTGTGAAAAGGACTCTTTTAAAGCGGAAAAGGATATGATGGACTGTGGATTTGTGAAATCCAAACTCATTCTGCACTGTTTCTTTTAGATTTTTCTGTTTAAGCACCTCCACTTTTTACAATAAAATTCTTTTCATCTAATGTGTTATTTTTATTCAACTAAAATTAATTTCTATTTCAGTAAACAATTGTGACAAAGCCAAACACTAATACGTTGGAGACATCTCTATAGTTGTGAACAGTATTTTCTGTTTTCATGTTTATCTTAAATCTAGGTTTATCATGAAGAACTCACATACTGGGCTACTTCACATAACAATATCGTTCTTTACAGAATCATTTATTGTCAAGAATAAATACATAAGGCTCCCATTGAACCCTCCCAGCAGCCTAGTGAAGTCATTCACCTGTTTTCCATGAGAAATCTGCTTATTTACCTCCCCTCAATTTTAGAAACCTGAAATACGTGATTTACTACGGAAGCTTGTTAGGTTCACTTGTGAGTGTGTTTTTTTTCCGCTGGTATCATGTTATTTCATGATACTTTCATGAAATAACATGATAAATATCATGTTATTTCATGATACGCAACTATCATGTTATTTCATGATACACAACTATCATGTTATTTCATGATACCAATTTATCATGTTATTTCATGATACGCAACTATCATGTTATTTCATGATACACAACTACCTTGTTATTTCATGATACCAATTTATCATGTTATTTCATGATACGCAACTATCATGTTATTTCATGATACACAACTACCTTGTTATTTCATGATACCAATTTATCATGTTATTTCATCATACCAATTTATCATGTTATTTCATGATACTTTCATGAAATAACATGATACACAACTACCTTGTTATTTCATGATACACAACTATCATGTTATTTCATGATACCTATTTAGCAGAAGCTGACAGCTTCTTCTTCTTCTGTATCTACAGTATCATGTTATTTCATGATAAACTGGTATCATGAAATAACATGCTAATTGGTATCGTGAAATAACATGATAGTTGTGTATCATGAAATAACATGATAGTTGTGTATCATGAAATAACATGATAGTTGTGTATCATGAAATAACAAGGTAGTTGTGTATCATGAAATAACATGATATTTATCATGTTATTTCATGAAAGTATCATGAAATAACATGATACCAGCGGGGAAAAAACACTCACAAGTGAACCTAACAAGCTTCCGTAATTTACAAAGTGATAATTCGCTGTCATTATTTGTTAGAAGGGATTGAACACTATTCCCTCTAAGTTATGAAGTCATTCATGTCACTGGTCCATAGAAATAAAAGACACATATAATTCATCAATGGAATTGTATTTATTTACATTTCAGTGTGTAATTAGAAGGAAAGAGTTCATCATTGCCAAGCCAAAATTAAGGTATAAATAAAGTACAGGTTGTCACATGAGAGTCAGAGGTAAAATACAACAAAATAAGTTGTTTGTAGCTGGTATAGTAGTCAAGTTCCAGCAGCTATGTTGTGAATGTAAATACAGTATCTAGCATCTTCAGCTCAGCAGATCTCCACAGACGCCACCCAACCCCTGTGGGCAGAGTTTAAGATGCTCCTCTCTGGCCGCAGATACAGTATAGTTCCACTAAATGCAGGACTAACAGATTTAAGTTTTATCCCTGTTGCCGTCGTGATTTTAAACAGATCACTGTAATTCTGCTGTTTATCTTTGTTTCCCTGTGTATATGTGTACCTTTTTGCTGCTGCAACCAAATTGCCCCTCGGGGATAATAAAGACACCTTGAACCTTGAATCTACTGCTGCAGGTGCAGGCACAGACCAAACAACTGGATTTCACAAAAGAAACTAGCAAACCAAATGAGAGGCTCATTCAGACCGATTCGAAAGGTAAATATATAGACAGATGGTCATTTATCTTGTGTTGAGAAGAGATTCTGCAAAACAATTATCCTAAAGGTCCTCAGAGCCATCTATAGTGTCACTAACCTGTCTCGTTCCATCCCCTAGTTCACTGTCTACTTTTGTAAGGTTCCCCAGTGTATGTCTCAGGTCCAGAATCTCCTGCTCTCTTTTCATCACGTCTTCTGCCAGTTGTCCTATTCGCAGAGTCAGATCTGACAGCTGAGGCTCTAATGCCCCAAAGTCTCTTTTGATGGTGAAGACCTTTGGTTTGAGGTTACTGGCAAATGTCACAGTTCGTATTAGCTTGGCTCTCCCACTCTCCATGTCCCTCAGCTGCTCTGCCAGCTTAGTGTCAGCCGAGACCAGCTCCGGAATACGGTGCTGGAGCTGCTCTATGGCCTGGCTGTTGCGCTCCGAAGAAGAGCGCAGACTGGACACTCTGTCTATGCTGCTGGTCAGGACGTCCCCGATCCGTTTGACCATGCTGCTTTCCGCCTGCGACACCTTGTCTTCTAGTTGCCCCACCTGAGAGAGCAGAGACTCCAGCTCTGAATGGAGCCCATCCATCCGACGAACATCTGTCCTCACAGAAGTCACCTGCACAAACAAGTGCAATCTGCATGTTAAAGGACAGAACATCTTGTGCCACAATGGAATCGTATGTCTCGATTACAATCATACCTTGCTTGTGAAATCCCTTGCAATAGTAGAGGTGCGTTCCTCAATCTGTGCCACAGCTGCTCTGAGTGCAATGAGGCTGGATTGGAGGAGCGATTGTTTCTCAGAGAGTCCAGAGGCCCAGTTCCTCAACAGGACTATCTCCTGCTCCTGTTGTTTGAGTCCAGACTCCACTCCTTTCTGAGCCCCAAGACTCTCCAACTTTAGTTGTACACTCTCACACTGAAATTCAGCAGGGGGATCGAGGTTTATTCAAGTATTCCATGTTAGATTTAAAAGTACACATTCTTTACAAGTCTTCAAAAGTGATTTTATTAAATAATAACATTCAGAAAACACTAGTGCTTGTCAGTGACATCATTGTTATTGTTATTGAGATAAAATAACTACTCTAAATGAAACATTAATTAATATATTTTCAAGACATATTTGAAAAAAGTAGTAGTGATAAATAATAATGATGATGAAACACAGAATCATCACATGATTTCATCAGTGGACAGAAGAGACTCCTCATTCTCCCAAGGCTCATCTTCCTCATGTGTCCATGCTTCCTCTTCCTCTTGACTGGCCAATTCTGCTGCATTTTCATCATTGGTTTGCCTCAACACCAGAGTGAGTTCACGGACTGCCTCTTTCACTACAGAGAGCTCATCCTTCATCTTGAGGATGCTGTTTTTAGTGTGTAATGTGTCCAGCTCCTGTCTGATCTGTAGGATTTCATTCAGGGCCTTGAGCATATTGTCCTCGGTGCCAAACACCTGTAGAGTCAGTTCCTCCAGTCTTTTCTCAGTCCCGCTCAGGTCACTCGCCAGCCTCACAATGGACCGGACAGCCTCCTCTACTTTGGGCAAGTGCTGTTGACACTCCTCCGCTTTGGGGATGTGCTCCAGCAGCTGAGAGCCGAGTTCAGACTCTCTGCGAGCGAGGCTGTTGAGCTGGTCCTTCAGTGTATGGATCTGTTTGGTGTTCCACTCCAGATGGTCCTGAACTCTTTTCACATCATCCCCCTCTGTGCGCTCCAGAGCACGGGCATTCCTCTTGGTGCTGACCTCCAGCTCCTCCAGTCTTTCCTCCAAGTACTTAAGTCTGCGCTCAGCCTCATTCACCTTTTCAGTGGCTTCAGAGTGAGCGTCCCGGGACTCTGACTTTAATGCCACTAAATCTGAGTTGATCACACCAAGACGTTGCTGCCATGTTTCAGTCACATTCAGAAAGTGTGCGTTGACCTCTTGGAGATGACCAGAGGCCGACTTCTCATTAGCCTGTACCGCCATCACAGCCGTGTGAAGAGTGGAGATATCTTTCTGAAGTCTTGAGGCCATGGAAATACTGGATAGCGCCACCTGGAGGTCGTCATCTGAAGCTGCGAGCTGCAGCCGCAACACAAAACAGGAGTGCTGTTTCTGTAGGAGCTCAATGATTTTTTGCTTACACAATAACAAATTATGGCCTGGTGTAAAATACATTAGATCTTGGCTTATGTTGACCTTAAGATGTTTACATAATAATCAAGTTGATTCCTGATACAGCCTCGTGGCGTTGTACTGTTCAACTACATACCTTTTTAGAAACAGTCTGTATTTCTTCTTCCATGGCTACGAGAGGTGAAGTTTTCTTGATTAAAAGAAGGAACTTTCCTTCAATTTCAGAAAACCTTTCATTCTGCTGCAGCACGACCCTAAAAACACCATAATTTATTCGCAAGGAAAATGACCGTAGTTCTATGGGAAAGTTTGAAGGGCTTACCAGCTGAGAGCACCACAGGCAGTGAGTGACAGTAAACACAAGATGCTTTTGAAATCCAGGAGAAAACTCTTTTCTCGTCCAGGGAAGTGTCTGGCAGCAGCTTTCTCTTTCTGGCCATCACTGGAGCCATTTGCTACCGTTTCAGTCTGCTCATCACTGGGCTTCTGTTGGGGCTTTTTCCTTTGCTTCACCTCATTGGGCATTTTACCTTCTGGAGTTTGAAAGGTAAACTCAAACGTAAACGCAAGCACCTTAGGGATGAATAAGCCCCTTCCCCGCAACAAGGCTCATAGCCTTCACCTTTCCCTATTCTTCCCGAATCGCACAAACTTGCGCTGCGTTGAACTCTTTTCTTCTCCAAGGAATGGTGCGTTTAAAGGACTAATAAGGAGTTGGAAAGTAGACTGCTGGACAAACGGCCATGCCCTATCCGCGCGCATAGTCCCAACATTAACATCTTAATTAGGTGTGGGGAAATGTGTCATTCAATAAAAAAAATGCATTAGTAATGCTGCGGAATAAAACAGCTATTAAAATAAAATAAAAACATTTTCATTCAATATCTTAGCATGGGACAAGTTGGACTACATATTTGCAAACATAAAAAAGAGACCCTCAATGCATCACTTAGCCACGTAGGCTTGAGGCTTACCCACCATTTACAAAATAATACATTTCGTTAAACAATTATAAACATCAAAAGTACTTTATTAAGATGTGTCCAAAATGTAACACTTGTTTGACAACATTATGAGACGTTACAGCTGCATAATTAATCATACTACATTGCAATGCAGAGGTTTTAGAAATAATATGAAAGTATTCAACGGACAAAAAAGCTGCCAGTGTTGGGGAGAAATTACATGTGCCAAGAAAAAATATTCAGAATTCATTCATTTTGAGTATATGTAGAATTCAGTGTAATCTCCCTTACACTGTTGGTTTGAAGCTTCCCATGTAAAGTGAGAGACAACCAGTGATAGATGTAAAAGCAGTGTTGGGTAAGTTTGATACGTTTTTAAAAACTGTAATTACTTTCTAATGTAAGTAGTCCTTCTGAATCAAGTTAGTAATATTACTTTTGGATTACTTTTTTGCAATGTTCTCCAAATTAAATAATTCTATGTGCCATGGTTAATTTAAGATTTCAATTGCAGAAAATAAATGTGAATCTAAATTAACCAGCTGAAATGTTTATGTGCCGAAACATCAACGTTTCTGCTGCTGATAAAGGCTGAGGTACTGCCTCTATAGGCACATTCAGAACGTCCCATGTTTAAACTCTGGCATGTTTCAATTGGTAATATGCTGTTGGTGTTACAATCTTTATTGGCGTTGCAAATAACTAAACTTTGGCGGCAACTAAACTAATAGCAAATTAATTATTAATATCTAATTAGTATTTAATATACAAATATTATTATTTTTAAAGTATTTAATGCGTTAAATTACTTTTCATTGCTGTAATATGATGACCTTTAAAGTACGCACACCCAACACTGGTAAAAAATAGACTGAAATTCTATACGGCGTCACTCTATCAAACTGAAAAACGGCACATCTTGAAGTCATGTGATGTCGCCTCAATGAACCTCCTGTAATCTGTAAGAACTAAACATTTCTTCATTATATTTTGGAAAGCCTAAATCTACATAACATTGCAACAAAATTGCAAAACTCAATGGTAAAATTTTGAAATAAAGCCTACACATGTAAACAGACAAAAATATGTTCTTAATAATTTTCTTAATAACATTTTAGCAAGACAGAACAAAGTAAAGCATAGCGTAAAGGGACCTACACAAAAACAGCAACATTTAAAGATCATAAGGCTCAACAATATTCATAATGAGACTGTAATAGCTACTTCATGCATTTGTGCTTTTAGACTTGCAAATTCTGAAGATTTTGGTTCTTGGGGAGAATAGTTTAAGTGCACTTTTGAAATAAATATGCAAAAATGACTACAAGAATAGCTCCTCCTCACCACCACCAAAGGCCAGTTTCCCTTCATTATAAAAAAAACAAAAAAACAACACAAATTGACCATGAAGTAAAAAGGAAATCATTCATTCAGTGGACATAATTGCTTATCTTGTATATTTTTTATATAGATTTTCTTACGCCATTGACTGGTCTCAAGAACGCCACAACTCAGGAACCATAATGATCCTAAAAATAATAAGTCATTAGGTTTGTTGAGAAATAAAAGTGCAAATAGTGGCAGTGGTTACCTGTATAGTGTTGACAACGCCGCTGGCCATCACAGACAATCTTCCAGCGACTGAGCGTACTCCCTGTTTCAGCTGTGACATATCAGGAGCACTGGGCAGAACTTTGGTTAATCGATAAGAACTTGCTGTGTGCACAAAGTAATAATTCATTGTTCATTTTCAATGACGGACAATGTTTACAGTAGAAAGTGACTCACTGCTTTGTTTTTTCTCGTCGTCAAATAAATCTGATGAACTTATGGAGGAATTAGCAGACAATCTCTCCAGTCTTCTTTTAGGCTCATACTTAAATTCATGAAAAAAAAAAAAGCAAAGGGACTTACTCAGGCTTTCTATAAAAAAATAAAGGGTGCACCAATTTCAAGTAGCTCAAGAGTCTAGAACAGCAGTGGGCAAACTTTAACCAACCAAAAGCTACTCCTCCAGTGACCAGTGAGGCTGCCTTACCGCATGAAAGATATCTTGGCTTCATATCAAATAGTTGTACTATTAATTGTAGATTCGCTTTGAAATTGAAGAGGTGGTTGAGAGAACATCCTTTGAACCGAGTCTCTGCAATGACTCTGAGTCCACCTGGGGTCTGGACCCCACTTTGGGAAGCACTGGTCACAACAGCATTACAGAAGATCACCATTCATTTGTAATGGCAACCACATAAAACGCAGAAACTGTAGGTTGAGTATTTGTACAGTCAGTATTTACTCATCAGGCAAGTTTCACCTCTGTAAATCTGATCAGGAAAAAACTTGAATGAATACATGTAACATGAAATGCCTGCTTATTTTGTAAAACTAGTTGTAAACATGCCCTAAGCCTCAAAAATGTCTAAAAATAATGCATTTTCTAAAATCGGAGTCTCATACAGGTGTTTGGTGGACGTAGGCGTGGTCAGTGGGGACTGTCTTTCTAAATGAAAAACGTGTGTGAGCCGCAGACTTTGGATATGTGCCCCGGCCAGGATGGACGCCTGCGTGATGTCAGAAGGTGAAACAGTTTTACGTGGCAAACAACGATCACATTCTCACCAGCGTCGCTACAGCACAACGGCTCAGACCCCGCTCTCCGGGTGCAGGGGCTTTTAACTCACACATAATACCTGGTGCATTTACCTCATTATTGTCCTGTTTCCCAAAGTACATGTCAGAAGAAATAGCTTTGGCATCACCGAACTTGTTCTGAGCATCCCCTGTATCCACCACTGGAACGGGTTCTGCTTTTCTCCTGGATGTAGATCTAGAAAACAAGTTTACCAGACAAAATTCAGTTATTATCACATGCATTTGGAAAAGTATTACATTACTGATATAGATAGTGATGAAATTTGCACAGAATAATCATAGTTAAAACATTCTGATGTGTGATGATGTAAGAGAACCTGTCATCACGGGCCAGTACAGCGGTTGTGATGTAGAAGTCTGGTTCCGGTTTCTTGCTTTCTTTAAGCCACCCTCCTCCTTCACTGCTGTCGTCCCAAAGAGCTGAATACTTATCTGATGTTTCATTTTCAAACCGTGACAAAACCCTACATAAGTAATAAACTCATAATAACTTACATTTTACGAAAAATTACAATGAAGGACTTCGTAATAGCGCTTACTTACCTAGAGCTGAAAGAAGCGTCATCATCATCAATATTTTGGCTCTTTTTGGCCTTTCCTCCCAGAGGGTTCTCTTGCTGGATAAACTGGATTTCTGAAGTCACTGAATGGGTAATTCCACTGCCCCCAATACAATACAAATATCATGATGTATAATGTTGCATTGTAAAACAGTGCAAGTAATATATAAACACCTTCTTAATCCCAGACCCATGCCAAGCCTCTCTGCTTGCTCTTTCTTGTTTCCTTCTAACTTATCAATTTTCTTCTCTTCAAGTTTTCTTTGATTCTCAAGATCTTTATATGCCAGCCGCATGGATGGGGCACTATTAAATATAGAATAGACACATATAGATGAAAAATGTACATCAACATGTAAATGAGAATGTGTGGTTAGCTGCACTCACACAGCCTCCTCAGCCTGAAGCGACATCATCTTTGGTGAAGCACCTTCTTCTTTCTCTCGAAGTTTGTCAACAGCTTGAGCCATTTTTTCCACCTCAGAGAAACTTTTACTACTCACTCTTTGAGCTCCAAGGCCCCCTTTCTTGGAAGCAAGCTACAAGAAATAGAAATCACATGAATAAATAAAATATTGATACAAGAGGATTATTTTTTTTACAGAATGTTGTATTTTGGACATACTGATTTCTTAGCAGCAGTCGGTTTCTTTTTTAATAGTGAGAGACATTCTGTGAAAAGTAGAAGTCATTTTTGTCATTCAACAAAAGTATTCAGGTGACTGCACTAATACAAACCTGGATTTGCCTTTGGAGAAGTGCTCAGCATTTCTACACTAGGCCCTTCTTCAGAGTTACCTGAACAGAAGCACAAACAATAACAGAAAAAAAATGACAATCACGCAAAGTATAAAAAGTAAACAAACCATTTTTGTCTTCTTCAGTGGGTTCAGGTTTTTCAGATGTAGAGGCACTAAGACTCATTTTGGCCATATTTAGATTTTCAGCGAGAGTCTGAAATTAAGATAATAAGAATAATAACACATATTTTATAGCATCAACGCAAATAAAATACAGCACCTACTTGTGTGTGCAGACTAAAGAAATCCAAATGTTTATCTTCTGGCGATGTTGGTGAAAGAGGAGCCTGACTGTCAAGCCATAGCTTTTGAAAGCAGAAAGTTAACCATTAAGTCAGTGAACACCAGTTGTGCATGAGGCTAATACCAGCACCCGGTGATAGCCACATTACCTCAGTGCCATGACACCGTGTGGCCTGTGTGGCAAGTGTCTTTATTTTTTCTCTGTAAAGTGTAGCCGCTCTGCTGTTGTACTTGGTATTAGCTGCAGTGGAGTTGCAGCCATGTTGATTGAAAAAGGCGATCTAAAAGAACATAAAGAAATCAGGACGCAAGACTAATTTGTGTCTCTATAGACCAATACAGATTGGGAAAACAAACACATTTCATATTATCAAGTCTACAACACCACAATGGATTTGAGATGATATCAATAAGATATCTTTTATTTTGAGGATGAATGTTGTATTGACCCAGAAATGGATTAAGGGATTACAAGTTTTTAAGTGAGCTCAAAAGGATTGGGACACAGTAAGGTGCATCAAACGTTCACTTTTTATATTAGGTTACATATTCTTTGCATGTCAATGACAGCCTAATCTCAGTTTAATCTCTGGTGATTCTCTGGCAGGAGCAGGACTCTTCAGTTCTGTTCATGTGGTAATTATCCCTTCAGTTTTATTTTCAGAAAGTGGAATGCATGATCAGTTGGAACCAGATACGGTGATTGACTTGGCCATTGCATAACATCCCACTGAGCGGCACAGGGGCGCAGTGGTTAGCACATTTGCTTCAGATCCAGAAGATCCTGGGATTGGGTCCACCTCCAGGCCTTTCTGTATGGAGTTTGCAAGTTCTCCACTCCGTGTCTGTGTAGGTTTCTTCTGGGTGCTCCGGTCTCCCCTACCACTAAAAGCACGAACAATAGATCTGGCCTCCTGTATGGCGACCCCACTGACATCTCTGTGTGGAGTGAGAGGAAAATGCCCACAAAAAATACATACATTGTAAAGCGCTTTGTTGTTGTTGGTGCCATATAAATAGAGATTACTTATATGCCAGTATGCAGCAATAGTAACAGTATGCTTAGGGTCCTCCAACTACACTGTCACAATATTTGAATACTACTGTCAAATTAATCTCGTTCATTTACTTTCAAATACATAGCGCTGTTGTGTAGAGTCCAAAACATGGGAATTGCACATAGACTGTAAATATTAATTGTATCAATATGGACCTGACTTTATTTACTCACTGCACTGGTGTTGCCTCCCACTTGCATACACCTCAATTGAAACCATGTCCAATTTGAGTCCAGCTCTGTAGACCTGTGACAAACATATTAAGCATTTAGATATGGAACCACCAATTTCAAGATACAAACCAAAATATTAAGACTAAATAACAGAGAAGTAGCTTTGTCACGTACCTGATAAATGACAGGTGCACCCCCAGAGACCGATGTGTCCCTGAGCAGTCAATACAAAGGAATACACCATATGTGATGCTGGCCCAACTGGGGTTTTTAGCAGAGCAGTCAAAGCAAACCTGCAGGACAACAAACAGCTTTAGAATATGAATACTCCAGCTTGTACATTCCAAATCTTTCCACGAAACATCACTGCAACAGGTGAGTTAATGCGAAAGGCCAAGCCAGAGTATGACACGACAAACAGCAGTGGAAAAAAAAAATCAATGTAAAACAGAAAAAAGATTGTAAATCACCCATTAAAACTAGATTCATTTATTTCAAACTCAACCGTATTCATAAATGTGTGTGATAAATATCGCAGTTCCACAGACACATCAGGCGTCAGTACTCGGAGCGACGTGTCAGCTTCTGCCCAGACTTCCTTGTTCAAACGAATGGAGCAGAGGACTCACCTTGTTTGTCTGAATGGAGCGAAGTCTCTTAAATATTGTGGAAATATCTTGTTTTGAGGGGGTTGCCATGGTCGCAGCTGTCCTCTGCACCTTTAGATCAGCATTTGTCACAGTTTTTCCTCAATAACAGCCTGCGCGCGACACGTCAGTTGGAGCGTGTGCAGTCTCCCCCGGTTGGCTGAGGACAACACGTGGTTATGTTGTGGTAGTGTCGTAAGGGCCTTATGGGTAATGTAGTCTTTGAACCGAGTCTCTGCCCCCCATATTATTAAAACCCTTATTTATCACTCATTGTTAATGATTGTGTAAAGCCATGTACCCAAATGACTTCCATTCCTTTTATCAACAGCATGTATTGCCCATTTAAGATCCATGTCTGTTGTGGTAGTTGTGGAGGAGGATTTTAGCCCTCTCTGATGGTAAAGGTGCTCATTCTTCTTTGTAAAAAGCATTCAGTCCCTGTATATTCCTGAACTGTACATTTGAAGTTTATCCATAGCGGCTCAATTATTTTATAGTTTATGAGATGATAGAGTTTGTATGATCTTCATAATGTTCAAAATAAGGCATTTACATTTACACCAAAATATCTGTACTTTCTACAACTAAAAATGGGTTTGGGCGCAGATCTGCAGGCGCAAGTTTGTTCAGTATGAAATAACTGTATTCTGCTTAGACGTGTTTTTATTATCATTTTCTGTGCCAGTACAAAAGAAAACCTCTTTAACGATACCAGTGGTATGTTTCACAAGCAATGTTAAAGTAAGTATCAAATAATTCTATTATTGAAAAATACATTTCACTTTTCCCAAATATGTATAAACATGGGAAGGATTTAAATTCTATAACTAGTATACCAGATTTCTTTTGCTACCTCTGAAGAGAGCTTTTACAATGGTAAAACACAACTACTGCTTTAATGTGGCATTGAGTATTATGTACAATAGATTTAAATGAATGTGCAACAGAAAAGTACTAATCTTGAGAGAAATGGCATATAAAAGCAACGCAATATAAATCAATACATTTGAAAAGATGATTACGCCTCACTTTGTAAATGAAAAATGAAAAATATATTTGAATGTAAACATCACATCATATCAGAGCTCACAAGATATTTGCCTTTAATGGTGGCTATTTACATACACAACAGCAATAATAAGATCCAGAGTTTTATACTTTAAAATTGCTATATATTAAAACAATGTCTTCAAAAGTGGAGTACTTATGTGGTACAATCAAAAACAATGTCAGTGTTGCTGAGATAAATCAAATGAAACTAGTTCTGTGAAATGACTGAAGCCTGGGAATGTGAACAGTGGATGAACTATTACAATCAGTGAATTACCTTTACATTCATTTCAGTGAAAAATATTTGAACCCCAATTATTAATTATTTTGTTGTGGACATAAATGAAGAATGTTCAGATTTATTGTCGACTTTATGTAATCATTCATTCAATCATTGTGAGTCCTCCAAACTAAGCAAGAAATTAAAGTAAGAATTACAAATATAAAATTAATTTGAAATCAAATGTTATGAATCAAAATTAAGCCATTTTCTACCTGCAGAAATGGTTGAATGTATTTACTAAATAATCTCCCTTAATGCATCCAAAGTGGCATTTAAAAGAAAAAAACACATAAAGGAAAAAAAAACTTGAATTTGATAAAAGTTGTATTTTCTGTAACAGCACACATCTGGTTGTATGAAAATTGTAGCTCCTGGTGACATTTTCTCTGTGCCATTGAAAACCTTCCAGGCTTCTTGAGCAACACTTGGAAGTGGTTACTTTCCATATTTTAAATAGTTTCATCACGTCATTTAATGGAAAGACACAATAAGAAGTAATCCATTCAAATTGCGCATGTTTTTTTTTTCAGTCTTACTGTCCACAGGAAAAACATGGAATATAGCGCTTAGCCACGTTTACTGGATGTCTTCCACATAGTTGGCTGGATAGAGCCCCATAAGTCCATCCTTGAGTCGACCTTTGCACCAGCCTTGGTCATCCTCTTCTCCAATTTTTGTGAATTCATCTCCTGGAACATCAGATTTATTTAGTCAAAGAAACTTATCAAAAACAACATGTTTAACTGTGTAGTTACCCGCTTTAAAAGTCAGCTCATCCTGCTCCTGCCCTTCATAGTCATAGAGAGCTCGGACAGGCACCGATATCATAGGAGAAGATGGTTCCTCCTCAAATGGATTTCCATTTCCATTGGTAGAAAAGGGATTTGCACTCATGTCTTCATAAGACCAGTCTGGGGTCTTTTCTGTACTGCTAGCACTGAGAAAGAATAAATACATATCAGCTGGGACCTTCAAATATAAAAGTATTGCAGATGGAAACAATAAGCGATGCAACATAAAAGCTGGAAAAAGTAGAAAACCAGCGGACACCAAGCCTAGAAAGGATTAAACAAGTCTAGTTAATTCTACATATGTACAATAAAGAGCATGCTTACAAAGTGGAACAGATAGACATTTATTTTGGTGCTGTGGAGTTTAGTTGAGAAATGCTAAAAACCAGGCAATGTAAAAGAAACAGCAGCACTAGGCAACAGGAGACAAAAATCATGTAACAAACACATTTGATTTGACCTGCATGACCAAAAGAGGGAGCCACAGAGACACCAAAGATAGCTTTCCTCTCATGAGACAAAAGAAGAAAATGACAGACACACCAAGCAACACCAAATGATCTACAGTCAGACTTTTGTACGACCTCTAGATGAGGGTTGAATGTGGTTTAAGGCAATCCAAGACTACTGTGAAAACAGTCTACAATGACAAGGGTTTGAAACTCTTTCAGTTAAATTGTATAGACAAGGAGGGACACCACAACAAGCTTTCCTCTATGAAGACAATATTGGCTTTGTACATTTCCACAGTATGGAATTCAAAGTACTTATTTTATTGTTATGCCATATTATGAATGTATGTATTATGGCAAAGTTTGTGTTACAGGTGAGTTGATTGGGTCAAGTTATGATTTTTAGGGTCTGACTGTATAATATCCAAAGTCTAGCACAGAAGAAGATATGTTGGACTTGTGCGCACTTCCATTCCACTGACCATGCAGCACACTAATGGACAAGATGCACCCACAACACAAAAACAGGAGGCAGGTTTCAAGACGCTGCAAGACAGTACACGGTCTCCTTTTCACCAACATTTGTATCTCTTCTTTACTGACACCGTTGTGGTTGACGGTAGTCTGCACCTTCTCCTCCTGCACCTTCTCCTCCTGCACCTTCTCCTCCTCCACCTCCTCCTCCTCATCTTCGTCAAAGGGGTTTGTGCTCATCGGTTCAGTTATGGTGGGCATGGTGAGGCTGACAACACGAGACACGGTGAGATGAAGGTCGTCAAGAAGACAACATGGCCAAATCTGTCATTATCTATGTGTTGTAAAGTTCTCTGCTGAGAACATCCGTCTCCTTGGTAACACAGTTTGTAAATCCTACTAACAATGAAAGTGGTTGACAACATCAAACATAGTGTATTAACATAAACACCAAACAACATTTATTTAATATGTATATGCGTTTACCATTCTAGGCAAATATCTCTAGAGTGTTTTACAAAACATGTGCTTCCTGTATGTGTAATGTGTAAAAAGATGCATATGTTAACATAGTTCATTAACTGCATATGTAATAATGCTCCTTAAAACAAGAACAATACATCCCACAATTAAATTCAGTTTTGAGGTCAGTTTTACTTCCTGCCATTGTCGCCCTCTTAGCTAAAGCACACTCCCAATTCGCTGTGGCCTGAGGCACTGGAGCAACAGAGAACTGTGAACGCCTTTGTTTGCACTGGTATGCCATCCTCCTGGGCTCAGCCTCAAGTTATTACAGTAAACAACACTTACATGGACAACTGGGATCATGTACCTTTTAGTAGCATCATGAAACTGGGGAAAACATCTGTTTAACTAAATGTTTTTCTGCCAGTGGGCTGTGGGCTGTTAGTGTGCCTTGAGATGATGTTTGGTGTACCTTTGGCAATTATCCAATAACACCTCATAGGGTCAAAAAAATAAAAAAGTGAAAATAAAATATTGTGAGAAGATTAGAAAGGAAAGTTTTTACTAGTTTGATTTTCTTTAGAAAACACTTACTGTAAATGAGAATGACTTTGCTTTGTTAATAAAGGCTGCAGAGTTTTATTTTTATATCAGTTTCAGCTGGTGGTGTGCCATGTGATTGTTTTCAATGAAAATTATGTGCTACTGCTAAAAAAGGTTAGGGGACACTAATGTTATTTATGTATTACTAGTTCTTTGAAATAAATAGTAGAATGGACACATTACCCAACTGTACATATTTTCTTTCCTAAAGAAAAGGCCAAAGGTCAGGTGCCTGACATTCCTAATGTTGACTCCTCTACACACTTCTGCAAAAAAACAAGCTTCCACATAAACAAAGGTCTTACTTCTTATTTCCAAATCATGTCTTTGCTGAATTTACAACACACCAATGTAATCTCCCTGTACTGTTACCAAAACAGGAGCTTTAGGGCTTTTACAACATCCAAATACAATTCACTGTATTTTGCCAAAGTAAAGTGTACTTTGAAATAGCCTCATGGTGAATAAGCACCAACCCCTAAATTCATAAATTAATATGAACAGACGTTTCTGTGAAAAGTCTGTTCATATCTCAAACACCACGGCTCCACGAGAGGAAATGTTTTGCGTGTCCATGGTAACAGCAGTCCAACAGAGAAGTGACATGTGTAATGTTATGAGCATTCCTGAAGATCAACGGCCTTGAGTCTAGACTATAGTACGGCCTCCACTACTACCTCCACTACTACCTCAGGTGTACATAGAACATATTTAGGGTCTCTTCAATTAAAACACTGCAGTCATTGTATAATAATAATCACTGATAAAATCTAATCGGAGAGTTATACTTTTGGAAATGGAAATGAACTGCATTACAAATTGTATTAAATCCTAGTGACTAGTGAAGGCGACTTTGTACCTGCTGGTGTTCTTCAGAGGTTGATCAGATCCAGTCTGACTAATGCCCGTCAATGTCACTCCTTCAGACGACTTCTTCTTTGTTTCTCGTCTGCTCAGAGTCCGAGTCAGATCTATTGACCAGTCCTAGAAAGCACACATGCATCAGCTCAAAAAACACACACAGGAAATAAGAAAATATACGCGGAAATTACTTCACACCCCAAAATATATACACACAGTAGATCTAGGTTGAACATGTGAAGCTCGTTTTTGGCGATTGGAAACATAGAAAATACACTTCTCACAAAAGGTTAGCGATATCCGGCTTTCGGGGGAAATTTCAGGATGAACATCAAAGGCGAAACAAAATATAATGTGATCTTCTCTAAATATTTGAATGTCCAATAGTTAAATATTTCCAAAGTTAATGACAAAATTCAAAACAAAAAAGTGTTGTCCAAAAATAGACCAAAAGATTTTCTGCCTCAATTTTAACAGTCGTCCTCATCACGCTGATCACGTTGACAGAATGAGACCAAAACACCAGCTAACAATTAATCAACAGTACATTTACATCAGTGCGGTCTGATTTAGATGACCTGAATCAACTTGTGAAGACCTATATATGTCAATGTTGGGTCACATGACAAGTTATTCAGATCAGTTACTTAAATTTAAATTAAATCAAATGTATGCTTTGTGACTAGATTGGGTCAGGTACATAATCAGATTTAGTGTATTTGTAATGCCCCCATTGGCTTCAACCAATTTATTTTTTGGACCCCTCATTGAGAGACTTGGCTTTTGTTTTAATGTGTGAGAAGAAAAAGATCACCGTTGCATGTTTCTACTTAAATGTCTCGTGTTGACATTTTCCATACATTTCACGTGAAATTGACAAATATCCCAAACTTTTTGTGAGTAGTGTTTGTGTGTATATCTCACAAAGAAATGTAAATATTAGGACAAGATCATCCATCACCTTGAGGTAAACACACAAAAACAGAAAAACTCATTCTGATCACCAAATGCTTATAATGACAGTATAACAAAGAACTACTATAGCTTGCCCTAATGGAGATATTGTTTTGTCTGGATGTTGCTCAGAATGACATTAAACCAGTCTCTGTGGAAACAAGATTTACTCATGAATTTACTTTTTACATTATTAATGCCACACTGTGGAACATACCAGCCAATGCTTTTCCATTTCAAGGGGCAACTCCCCATCAGAAAAGCTACTAACCCCTAAATAATACTACAAAGTGGACATTCCAAATGCTCTCTCATCATCTAGAGAAGAACAGAATATCTAAAGAAGAAGAACTAGCACATGCGGAATGCAATAACTTAACAAATCACACTTCAACCACAGCAGAGCAAAATAGAGATGAGTATTTAAAAACGTCAGCCCTGCATGCATAACTCACTACAATGGACCTTCTTTTAAAGGAGCGAGGCACGGACATATCCAAATTCTGTCAAAAATGTGCAGGTTTAAATTAAAATACAAATAAAACAGATATTAGCCCTTCATCAACTTGGTTTTCATTGGCTATAATTAGTAATAAGAGATTGGAAAACAACATTGTGGCATGCATTGTCCGGTGTGAAATCCAAAATGCAATGATACAACAATGAAATGATGCTGTTAATTACCTCAAACTGCGGCCAGGCCATGGGCATGCCTGGACCATGGTTTGACCGAAACCATTTGAGATCTTCTTCAGCATCAGTACCAGAAATTGTATCATCCAGCGTGTGATAGATTGTCTGAAATCTAAAAAATGTTCGCAATTTATATCAAATAGTTTTTTAATAGAAATAAGCAATGGTGATATTTCTGACCTGTGGTTGGTGGAAAGGTCCAGGTGTTGTTTGACTTCCAGAAGTAGCTCTTTGAAGAAGCTGATGCGTTTGTCTTCGAACTGCTGCCACTGCTCGAACACCTGCTCCATGTTCTCCATGTACTGAGGGGTCAGTTTGTCCAGCTCCTCCAGGGACTTTTCATAGCGCTCCTTTGTCTACACACACACACACACAAACACAATCCAACATATTAACAATGACACAATTGATTCTTAGGTATAGGACTGTTTTACCTTTTGTGCCTCCTGTTGACACTTCTCAAGCTTTTCCTGAAGTTTTTTCTGAGCATCGGGATTGTTGTTGCTCTCCAGTTTGCTGCTGGTTTCCCTGCTTGCTGCCAGCTTCTCTTCTTTACAGGCCGAGTGATATGTCTTTTTCATTGTCTCCACCTGAGAAAAGTATGTAAATTGTTTCTGTAGAATGCTGCTGGGAATCACATGTACTAGATTGGCCCTTTCCATTCTTTTTCTTAAGCATAGAATGCACTGTAATAGATTACTTTAACAGAAGAGCGTATTGTAGAGGGTTATTTATGTGTAGGTTTAGAAATAAATAAACAAAACCACCACAACCACCAGCACTATCATGTATTAAATAGACACAATCTCTTAATAGAGCAAATGTAGAGCAAATGTTGAGAGTATGCGCCTGTATTGACACATGCAGCCTGTGTCAGCCATTGCAGAAACTAATTTTCCTGATGTGTTAATTAGCCTCATTTCCTCAACAGACAACCACTTGTCTGTTGACTGGTCAATCAATAAACCACTGTGCCAGAAACCCTATATTGTTCTACAGAGTGGACCAGGATGTCCACACCCACTGTGACATCACTGAAAAGGAAGTCGCAACAAGAAGTTTGCATAAGTTTTTGGCTTTGAACGGACAAAAACATGCAAGTGCTTGCTCAGATACAAGTGCAGAAAGTGGAATGTGAAGGCTGCCAATGAATGTGCGTATAGGGAATTGAAGTGACCTAATTTTTTGAGGTTGCCTCAAGCCACTGACAGGGACTTGGAAACAATGCACATTCACAAACGCAGTACAGTTAAGCCGACTATACACTAAGCTTGCTTCATTGAGTCAAGATTGTGGTAACTATTAATGTTACTATGTACTACAGTCATAGACTATAGCACATACTTATACTATATACTATACTTATATTTATGTTTCTTCCATCCTACTTTGTGATATCACCTTCCCTCTTTTTGAAAGAAGACAGTTTTGTCTATACCATCACAAAAATCAATTGAAAAATCATTTCTTGAAACACTTTTTTGTACTACCATTTGAGTAATACAATTTTTAAGTAACGCTACTTGTGGCTCCTCCACCCACCTCTGAGATTTCCACAGTGTGTTGTTTACTTAAGCAGGTCACTATGGATACAAATAACAACAGACAATAATCATGTGAACTCAAGGATGAAATTTATAGCCATGGCCACAACATTGAATGCAGCTGACTTATTACAGGGCAGAGTATGGCTCAGTTGATGGAAAGAATTTTAAATAGGAAACTACCCATCAGGTGACCATTAATAACATGGGCTAGACCTAAAACCCACCTCTTTGAGTTTTTTGGCCCAGGGTTTCTGTGCCTTCCTGAAGCCGTCCTCCGCCTCTTTTGTTTCTTTAAAGCCCCCAATCATCTGCTTGTGGAAGGCATCGCGCTGCCAGTTCTTCAGCTTCTCGTAGTCCTCTCCCATCAGTGCGGCCTTCACCTCCATGTGCAGTTCACTCACTTTTTCTGCTTCTGTGCACAATGCTGACCAAGCTCTCTCTAGTGTGCCATACTGAGGCCCTGGCAAGACAAATACATCATTCTATTTAGCCTTTTTAATATTGTATTATTTTACTGCAACTTCTTACAAGACGGATGTGCCTGTACAGGTACGACTGGAGTTTACTATCAAACTATGTGAAAGATTAACATAAAGATGCGTCCCTCGTTTATAGAGTAATTTAAAACATTCTGAGATGAACCTGGCCTAGATTGAATGAAAACCACATTCACAACAACAACAAAAAGAGTCCTGTTTTTAAAATGAATAGGGATTTCACATGGGTTCTGCCTGGAGCCGTTTTCTTTATTACAGGTCCCTGAATCTCATTGTGAGAGAAAACGGCAGAAAGGGAAGAGGTAATTGTTAATATCCAGAATGCTGTCTAGTCATTCTCCAGATGAAATTAAATGCAATGTTGATTAATGCGTGCTGCCCCAATTCAAATAAACTAATACAATACCTTCAACATTAATTAATACCTGTAGATCCTATCCTCAGACAACAGCTATACCCTACTTTATATCTATCATGCAAAAATAAGTTTGATCCCACTTAGAGTAAGTCATCAGAGGGCAAAACTTCAGAGCCTCAGATTCATAAAGAGTGCACATTTGTTTGAAGAAGGACTCGACACTGTGGATGCGTTAGTGTAGTACTGAAAACACCAAGACAATTTCACAACCTTTCTCGATGAGTTGCCGCCACCTCTTTCCCCACTCTGTGAGCTGTTGGGCGTAGGATTTTTCAATGCGAGCCCGCTCATGGAGGCAGGTCATCAGGTCACTGCAAAGTCTGTGGCCATCATCTACCCGCTTCACCGTGCGCTTATAGTTTCCAACCTAAGAACAGAAAGCAGGCATGAATTACAATTTATAGAATTAAATAAACATTGTGGAAAGGATTTTAAACTTGTTTGACTTGCCTCCCAGAAGCTGTCACTGGACACATCAATCATGGAGCCGTCCATGGAGCCTGACATCTTGGGTGCCCTAATTTACACTCAGGGCCTGGAAAGACAATGTGCATCAATTGAGGTTACAGAAGCTACAGCAAGATCAATATCAAACCAAGCAGTACATGAGGTACAAATGCAGTGTACAAAGAAAGAATTGTAAAGCCTTCGCAAAATGTACTTCACAAAGCACATGGTAGGAATGATTACACAATGAACTGCTGACACTTGAATTATGAGAAATGGTGTCATGTAAAACGGAAAGGGGACACATCCTCATCTTTGTTCACACAGCCTCACATGTGACCTGTCAGTCAAACAGCTGGACTCACTGAGAAAGAATTGTATCTTCTTGTTAAAACTACATTCCTCCAGAGAATGTCACTCTCTCACAATACACTCCAATATTAAAAATATGAAATTTAAAGTATGTAAGACAAGACAAGACAAGTAAGATATTTCACATCACAAAAAACATTTAGGATTTAACAATTTTCTTTTATTTATGAATGTACTTCCTGGTTGTGATTGATGAGCCACTAGGGATGTTACCCAAGCAACCATGTGATAAACAGGGTCAAAACATACTCAGAAATGATGAACTATGAACTACAATATTGTCCTCATACAGATTTATAAACATGTGTTTGTTGTAAATTGTGCAAAACATGAGTTCGATTATCATGCATATTTTAAAAGAGGCTTCATTCCACAAGAATAGATTACAATGACAAAAATCATAAAAACATGTCATACGCACTATTCCAAATGTTTGTGGGACAGAAATTTGTGGGACAAACAAAAGTTCCCTATTTTGAAATGGGTCTTCCTCCAATCACATCCTATTGATTGAGCCACCAAATCTCAGCTCAATCCGTTCAGTAGTTTTTCCCCCCACAATCCTACCTTTATGGAAAAAAAAGTTACTATACCCACCCCTGTTGGCAGGTTAAAAGTAATTTGTATTAGATCCCATTGCATTATAATTGTAACTTATTACTTCTGAAAATTAATACTGCCACCTTATAATATCATGCCTCTGGACACTGATAATCTGCACTGTTGAATGCCTATTGTGGGTATTTATATAGATTTTTATAACTCATTTGCACCATTTACAAAAGAAAATTCTTCAATTGGAAGAAGGGATGCCAGACGAATACTTGCAATAAAAGATTATATCTCTTTGGTATAAGGAAATGAATAAATATCAGTGACACCATACAGACTTACACAAAAAAAGCCCATAGTTTACTTTACATGTTTTCCTGTTCCATGCAGCCTTAGAGGAGTGAAAGGGAGTGATCTGGTTTGACAATCTCAGCAGCAGCAGGTGGGTGTTTTCAATCCCACCACACCATAAAGAGGCTGCAGAGGCTGCTTCAACAGGGTCCAGACCCACAGGAGGCAGCTTCCGTTTTCTTTCACACCAAGTCTATAGATGCGCTTGTGTTCCACGAAGCTCCCCAGTGCATCCCTAAACTCAACACTATCTCTTTATTCAGTATTTGGATAATCTAGTCAGCAACCTATTCCCTTATACCTAGTGAGGAAGAGGCCACTATGTTTGACAGCACCTTCACAGTTTCAAATAATGATGAGGGAAGTTGCTTTTATACTTTACCAAAAGTATTAAAACATAAATTAAACTATACTACAATTTTGCATTAGAACTATATGCATTTGAGCACAAAATACAAAAAAAACAAGAAAAAAAACTATGATTGTGCATAACGTGGCCTAATATTGATATAACTAAAATATTGGCTTTATTATCTAAAGTACAATGGGCATGATGTCAACGTTATTCAAACCACCAAGAGCATTGCTAAAATTTTATTTTTATTTATGTTGTATTTTACAGTTTATGTGCTTACATAATTATTTTGTTATACTGTGGTTAATATTCAAACGCTCCAATTACTCCATTAAAATATATGTGTAACGTGATTTATTCTAGTATTGGCCTGGGAACTACATCCACAAAAACAATACAGCTCCAAGTCATTTTTAGTACTTATCATGGACAGAACATTATTTTTGGAAATGACTGTTGTGGTTAAAACTCTTAAAACTTATTAGAAAACATTATCTTTTGCATGTAAGAAAGAGCCTTGTGAATTACCATTGATATGAGCTGAGAACTGATTGGCCGAGTGAGGTGGGGTCCTTTCTTTCTCACTTATCTATCTGAAAAAGTTTATTAAAAAGATGTGCCAAAGGCGAAACAATACATGCGGGTGGAAACTAGTGATACCAAATGGTTTTGAGGGAAACAATCCAGTTAAAAGGATTTTCTTACATAGTGCCATTGTGTGTGTAGTACTCCAGCTTTAACCACCAAGTTGTCCTTATCTATGATGTGAAATATTCAAAATATGTTGGGTCACTGAAATGTGACTGGCCAAACAAGACCATCAGGACATTACCCTGAATAATGGTGTTCTATAATGCTATCCTTGAGTATATATATACTATAATATAATATAAGTAATCCTCATCATGTTGTATACAGTATGTGTCAGCTATACATACACCTATAAAAAGGTCCATGAGATGTTGATCAAATAAAACATAGCTGGAGTGAAAGTATCTTAGTTTCAAAGAGGATGTAAGACTTTCATAAAGGTTGTGAAAAACAGTGGTAGTGCGGTAATAAACCCAAGAACAGAAGTGAATAGAAATACACACAATTACATAAGCCAAATGTCCAATGGAAATTATACAGTGTCATGCAGAGGTGTCTAAATGTTATAGTCAGTGGGCCACTTTAGTTCACCAGAACTGTCCAAGGGGCGACAACGTGGATTGTAAAAACTGTGTTGAAGCTGGGCTGTTCCAAGCTTTACAATGATATACGACATGTCTATATTGATTCAAAGAGGTCAGAACTGAATACAAAATATTTACTTTCTCACCAACTACATTAGCGCCAGAGATTTTGAGACATAATCAAAAACAAATGTCAGCATATATACACATAAAGTCAATGACTGCATTCCAGAGGTTGTGAGCGTTACATCAAAGTATAGCAGGACTACATTGGCTGGAGTTGGTTGGATGACACTGTGAACTTGTACTCAAGTCAGATCTCAAAGATTACTTTGTAGGGATTTGCAAGGTACAGGGCCGCGATTGGCCCGGGGGTCTCAGTTGGGACATGCCTGGTATAGTGTAATAATAACAACGGATAGGAAAAATATTGCCTAGGACCCTGCCAGCTGAACACAGCTTGACCCAGAACTGTAAACAAAGCTTGGACCACGCAGTCTAAAGTCCACTCACAATCTGTGCTCTGCAAATTTCCAGTATGTGCAACTTAAAAAAGGCATAATACATAATAGTTGAAATTATTCAAAAGTCTATTGATAAATGAATAGTACATGATTGGCAATCAGATGACAACACACACAGAATGATTATAGCTGTTGGCCAAAGTGTTTAAATTAGGGCTGTCAAAATTATCGCGTTAACGCACGTTAATTAATTTTTTTCATTAATCACGTTAAAAAAATTAACGCATTTGACGCATGCCCATGCGTCCCATAATAACACTCAGAATGCCGCGGACACATGCGCGTGTGTAAGATGGGGACAGAGCAGGTAGACCCTCTGGGAATTCAAGTTTTGAAAGAATACACGCGTGACCGCGGGGCACTTTCCTGTATGAACTCTGCATGATGAGCTGTGGGCGCGACAGCGCTCTGGACCGCAGGTCCCACTTCCAGCGACTGTGATCACGGTGAACGGCGCTGCGTAATGGGATCATATCCAAGACCACGCACAGAACTATTACAGAACTATTCTCTAGTGTGCGTACGTGTCTTTGCGTAACCGATGCACACAATATATACAGCGCAGAAGCTGGACTGCGGAGCCTCAGTCTCCTCCGTGTCTTCTCCCGAAGCGCACTCGCTAAATTAAAGCTGAGGTACCTAATTTTCCCTTCCACTACCAGTTCATGTTAGTTGTTCCAAAAAAAGTAATGGTGTGAGCAAATCAAACAGATTTAATGACATTCTGCTTCAGACTATTTTGAAATGTTCCTCATCGGTAACAAACAATGGTTTTGATCTGAGTCTAAATAGAAAGACAGAATGTGAATAATGTTGATTTCATTTTATATGGATTTATTGTTATAACAAACAAATACAGTTGTTCACTAAGCTGTCATTTATCTTTCCATTCAAACAACAATTTACAGAAAAATATGGCATAATTTTTCCAATAGTTTGAAATGTGATTAATTACGATTAATTAATTTTTAAGCTGTAATTAACTCGATTAAAAAAAAAAAATCGTTTGACAGCCCTAGTTTAAATGTTAACATTTCTTTAGCAGATATTGGTTGCCAGTTTCTTTGGTGAAATCTAGCTGGGTTTGTCTCTACACAATCACCACCAGCATCTGCAGCACATGACTAACAAGAGCTGGAGGTGTTTGTGTGTGGGTTAAGTGTCTTGCCTCAGTTACTTTGTAATTTCCCCGGTTGTCTGGATGTGGACCAGCCAATCACAGCTTCTGGTTTGCAACTTGCAGTTTAGTGACTTTTGGATGTTTGGAGTATGAGGGCAGCAGGTACACATCAATGTAAGGGAAGCTGCGTTTATGCTGACATGCTCATAGAAGATGCCCAACTAGGCCTGTCGCGATAGTCAATAAATCAATTAATCGCACGATAAATAAAATTTGCTCAATAACTTTTCTGGCCGCGATAAATCCCATTTGCATGCTTGTTTGTTTCCCCCGTCTCTCTCGGGTCAGAGAGCCGCAAAGTGGTCACGGGAACATTAGCGGTCTAGCAAGCAGACGGAAATTACTCAAAAATACAAAATACAGCCAAAACAGGACCTAAACCAGGACTTAACCAGGATTGACAATGGGGGACACAGTAGTTGTGAACATATGCCGGCAGCTGAGTTCTCATTCAGGCTTGATTAGTGACTATACTAGCGCAGCTAGCGTTAGCGTGTTCGCCGATGCAGAAGTACCGTACCATACCAATAAAATAAACTTATGGCGCACCTCCGTGAACACATACTGCTGTTATATAAAGTCTCTAGAAGGTCTCTGAACACAGAGATGCTGCAGACTTGCATTCTTGGAGTAGAACTTTACACAAAAAACCCGCTAGCTTAGCTGTTAGCATCAAAGCCCGCCCCGCTACTTCCGGTGGGCGCTACCGCAGCAGGACTTCTGTACGCCCCATTGGTGAACCCACATGTCAGTCACTTGTCATTCGCCTGGTGTGTGGGGAGGTGGGACTACTCCTGAGAGATCCTGTCTTAAGCCACACAAAGTCAACATGTTGGTATTTCTTTCTTGTAATCTGTCATAAAGTCTGAGAAATTATTGACATTTGAGGCATCTGTTTCATATTTTCTTTACAAAGGTCCTGGCAGTTTTATTCCTGGTCATTTTTTGTTAAGAGACTGAGTCTATGTTATTTATTGTTTTTGGTTGTTTGTTAATTTATTGTGTTCTAGCGTTAAATATTTGTTAAAAATAAAAGTTTATTCTCTTTGAAAAGGTGTACCTGCATTATCATTCTAATCGATGCAAATGATCTCAGAACGACAATATAATCGCTTATCGCAATAATTTCTGAGACAATTAATCGTCCAGCAAAATTTGTTATCGTGACAGGCCTATGCCCAACTCAAGTAATAAAGTTTTATCCTATCTCAGTCTCCCATCTCAATCTGGTCTCTTCTCTACCAGCCCTCACACAGCTGACATGCACATGTAGCCCCCCCCCCTGAAGATGTTTATTTATGTTTGCCCCATAAACTCACAGTCCGTACCACAGCACATAAGACACCAGCAAAGTCTGTAAGGAACTTTGTTCTTTCCCCAAACATATGTTTGAAAAGGAGCAGCTGCTTTCTCACATTGCCATTAACTATACTAGCAAAGACAAACTTATGTTAACAATGTTGATATTTCGATTGGGCTGTTTACTAACTATACTTTTCCAAGCATAGCGTCAACTAAAAATGTATTGTAGTAAAGACACAAGAAGTCGAGCAGAAAATTAGCTGATCCTTCAATATTTTCACCTCACACTACACAACAGGGGAGAATGAGTCTGGGGTTAAACATTTTCCATGGAATCATCATTGATCCATTATCAGTTTTTGACAATTAACGAAATTGGCAAAAATCTACAACAAATGTGTTCATATACTCCAAAAAAACCACATGATTTTTCTGAGGATGTTGCAATTCAAAAATACTGAAACAGCCATTCTAGCACAAAAAATAGACCTTAGAACGGCACCATTTATTGAAATTTGCATTGTATTTCTGGAGTTTGCATGTGCTACCATAGAAGTAAAGCCAACACATCCAGTGGGTCAACTGTAGTCCAAACACAGATGACTATAGGTTACAGATGAAAACAATGGCGTTTGTTCCACACTTTCAGGTATTTTCCAGTAGACCAGCCCAGCGCAAGCACATAATGGATGGGAACTCTCTTACATGTCAGAGCAGACCCCATGATGTCACTCATAGTCCATTTTACAGTGCTTCCTGTGGAGTCTCCTGTCCAGTGTTAATGCTGCTCTTTGAAGAATACTATTCATGGGCTGGTCCGACCCTGATGGGCCATCATGCACTTTGAAGCCAAATGTTACTCATTCTCATGTTTTGTTTGCCAAAATACTTACCGAGTTATGGCAGTTCTCCCTTTCTAATAGAAAAAATATCAAACAAAATCTAAATTATTGAACTCAAGGATCATCTTATTTCCTCTTCTCGTTATCCTATATAAAACATATACGTCTACATGGAAGTTGATAATGTCATCTTGACCTTATCTGTCCAAATTCCATATCAGATTTGTGGAGAAGCAAAGCATCTAATTAAGGTATCAAAAAATTTAACAGTATACACAGGTCAACATAAAAAGCAGATGTATCATACCATTGATTTTCTCACTCCCCAGAGTTCATCTACATAATTAGAGACTCCTAGTTTGACCCACCATTCATATTATTCATAATGAGATGACCATTTCTATGTTTAGCTCTATTCTGTGACAGAGCAACTCGTTCACATGACCATCAAGATAAAGAAACCAGAGTAATTGCAAAGATGTCACTACTCCATGGCCAATTCAGAAGTAGTCTGATCCAGCAGCACAAAACAACATCATACACAAGCAACACCCAAGCTTGTGTGACAGAAGCAGTGGTGTTTTAACAATTCCATTAAAGAAGGTGAATTCCAAAAGTGGATTCAGCAGCGCATTTAACAGAATTGTATTTGGCATCAACCTCGCACTGCGTCAGCTGCACTGGCACACACTCCTCAATATTGGCATTGATGTCGAATCTGTGCCAGTATCATACGAATTATGGGCTAGAATTGGATTTGAATTTATTGTATCTTTCAAGTCTAAGAAAAAAACTCGATGCGTTGTGAGTGAACAAGTTTATCTTTACAAGGAAAACCTGCCCCACCCTTTATCATTCATACCATTGATGTATTTATGTCATAAAGTAAACAAAGACCAATTATACAGAATTGATTGTTGGGAATGGAGTAATAACAAGAGAACTACGCGGTGATTAATGCACATTGTAATGGCCTCCGTTGCTAAATAATTGTCTTTTAATGCTCTCACAAGGAAAATAAGACTTATTTCATGAGACTTACACAATATACTCACAACCTTATAGAAATTAGAACACATTTTCCACCGATGGGAACTTTTTGTCATAGGAAGTACATTGTTAGCTCAAAGCTTTAAAGTTAGCCAATCAGCCACATCCCTACGATCTAATAAGTTTGTAAAAGTCTATTTGGAACATGTTACAGCCACTTACCTTTAGCGTGAGTATTTCTATCAAAAGTTAGCAACTGACTGGCGGAAATAAAAAAAGTTTTAGTGCTTTAAATGAATCTTTCCCTCAGCGGCACCATCGAACTGTGGCTGACATGGGCTGCGGTCTGTGCAGTACACAGAGACACATCCGCTCTAACTACACAATAAAACTGAAATAAAAAGACACTTAAACCAGACGAAAGCAGGACACATAAAATATGCCACGTTGGAAACAATTACTACAAATAAACGGTATACATTATCGCATCAGCCACCAATCGATAACGTAAGTATCTCATGCTTTTATGTTGAAAATCCATCCCTTTCGTAAAGCGTATATGTGGGGTTTAGTTGGTGAAAATGTATTAAACCAGGTTGTTTGTCCCTTTCCACGATTTTGTGAATAATAATAATAACAATAATAATACAAAAAAAATTATAACAATAATAATCACTAAAATAGTTGTCACCTGGGGTACATGTAGTGTTGTCATAATGATCAATCTTTTTCGCCCATGCAATCAGCTACAGGTTGTAAGTTACATTATGGTGGATTTAAAACAAGAAAAGTCTGTTGATCAGTATTCAAATGTTTATTGTTCAAGATAAAAGCAATTATGATCAAGTTGAAAAATAATAATTGCATGTATATTAGCTAAAGAGACTTCTGCTCCCTGATATTATGAGGCCACAGTACCAAAGCAATAACAGATTAAAACTATGCGGAATATTTTTTACATTTAACCAGAAATGTCCATTGATATTTTTTTGAAGCAGATAAAGGATGCACATTCTCTGGTATTACTTGAAAAACATATCAGCACAGTAAAAAATGTTTCCAAAGGACTAATAATTTTATTTATGCATACAACCATTCTTTGTAAGCCTAAAAAAATTCATCCTAAAAATACCCATACATTATTTTAAAAAGCGCTCTACAGTATGTAACTTTTCATGTGGAGGGTTCACCTCCTCCATGAATAAGCTTTTCCTGGAATGTTCCACACTGGAATTAAGGACGTTTTGACACTTCAGACCCAAGTGAACCGGAGTCCACCTTAAATGTAATTCATGGAGATCTGAAACACTCATCCTGTAGTCATATAAGCCAATTCACAAAACAAATCTGACTTAATGAGGTCTTTTTAATTGGTCCAGTTAAAGTTATCTCTAATTCACTTGGGACTGAATTGTGATCATGCCCCAACTCACTGTAATCTCAGCTGTGGTTTCAGCTGTGTCTACTGTGAAAACATTTTACTGGTATGGCATTAAACTATTTCTATGGAGGACTGTGACACCACCAGGCCAAGTTACAGATCTGTGGACAGGTGAACCCTCTGACAATCGGAATACATGTTTCATTAATATGTAGAATGTAAAGTAGTCATCTCAATACAATACTGCCATGAGTACGACCTTGTATATCTGATGCACAGTCGTGAGCACTTCTTTGCATTCAAAATATAACATTTTGCTCTCAACTTCATCCCCTAATCACTGCCGAAGATATGCAGGTAATAAGCTAAAGTCAATGACAAATTAAAAAGACTAAAGTGCAAGTTACATACAATCAATCATCAATTATATTCTCAATTACATAACGTTAGAAATAAATATTCCGAAGAAATATAATCACATTGCATTGGTAGATTTTAAAAGACAAATTTCTCCGGAATAATAATAGCACCTGTACCAGAGCCTTGTCATGCATGGGCTCCTCCTTCATGGTACTTTGTTCTTTTATCGGTTTGCCCTAAAGTGAATATGTAGTGAGGTAAGTAGACTTTTTTTGATAGGTAATGGGCTTCCTAATTGACATTTAGGACTAAACAAAGATGATCTTAAGAACAATGTCAACGTAAAAAGTCTTCAAAATAGTCCATTGTTCACGACATGCTCCCCAATGTTCAGTCCGCATTGATAACAAAGGCAGTCAATAGTCTGTACAACCCAGAAGCAGGATTTTTGAGGAGTCCTCAAAACAGTGTCATTTCCAGGTTGCCGCGGTGGGTCGGCCCCCAGCACTCCCCCTGCTGCCCCTGGATCCTAAAGACTGACCTGAGCGGCTCCTAAGGTCACGTTCGGCATTTTCGGTTTGTGCCTGCTCTTCATCATACCTAAAAACACAGATAAATTGTAAATTTCTCCATTAAATTCGACTCCACCTCAAGCGCTACTTACAAGACTTGATAGTTGCCCATAGCATCTCGTGGGGGGCTGCGGTTCCAGCGGCAGTCAGGCATGTCCCCATTGGGCGTCACTATGTTCAGCGTGTCATTAATGAGGTTATACTTGAGAATACGGTCATTAGCTGTGCTGGAGGTCAATGAAGGGGAAGCATTCACCTAAAGTGAACAACACATGACTTTGCAAACAACATCCAATATAAGGCTGGTAAAGTGCAATGACTAAATGATTAATATAGTAGCCACTGGAACGGACGCACATGGGAAAAGCAGCATGCATAAAGACACACAAACATTAACCTTAAGGGTCTTTAAAGTGGCTCAACACTTGAGGCATCTCCTCAGGAAAAATGCTACAGTGAAACTATGGTAAGTATTTAGGGGCAAGGCCAAGTAGTAACTGACATACTTTCAATAATCTTAATATTAAATCAGTGGTAAAGACAATAAGAACCAGCTTAGAATCATTTATTGAATTCACCTCGATAAGCCACGGCTTGAGCTTGTCATCAATGATGATGTCATACCCATAGCACTCAAAACAGTGCTTATCATTGTTCATAACAGGCTAAAATAACAAAGAGAGTACATCAGCAAAATAAATATTAGGTTTTAGTCTTGAGCAAATAACACACCATTTATCTTTTAAGATATTATACATATATACATATAATATTTTATATATATATAATATATTATATATATATAAAATGTACATGTTTATTACTGCATTTGAATGTGTAACTTACAGCTACAGCTTTAAGAGACTGCACTACAATCCAATGGATCTGGTCAAACAATCGGTTCGTAACTTCTTTTCCTCTTGTGCTCTCCAAGTATAAACGAAGATTACTCACTGTCCATTTGCCTCCATGGACATGGTTGTAGTCATCCTAAGAAACAACAAAGGATTTGTATTATCCCCATACATAATTTGCTAGCACTTAGTTTGCCCAGTTTGATCTGGTTTGAATGTTGTATACATTACGAACACACCCCATGTTTTTGAATGGCCACGTTAGTGAGATGCACAAACATATTGTCAAGTTCACTCGTGCTGGGAGTGTACTTTACGGTGCAGAACCTACAAAAGCCCAGTTTGTACCTAAAACACAAACAATGAACTCAAGTATTCCTCATTCATTGTGCACTATTGGCTATAGTCAATACATTCAGTACTTGGCACTTACATGTAACATTTGAGTGGTCGATAAGTTGTGACCAAAACATACAGGCGGAGATCAAACTTCTTTCCTCCAATGAGAAGTGGATTATCTATGTACACAGAAATAACATAGGCCTCTTTGCCACTGGACGCTGCCACAAACCTAAAGTAACCACAAGGTAATCAGATATGTATAGTGTACTTTTAATAATAAAATGATTGGTATGAACTAACGTAGATGTGCGGCTATCTCTGGACCACTTTTTGATCTGAGATAGTTTATTAATGAGGAAGATGCCTTTGCCTTGGGCCTTCCCACAGGGCTTCATGATCCATGTACTGGAGGGGTTTTTACGGAATTCTTCCACAAAAAGGTTATAATCAGCAGGAAGCATAAATGTCACTGGAACAAAATCTACAGGAAATAAAAACATGAAACATCAAGAAAATATTTAAAATTCATGTATTGAATTTGACATTACCTAGATAAATGTATTTTCCATTGTCATCCTTTTCGGCCAATGGGCTGCCTTCCTTTTCCAAATCTTTGCGGTAGCGTTTAATATTTTTAATCATTAGGTCTTTCCGTGTCAGTTCATAGTGATTGGGAAAGTGGTTCACCATTTGGTCATCTGACAGACGGTAGCCAGTGTCCACACTGAACACATTTCTAATAGTTTGAATGCTCATCCTGAAATAGAAGAGAACTTTTATAAAACACTATTCAAGAACAGTAGGCATATAGAAAGCACCCACAATAATAGATCTATAAAAAAAAGGATTATTTAGCTATAAACAAAAATATATATTTGAAAATGTACCGCATAGCCTTGTATTTGACATTTTATGATACAATTTTGCAATTATAATGGCAAGTATTGTGAATGTAGTCACTAGGTTGTATGCAAGTGATGTTACTGTTACATTATCTTAAAGACCAAAACAAACCAATAGAAGTTCCAGTCTTCATTTTCTGAGACTTGAACCCAGTCCCTCTTTTCAAAGTTGTTTATAAGCACTGATTTCTCAATATCAGTCACCCACTTCAATTTACCAGCCATGGTTCCCCCTACTGTGGAGCACCAAACAATAAGAAATTATTTATGTCGCAGTAGTGATGGCATAATAAGAAAAATACAATTCACATACCAAAACACCAATGTGAGGAAATAGCCAGTCATCAGCATCAGCTAACATTAGCTGGTCTGGCTCAGTTAGCAGGCTCCCAGTGGTCCACATTGGACAGCTGCAGAGGCTTCGCCCAAGGGTGCAGTCTCTGTTTGCAGTCTATAAAATAATAGTTATATTGCGAACTACTCACCAGGCGGTAACATTCTATTAAGGTGAAGATGTTTTACTGCAAATAGCCTAGCTGTTATTGCTAGCCACATATATATTGATATAGTTAACGTTGACGTTGGGCGTCAGCTGTGAGACAGTGACGAAACCAAAGTAGTCAAAATGCTCTTCAAAATAAAATCTTGCTTCATTAATGTCATTGGACATTTAACACGTAAAGAATAATAATCATCCGATTCAGTGTAACATTGGGCACGCGCGGAAAAGGTTGCTAATGGCATAGAAACTAAGCAACGGTTACCGTGGACACTGGATCACCTCATTCTTACACTACTGACATTAACCAGCAGGTGGCACTAGCACAGTGTTCAGCAGTGAGGGAAACTACTCTGACGCAAATTGACATTTGCTTCACATATACTAGTATATTTCAACATCCAACTTTATGGCGCTCTCACAGCCCAACATGCTTTTACATGGTTTTGAAACAGTTGCAGCTCGTGGCAGGCGTTTCAAAGTACGTGTTTTACTGATTCATGTGCAATTTTCTGACCATGCAATTAATGGGCATGGAGCAGGTTTTTTGCCTCATACTTTCACATAAATTTATCCTTGAAACATGAAAAAACGGTCTATAACAAACGTGAGACTTCTAGAGAGAAAAATCACAATGTCTTTAGTCTGGAAGGCCTCCAAAAAGGCCTGACCAGACTACACCAAAGTATTGATATAACTTGGTTGACTCATACCAGTGACGAGCAACCACCAAAAGGTGCATGTTATTTTCATTAAAATGTTCTTTATTTTTATTTTAGCAAACATGACCAGTAAAATAAATATTTAATTGTTGGAGAAAATGCCACATTTAATCAGTCACCTCTACTTGTGCATATGTTTTGAACGCTTTCATGTTACATTTCTGAAGAGTGGCTCCAAGCTGTTTACCGGGACCAACTTCATATGTGTGAGGGAATGATTGTCCTTGTGTCCTTTCATAGATCTCATGCAATGTCTGCTCCCATTTGACTGGAGAAACAAGCTGCTTCACCAATTGTCTCCGGATGTGAGACTCATTCATGTAGCGCTTGCCGTCCACATTGGAGTACACGTTGATCTCTGGACGCCGCACCTGAAATACATGATAGTTTACATGCACTGCAAAAAGATATATAGATAATATACATTATAAAGTTACAATATATGTGTGTGGTTTTCCATTTTCATTTCATTTATTGAGCGCTTGAGTGTCATATACATACCAATAACATACAGATTACACCAGTAGGCAGAAGCATTAAAAGGGGTATGTGGGCCTACCCCATTGAACACACATGAGTTCATACAACTATTGTGGTACAATCTGCATGTGAAAGCCTGATCCTGCCAGATCTCTGATGCTAAGTAGGACAGGGCCTGGTAAGTACTGTGAAGGAGAACTCTGCCAAAACCATATGCATTTATAATATAATTTTTGGTGATAACCGATTACAGTGTGTTGAGCCTAAGCAGGGCAGGGCCTGTTAGTACTGCAAAGGGAGGCCTCTGTGTGCAAATGTGTAACACATTGAACTAACATGTACCAAATACTGCATTAGAACAAAAATGTGTCCTGTCTATAAATAGAATGTTTAATGATGTCAAGCTGTGTTTGCATACCTCCACCTGGCGTAGTACTTGTCGAAAAGGTTCCAAAGCAGACTGCATCAGTTCTGTATGAAAAGCTCCGCTGACAGAGAGCACTTTGGTCCTCATGAAATAAAACTTCCTTGAGTTTTTCTGCAGGAAGTCTAATGCCTAGAAGACAAAGTTTGACTTTGAGAATAAAAAAGGAATTTTGTGTCTGAGATACTGCTAAAAATGCACCTGTTGATGCCCAGCAATGACTCGAGCATCAGGAAATAGATAGTTGGCCACAGAGCACACCGGGTCATCAATACCCAGGCTCCTGCAGTGCTCCCTGGCCTGTACACATGCAAACTTATACTGTGCTTGGGGTTTGCCCATCACTGACAGCATCCCACTGGGTATCAGCTCTGAAGCCTTCTGCATGGCCTCTGCACGGACCTTCACCACATACAGAGCTGAAACACAAAACATACTTATGCACTGTCTAATTTTAAATCATATATAACAAATCAATTACCTTCTTCAAATGTCATTGCACCAGAAAATACTAATGCAGCAAATTCTCCAACACTAAAACCAGCTGCAGCGACACATGACTCAATAGCCTTGAGAGAGAACAATTCAGATTATTGTTGGTAGACATTTCAAATGATCTTTTAGACAAGCACTGCACACACTTCTTAAACTTAGTGTTAGCAAAACACTAAAGGCGTTTTGCTTTTCTGTTGGAACAAACAATGTGGCTTAATTATGGGAGAAAGGTTAGCTTTATTTCAATCTATGTCGCACCTTGGGGTTAAGATGGTTTAGTCTCTCAATAGCTGCCAGCGATAAGACAAATACAGCCGGTTGGCAGTGGACGGTTTTCATAAGCTCCTCTTCAGGTCCCTCTAAACAAAGACTTAGAAGGTCATATCCCAGGATTCTTTGAGCGGCATTAAACATCTCTTTGACATTGGGGTACTTCATGAGTCCTCTTCCCATGCCCACAAACTGACTGCCCTGCCCGGGGAACAGCATCACAGACGTGATACTGGGGTCTTTTGGGGTTCTATGTTTCCGTGCAAGGGAGGGGTCTCCATCTGCTGTGGTATTATGTGGACCATCCCTGCTCGAACTGGAGTGATCGGAGAGTCCTCTCACAGACCACTGCACACATCGCAGCCTCCTTTTGTTGTACGCACCCAGGACACGATGAGCGCACCGAAACATGAGGCTTTAAATTGTATGCAATATTTAAAGCGAGTCCCGTAACATTAAACATTAGTTACACGCACTATTAAAAATAAATACACTTCTAGAGAAAATCGGCATGAAATGTGACGGTGGCCGCCATGTTTTTGTGGAACCGATCATTTTTTCCCAACCCAGTTATGCCACAAGCTTGTTTTTGCGTCTATGCAATTAATCATTCATTTCATTTTATATTTATCTGTCAAGTAAAATCAAGGGTGAAGTTTAAACCGTTGTTTCAGTTATAGAAAGATAAATTTATGCTAAGAAATCTATGCCGCGGAAAAACTACGTTAGGGAAAAAATATTCATTTCCGGTTTGAGTGAAAATACGTTCCTGTTTGTTGCTAAAATATTAATGTATTTAAAGAAACCACTGAGCAACAGATTATAAATAGCAGTCTTTTTATTTCAATATTATGTATGTATCAGAGTATATTTGTTTTTATTATATAAAAATAAAGTTGAAACAATATTTATTATTGCAAAAAAAAAAAAAAAAAAAAGAAACACACACAGCATGCTCACCAGTTTTATGCCGTTTTTGTCTGTTCTTTTTTGTCATGTTTCAAGGCTATCAGACAAGTTAGCAGCACTCATCTTTTTCTCCAGACTTTCTGAGTCAATGATTTGGCCTTGAATTTTAAATTTGCTGATAAATTCATTGCTGGCTAAAGCTCCCTCCTTTTTTGGACACAGAAGCTTTGAGGGAGGTCGGTGCTCCAAACGTCCTGAGGGTGAATCATACACATTATTTAGTTACATTCATTCCAATGAGTTTGGATAATTGGACCAAAGCTAAAGAAAAAAGGATAAGGTATAAGGACCTCCGGGTGTGATTGGGGTCATGAGACGATTAAGTTGTACGTTCCAATGCCGTACATGATGACTTGCATTCCTAAGCTTCTCTTGTACTTCCTGAATAACACAATTTGTTAGTGATTGCATTCATATTTCTGTTTTTGAACACTTCTTACCTCAAGGTGCTGATGGCTTCTTTGGCGACTCTCCTGAATATCCTGTAATTCTTTAGAGGCAGAGTGAAGGACTGAAGGCGTAACCTGCTCCATCATGTTTTCCACGTCCTCCTGTATGGGGCTGAGACTTTTCAAGGCCCTTTGGTGAAGGAGGTTAAACTGCTTTCTTTTTTCTTCCTCTTCCAGCAACAGCCTGAGAAAGAAACTCTGAATGTCGTCACAACTCAATAATCACACAATTCAACCCATCTTTGAAATCACAAATACAGGTTTAGGACATAAAACTGCCTAAACTGAGAAACAGGCAAACCAATTTAAACAATACATTTAAAAATTGATTTGATTGACATTTAACTGTATACTACTACATTTTTTTCATAATTCTCTTTTGTTAGGTTGTGAGTTTTGAGTCCATGCTTCAATGGACCTTACTTCTGGAGGTCTTGTCTGGCTCCCTCTTCCTCCAGCCGTGCCTGGATTTCCATGTTGAGGGCTCCCTCCAGTTGCTGCTGTATTATCTCCAACTCTAGGATCCTTTTATTCTGTTGCTCAGCCTCCTTTTCTTTTTCCTGCATCTCCGCCTGCAGGCTATCTCTGAGCTACACACACACACACAGACACACAATTGGACTAGTCATCACTAAAGATTCTGTTTTTACATATCTAAGTGCTGGATGGGAGCCCGCTGGTGCCACACTGGAACAGTCGAGGCTCTAAAGTGCAAACTAGTGTTCCTACAGTATGGGGGCCTGTCCCACAGAGCTTTCCTTATCGTCCTAATTCTGTTTAGTATCTCATTCAGTCCGAGCAGGTACATTTAGTTTTGACGGTCATGAGCTGCAGAAGAGAAGTATGGCCCTTCTTATGATTCTGGGGTGTAAGATAATGATTGTTGGTAGTTAGATGGTCTGGTTGAGCCCTGCTTACAATTGCCGGCCTTCATTGTGTGTGGTATGAAAGAATACCACACAAAATTGTAAAGCGCTTATACAAAAATGTACTCTTTACTTGAGTTTATTTTATAAATTGTATCATCAGAATCAAACCTACCATCTCTGCTTCCTTCAATTGTCTCTCCAACTCCATCTGCACCTCTCTCTGTTTCTTTTTCTCTTTTTCCTCAGCTTCTCTTCGTCTGGTTTCCAATTCACGGGCATGCTGCCAGACGCCACACATTCATGTAAACATTTCCATAAAACTCAAGACCATTACATTCAGACCAGTTTTTTACCTTTATGATGCTCTCTATTTCCATTTCATGTCTGTCTTTTTCTATCTTTTCAATGTCTTGTATATTGGAGTCGTCTGACTGGCTGCTTCTGCTACTGCAGCTGCTGCGGCTGCTGCGGCTCCGCTCTCTTTGGCTGTGTTCTCTCTGTATTCTCCTCTTCAGCTTCAGTTCATAGTGAAGAGAGGCCTTCCTCTCACTCTGGAGGCGCAGAGCAGTCTGTACAGCTGTAAAATTAAGAACATGAAAATATATTCAATTATATTGTCCTTTCCAATATAACCTCAATCAATTATTGATACAACCAAGTTAACCGAAGAATTGAATCACCTTGAGTCCATTCAACTTTCTGTTTCTGGTCAGATGCGCTCATCTCATATGTTTTATTGCGGGTTTTAACACAAAACAAGCAGCGTTTTCCCTCTTTGTCTGCAATGCTCTAAAAAATACAATAAAAATGAAACATGTTGAATGTAAAAAAAAAATTGTGTTTTCAAATTATTCATTACCTCAACTAAACAGCTCTTGTCTAGAAGAATTTCGCCTCTTTTATCTTTCAAGTCCTCGCTGACAAAATATGCCATGGAAGAAGGCTGCAGCACAAACCAACGCTCAGTCCAGTTCCTTCGAACGTGTCCCTTTTTCCACATGTAACCCTTGAAACAACATCATGTAACTTTAACTATACACTAGGAGAACAAGTGAAAAAAAAAAACATTTACCCGCTTAAGGACATTGTGGTACATTTCCAAAAACACCTCATGCAAAGCCAGACTAAAGGCCTCCACACTGGTCACTTTGAGCAGTCGCCCTGCGCTCATGTGCTCCAGGAAGGCCCACACCGACATGCCCTCATCCAGCACAGTCATGTCCTCGCACAACAAATCTTCCAAGAACTTCCCATCCCACTCCTGATTCATTCCAGTGGAAATCTTCTTCAATAGATATTCTATCTGTAAAAGTGACAACCAAAATTTTAGAAGCATTGTCTTGGTAATTAACATTGCAGCGGAAGTGCCAGAACACAAAGTCTATGCTTTCAAGTCCTTACTTTCAAGTATAAAGTTTGTGCCAATTGTCTTAAAATGGGAGCAGAACACAAACAAGTCATCAAAGCAACTGTACCAAACTATTAACAATATTGACCTACTCATATTCTGTGAAGTAAACTATTCATGAAAACAATATCTCTAAATGTATGTATTCATTTATGTATTTATTTTGTTAAGCAAAGAATAGTTGGTAAACAGTGGATCTATCTCTTGATAGATTTTTACAGATTTTTTCTTACAGAAAAAGATATCGCCGCATAGATCTCCCTTTAGGTGCTTAAAATATACTGTATGCATGAATACAAAATGATAGATTATTTATAATAGTATAATCATCTAGGCTCACCTCATCAGGGATCATGACAAGTGGGTACCGATCCTCTGATAATAGATTGAATAAACAGAAAAGCTTGAAGCAGTCTTTCTGGGATAGAAGTGCACCATCAAAAACACCTCTCAAGTTCTTTTTCATTGTCATCATCCAGCAGAGGTCATCAAACTTTTCTTTATCAAAGTTTCCCTCTATGACCTGCAAAACACATTTTAAAAGCCTCTCACTTCCTGCACGTTTGACTATATGGCTATGGCATCCTATGGTTTCCATACAGTATATCCTGGTACACATAATCAGTTACCTTGTCTAGGATATATTTGTTGAGATAGGGCATATAGCCATGATTAGACACGGGTCCATCATCGTCGTCCTGAAAGTGTTCCTCCAGGGTCACAGGGTCATGGGGGATGTTCAGGACTGTGTACAGGTTGTGAGAAAGGACCTAAAACACAAGCCGGTTTTACAGTTTATAATGAAACGGCAGTGTGCTCTTCGAGCCTCCACCAGAGCCTCAGTCAGTGGGGACTGTGCTCCCAAAGCTCAGAACATCCTTTGGACAATCTAGCTTCTTCTTCAAGGGGATTAAACTGTGAAACTCTATCCCCACTGGACTAAAAATCTACTCTCTTCAGTAGAGAGCACAAACAGTGGTTAAGATCGAGACAGTGTTGTTCTCATGAGTACATTGTATTGTAAATTTATAAAATGTAATGTAAAAGCCCCCTGTGGATTATTGTTAGCAATGTATGTGTTTGACACTTGGTCACATCATTATTAGATTTGCATTTTCAAAGACAAAAGTAAAATCCAGCCAATAAGCTCTCATCACTAAACAGTGACTTACAGGGCTCATTCTCAACTATGCACCTTCACCAGGATGAAGACATGACACATTAAGAATATGTATTATTCATGAAACAAACATTATAGGAATCCAAGCCTTAAACACTTAAAAAAAAAAAAAGACGAATGAAAAAAAAAAATATTGTTTTGTATTTTGCTACATTGCCCTGGTACGAATATACAGGTATTTAGAGCTTTGTTTTTGAAAGACTCCCAGATGAGAAACATTATGGTCGTATGCATGTCAGGACAACTGACAGTGAATTTCCTTGAATTCCCCAGATTCCAGTAGCAACTGAACACTGAAAACCAATGTTTTATTCTAATGACAGACTGGCGTTATGTTATAACAATACTATCAGAGCAACAAGTCTGAACTTTAAGCTTGTATAGTTTTTCCTAGGTTTTCTGGTGAATTTAGGATTAAGAATAGTTTAAAGAGAGTTCAACTTCACACATAGCATGTTTGTGTATGATTCAAGTACAGAAGACATTTCATCATTAGCCACCGTCGAATGCAGCTCGTTATCCAAATATACAGAGACAAAAACAAAGTGCGATGTTTACCTTAAGTTGTGACTTTGACACTTTTCCACACTTCTCAACGTCCAGCGACGTAAAGGCGTACCAGATGGATTTGAGAAGCTCTGATTTTAGATCCATTTGGAGACGCGCACTGACAGCAGCGTAGCGCGTGTGTGGAGAGCAGACTGTGGCGTAAAGAGGGGAGACTACAGTCACGCCAAGAGTACACACCATAGACTGTACACATGAAGCAGAGAGACGGCGGAGGAGATCCACTTACACAACACCCACCTGGAGCCTGGGATGTTTATGGTCAAGATAAGGCACGAGTGAAACGATGGCATGGATAGCTTTAGTTCATGTCAAAGCATATCACTTATAGGCTAATTCTCTCTACTTTAACAAAATTAAATACTTGTTTTATCATTTAATTTAATTTAGTGTTTTAGTGCATTGTTAGTGTTTTAAATGCTAAAGGATTATCTTAAATATTGTTCTGATTTTGACATCAAATACCATACACCAACCTAAATGTTTGTCAAATCTACTGAAGAAAGTTCTGCAGAATATTCTAAAGATTAACGAAGTAATTCTTATTCCAAGGTTTGTAACTTGGAATAACATAAACACTGTGTTGAATGTTATCTACAGCAATTTACATTAAAACGAGGACACAGCAAAGACCTGCATGTCCTGCAGGCTAATCAATGGAATATAATCAGGTCATGAACAAACAAGTGAGGCTTAGCTGCCACAGTAGTCCTATCCTAAACGTGTGTTTGTATAAGAGGCATCATTCAATTTCTTATTTTTATTTTACTTCTTTTTATGTATTTTGTAATGCAATATATCAAGATTGCTATTACTGTGAAGAAAAATCCATGTTACATCTAGCTATCTATATGATAGTTTAAATGGTTTATCCCTGGGGCCTTTGCTTCTGATATTTGATGAAAATATAGATTATTTGCATTTATCAACCGACCTTTATGGAATCGAAAGTGATTTATACTGAATGATTGGCTCATTCTATAGCCACAGCTGCCCTGGGGTAGACCGGTGGCTGCAAAATGTGCAATTTGCCATCAGGTCTGCAAACCTCCACCATGCATGCACACACTCTAACCAGGCACTGCACTGCTTAGCTTCTGAGATCTGAGTCGGTCATGCTTTGACAATCAAGATTTTCTTCACCAACCATTAAGCCGGAATAAAACAACAGAGATATAGATGTAGTGCCACTTTTTGTTTAATCTTCATTTGGAATAAATAAATCCAAACACCCAAACACACTTAATAATAATGACTATCTAATAAAATATTATAATGAAATGTTGGCCTACAATATCTTCTTTGTTTGGCATTGTTGTTGTTTGGCACAACAACTGACCAATAAGACATTTATTTTGCACATGCTACACATATACTAACTGATTCTTGTTCCAATGTTTTTTTGTTTTCTACAAAAGACAAGTATAAGTACATTCAAGTAAAAGCTGGGGTGCCTCACTTTCAAACCATACAAAATAGTACTGTGTAATTCTTCAACATAGTTCTCAGCTCTTTCCAGCTTCCATCACTACCTTTCACCTGCTTGTATTTTAGCCCTCTGTCACAGCTTTAGATCCTAAGCAGAAAAAAAAATAGTGACTTTCTTACAGATGTGACAAAATATTACATGTTTTAGAACTGTTGTTCACAATGTTTTACTTTAAAAGACTTTTTATGTTGAGACAAACAACATAAACAAACAATTATTTATGAAAAATGAAGATGGTGCCCCAGCTTAAACTATATTAATATAACACAATACAAAACACTGAAACTTTGCTGAGCCATTGATTCAAAGTTATTCTAAATTCTAGACATGCAGAAGTCAGGTCTCATTTTTTTAAAACAATGCTGATTAATTGAGTAATTTTCAGTTCTGTCACTGTCCTAGGACTCGCTGATGTTGACGTGGCTCAAGTCTCTTTGCCAGCATGCAAGCTAAAGCAATGCCTCCTATCTGGGTGAAGGCCAGTCCTAAAACAGAAGCCGCAATATGAAAGACATTGTTGTTGACCAAGTTGAAGACTTTACGAAAGCAGCCATGAGGGTGGATTCCTGCTGAAACTACTGCTTCAATGTCATCTGATAACAGAGCACGGCTCCTGCAGTCTTTACGGTTTATGCAACAGCTATCAGGAAGACAAACAGAGGTGCCATTTTCACTATATGGAACGGCTGCATGTTGAACGGCCCAGTCTGAGGATAACCAGTCCTGCCAACTCTCAGCTCCACAACATTGCAATGCCCTTTGCAGACTATCCAAAGCATCGGCACGGCCTTCATCCTCTGTGTAACCAGCTACAGCGAGCTGTAAGCCACTCCGAAATCCTCCAGCAATGTCTTCATGATAGAAAAGGCCACAGAGTCCAGCTGACAGTCCTGCAATAAGGGCAGCAAGTTGAAAAAATCCATAGGCTCTAAGAAGATAAGGCAAGTTTGCAGCCACTCCAAGACAACCGAGAAAGCCCCATGCAGAAAGCACAGCCCCTGTGCACAAAAGTATTGAAGGGGCATTAGGGTAGTGATTGGCTGAAAGCAACATAAAGTCAGAAAGAGAAATCTGAGCCCAAACACCCAATGTAAAAATTGCTAAACCAGCGGCCCAAAAAAGACAGCTGAAAGCAAGGGTACCCAGACGAAGAAGATGCATGACTCCCAATGGTTGACCACAAAGATGAAGGGGCAGAAAATCTAAGCGCAGCCTGGGCGTGTCGTCCATAGACAAGAGATGGTGCTGGAGCTGAAGGTGCTCCTTCAGATTATTGAGGAAAGGAGAAAGAAAAGAATAATGTCCTCACACCTGCTTTATAATACCCCTCCAAGGCTTGTCTGTTGGGGCTTGTACATGGAGATTGGGAGTAATAAGGCCATCATGGTCATGTCTTAATTATGCTCTCGCTCTCTCTCTTTCCACACTTACACTCCAATCTTTCGCACACTCTCCTCCACATTCTTTATGACATGTTATTAATCTGCTTTCAACACACAACCTCAGCTGCATTGTAAATCAGAGAGATGGGTGTTGTGCTCCTCAGTTATCTGCACCCACAGCCTGTTTTCCTCCATCTTTGTTTATTTGGACAATTATTCCACCTGCACGGTCTTCAATGGAGAAAATTTCCTCTCTGATAGGCATTCATAGCACAAACCTACTGCAAAGTGATTTGCTAAGAATAGATTGGATGTGCATCTTGGCTTATTTACATCAAGCAGAGGGTTCAAATATATCAGGGCTCGTTCAGGAAAAGCACACCAGATGACATGTGGTCGCTCAGGGCTACAGACCCCTGATTATGCAAGATTATATAATTTTTCAGCATTTGCGAGGATCCCAGACTACAGCTTTAAATATGTATAGCTGCCTCCTCACTGGTGGATTAGGACCCTTTGTACAATGGCAAACTTCTCCATTATCTGTGTGGTGCAGGTACTCTGATTCGTTGATGCCCCGAAAAGCAGCATAAAAAACTTCCATGTATGAATGTGTTGAATGTTAAAGTGCTTGGAGTAGAGCCGCTGCTCGTTCATATGCCTCTTCACTACTATGAAGAGGATAAAGGATTATGGTGACACATTTAATATAGTACTACTATGTGTTGTATGAGTAGGGCAACTGCAGCAAGTTAGGGACTTTTATATTTGTGGTGAAATTAAGCCCAACTCCTGAAGTATCACCCCGGAGGAGAGACTGATCTTCGTTTAAACGCTTTAACACAAAGTTGCATCAAGGAAACATTTCATACATTTGCAAACACTGCAGAGAGGTGTCTTGTTCAAGGACACAACGGCAGCTTTGGTTTTTCATATTTAGGAGCTGGTTTTACACCTTTTATCGACTGTCATCATCACGGGAAATTAAGCCGTGGTTTTGTCATAAGTAAGTAAGTAATTTTTATTTATATACCAACTTTCACAGACCAGAGTCACAAAGTGATTTACAATTGTTTTTTTGGGGGCATTTGTCCTCTCACTCCACACAGAGATGGAGGCGCATGCACAGTCCTATTGGACATGTTTCGAACCCAGGATCTTCTTGCTGAGAGGGGAGAGTGCGATCCACTCAGCCACCGTGCCGACCTAAAGTTTTAAGATGTCCAGATGACTGGATCAACTAATGTACACTCTCAAATAAGTGTGCAGCCATCACAGAATTATTTTTAATGCCATTGTAAGTAACAGGAAATCACAAACTGGGAATTGGCTTTGGCTCGTGATGCAAATAATTTATAAAAGTAAAAATAGATATAAGGTATGCATAAAAAAATCTTCATATAATTTCTTCAAATTACTGCAAGTCCACACACTAAGTGTGCAGTTGAATAATCGAAACTATGCTTGAACCCAAAGTAAACAATTGTTTAGCAACCCCTTACTACTATAATGAATTAAAAGCATGAGAGAGAATGAATTTACAGCGTGAGAATGAATCATATTATTACCACCGGATCCACGCACTACCAGGTCCATACCGCTGGAGGCAGCACTGAGCAGCAACTCACCGGAAAACACGTGAATAATATTTTAGTCACGTGAAATCGAATCCGCTGTGCCCATAGACTCTTTTTAGTTATACTTGATTATTTTGATGATTTTGATGATTTGTGCACAAAACAAGCTCCAGAAACAGGAAAGTATAAACTATGGACGAAGACGGATTGCCAATAGTCGGGTCTGGAGTCGATCTCACAAAGGTCTGTGCCTGCGCGTATGTATACAGCAAAAATAATAGTAGTGTTCTCTCAGATTCAGATTCATTTTATTTGCCATTTGCAGTAAAACCGCATTAGAATACATGTGCAAAAGTACCCCAGTGTGCACCAGACAAATATATAAAACGAAACAAGCTAAAAAGTACAAGACATAGTTAATTGTCTCGTAAATCCTGTCTATAACCTAGGTTAATTATTCAGAGTTTACATTGCCTTGTCAATCTTTTGAAACTATCTTTTCAAGGTTCCTGCGATTCAACAAAGAAGAACTGTTGCCTTTCTTAACCAGTTTATAGTGCACACCGTCAAATTTCTAAATCGATTTTCTACCGTCTGTGAAGAGGTTTGTGGACTGATGTTTTAATTTTAATTGCAACAGGAACGCTGACCTCCAAACTCTCAACCTTTTGTTCAACTTTGTTCCTTTTTGTCTTTAGAAACTTGCAAATATATCTCTTCGCGTGCAGCAAATAGAGACCACATTATGCATTTTGGAGGCCAAGGTATGTGTTTTTTTTGAGTGTACCAGGATGAAAGGTTCCATACTGAGTAGTAAACGTGTGCTTGTAGCTTTCCTCTATACCAGGACTCGAGGAGGTAACTGTAGATGGAGTAGGTGTGCTGCAAAATGCAAAAACAAATGGCCTTCCTGTCAATCATATGCAGACTGACCATGGAGCAAAATCAGAGGTAATACCTTTATATCCTGCTATAAGATCACATGAGCACAACTATATTTATTACGTATTCTACATGTAAATCTACGTTGAATGTGTCCCAAATATGGTCTTTTTACATTTAAAACCTGATTAGAAGAATAACAAACTTAAATAATCTGATAAATTGCTTGCTTAGGCTGTTGAACCTGATCCTCCTGCTGCAGTCAAGGTAGATGAGAATATACCTGAAGAAAATGTTAAAACAGTTGCCAAGGATTCAAGATACGCCCGTTATCTTAAGATGGTTCAAGTGGTATGTACAATTATAACAATAATAATTAAAATGTACACAATATAACCACGCTCTTCTTTATCCCAGGGTGTTCCTGTAATGGCTATTAAAAACAAAATGGTCTTGGAGGGTTTGGACCCCAATCTTCTTGAGTGAGTGAAACCCATTTAAGGACTTACATTGTTTAAATGTTCACTATTGGTTTATAAAATCTTGTTTTTGTGCAGCACACCAGATGCTCCTGTGCCTGATGCATCCTGTGGCAGCGCTGACGATCAAGATGTCCATAGTTCCGATAGTGAATCCTCCTTTAGTGATTAACTGCACTCATTATGTGTGTCAAGCCAACCACAAAAAGAGCAGATTGTATAATTGTCCCAAACTGTCTAAATCTATCTAGTTATGTAAATGTACTATACATTTTTCCTTGTGTAACACATGTAAATAAAGATTTTATTTATGGCATTCACATTTCTTATCCGTAGATGGCATCAACCATTTCAAATCACTTGAGGCTCAAAATCCATTGATATTTGTATTTGTGAGCAGTTAACTATATATAACATTTAAAGGGCGCTATTTAAAAACTATTGCCGTGTCTCTGACAAAGACCATCTGAAGAAGCAAGATTCAAATTGCTAGCATGGATTATGATCTGTCAAAAAAATCTATTATCCTTTCCACATTAATTTATTTTTTCTGTACCCCAAAATCACAACAGTTGTTTCAAAAGACTTCAACAAAGTTGTCGATTTGTCAACACCAGATCAGAGAATCATAGCTGGAACACAGGAAATGCAATAATAAAAAAATATGTATTAGCGATTGGTCCATATGGAGTGGGACGACCAATACCCCTAAATGTGAAAACCCAGTGATAAGTCAGGAACCTCGAGGAGGCCCATATTGTGAGAGGGACATGCTCCCATGGACGCATAGGGGCTCAGATTGTGCTGTGCCGGGAGAGTGCTGCTCGCCACGAGTGTGGTTTGGAGAAGACCGGTTCACAGGTGAAGGTTAATGAGGCCAGGTTCCTGAAGTCACACAGGAAGGCGACTCAAAGGCAGGAGATTACACGATTACATAGAAGAAGGTCCCACAGTGGGGGGAAATTTTAAGTTGGATGAATACACATCAAGGTATGCGGTGAACATTACTTCCATCCTCCTTATGGACAAGGTGGGTCTTGCCCAAGGACACAACAACAGCAGACATTAGTGGGGTTGGTGGAGAGGGTCTCGCAGTGGGCTCAAAGGCACGACCCTCAGGCTCAAAGACAAATGCTCCACCAACTGAGCCACTGTCGATGAGCATTATCATAAAAGGCAACCCGCTCCTTTTCATTCATTAATAATAGAAAAATGCCTTGGCAAACTACAAATTACAGTAATTTGAGAGTTGATTTTGTCACAATCTGTGTTGGTTAATAACTTCACATGAAACTCATAAATGAAAACCAATGATTCAAACGTATTCAATATACTGTGTGAAAGACTTAATGTGTGAAATTTTAGAGAAGTGAGTAATTGTGTTAATGGGAGCACAGTGTTTTGAAATACATCCTTGTTCTCTTTTCTGAGAATATATAAATCCCCTTCAGGAGTATGAAACCATCAGGAACACACCTAAATCTACAAACAGTGGAGTCTAAAAGTGGTGTGAAAGGTAATGACAAGTGTGACAAAAGTTGAAAAGTTTACAAAAACCTGTTTATACACAATTGTATATATATATATATATATATATATATATATATATATATATATATATATATATATATATATATATATATATAGAATGTATAATTGTACTTCATATCAAAATCATTAATACTTTGGTAAATACAAACATGTCCCATTGTACACTGTTAAAGATGGCACAGGAAGCAAGTATTAGAGGTAAAAACGACAAATCTGCCATAAATAAACATGCATATATTATCAATGTGTTAAAAAAAACCTATAAATAGCACAATTATTGAAACACAGGAAACGCTCTCTGTCAACTGTCAGTTTCCAGTTCCACACACAATTTGGACGTTCAAGTTAAATCGCTTGAAAAAGAATAGAAATATGACAAATATTAAAATTGTGAAAGTAAAACATGTATATAGATATTGCATTACTCACTTTGAAGTCATGAATATACGTCAAAAAGTAGCAGACAAAACTAAATGCAACAATCCATTCACATCCAGCACTGATCTTTTGGAGGTGTGGATCCTGAAAATGACAAAATAAATACATGTCTATGAATTTATAAACACAAAAAAATAAATACAAAAAACCCCTCCTACCTTGTCAAAGCATTTACAAATCACAGCTGTTATGTTCATAAATTAAGGAAATTTAACGTTTCGCGAATAAAACTGCTTTTCTTTTTTTACAAAACAAAATATATTATAAAAATAAAGGATACTGGGAAAAAATGCCACTACAGAAATGAGGCTCAAAGTCAAACGTGTGTGACATGTAAAGAGGGAGGCTCCATAAGGGGATGAACAATATGACAAATATGTCTCAACACTGATGTACAATGTCCCACAGAGAAAAAAAAGCAGGGCTCCAGCGAGATGAACAATCCGCACCGCAGATTCCTAAAAAAAACAAACAACTACAGTATTTATATTGTATTACACAGAGAATTATTGCTCATTATTATTATTTTTAAATGTATACCTGAAAAGTTGCAACAACACACATGCCGAAACAGGAGAGGAGGCCAAGTCCAAGAGCCGCTTTGTTCCAACAGAGACTGACCCTACCTGTCTTTTCACCCACCTTTGCCAAATACCCATACATGGCATATATGGTACAAATACCTAAATACACAAGGAGAATATTTTTTTAAATAAATGGACCCATTAATTCTTTTTCTATCTGGATTTACCTGCAATGGCTGAAACCAAGGTCATCAATCCAAAAAAACAGCTTTCAGGAGGACTGTCTGCTGTGTCACTTAAAGAGATTAAAAATCAAATCAAAACCATTGACTCTTTAAAATGGAAACAATGTGTTTTTCTCATTATTCTTGCACTTGGCTAATTTCTAATTCCCCATTTTGATCTTAATATCGTAATAACAAATCACATGATGAAGCTGAGGTTTGTTGAAAAACTGGTTTACTCCAAGTGTATAGGACATAGGGAAGTGAATATGTCGTAACCATTGATCTATAGTCGTAATGTGGAACGTTAATAAAAACAAATATAATATAATAAACAAAGATAATTTCCCGTAATATATTGTTTCTTTTGCAGTCTTTTCACCACAATATTTCTACTAGGTCAAAACAGAACGATATTGCCCTGAAGTCCATTGTAATTTCATCAATCTCCCACGTATTTTTCAGCCATATAATATTTTTATAGCAACAATTGTTTTTGCATTGTCTAAAATCCGACCTTTACACGGAGGAAATTTAAAAACGAAAGTGAAACTTAAAATATTTCCGAACGAGTTAACATTTTAATCCAAATGACTTGTAATTTAAAAGCCTGTTTACCTTATGTAAGGGAGAATAACGTCAACATCTTGCCTTGTTACAGCTATAACGTAGGAAATAATGAATGTGCTGGAGGATGAGACGACCAGAATCACTGGAAGGAGGCATAGTCCTTGCTGAAACCACATGTTTAGAGGATGAGAGTCGCGTCCGCAGACTTAGAAATAATCATTAGATAAAGTTTTACTCATAGATGTATATCAACATCTGGCTCTCATGGCCACACACGACACCTAGAACCTCCCCTAAAGTCACTTGTGGTCATGAAAGACGTATCCGCCCCTATTGCGCAGAAAGCCATTTTTGAAACGTTCAATTCAATTCCATTCAATTTATTCTTGTGTAGCCCTAAACCACAATAGTATACCTCGGAGGACTTCACCAACACAGATCAGAGAACAGAATATTGGTCATTAATATTGGTCCATGGGCAGATGAGAGTCCAGTTAATATAAGGAGAATAAACCTGCATTTTAAAGACATATTGACAACACATAAAATCTCTTGGCCTGGGTTTAACTATATTAAAATAGGTTTCAAAACTGGTGTTGAACAATTTATGAGGTTTAAACCTGTCTAACTCACAGAGGGATATAGCTGTACAGTATACCTATTGTATTATTCCTGATAGGGCTCTATACTTCATATGACTACTTACACCTGAATATTAAAACTTTTTACTTTAACTTCTAATTTATATACCAAAATAACTGTACTTTATACGCCTTACATTTAATTAAATCTAATGTGTTAATTTAAAAACATAAAAACTGCTCAGTATGATCAGGATCGTTATGCCTTCAAGTGAATGAATGAATTGTGGTTATGTTTATTTCTAAGTTCAAATAACAGCTGCATTCTGCTTTTCTCCATGTTTTGTTTATCATCATATTCTGTGCTGAAAAACGTCTGTAAAGTATTTTATAGGTAATGATAGGTCTCAAATTAATCAACAAATATTTTCCTTCTGAGCTGATATAAAGATGTGAAAGAGGCCAACATATGTCCATGTGAAAACGAGTGATAGAACCAAACTGTTTTAATGTTTTAGATCACTTTAAGTTGATTTTATAACATATAGGTATATTATTGTGGTCTAAGTATTTATAAAGGCTTTTACTTAAATTAGGGAATAATTTGAATGTAATACAGTGACATTTTTTATAGGGGTGGATATCTGGAGACTGGCCAAGCCACTTCAGGACCTTGAAATGCTTCTTACGAAGCCACTCCTTTGTTGCCTTTGCGGTGTGTTTGGGATCATTGTCATGCTGAAAGACCCAGCCACGTTTCATCGTCAGTGCCCTTGCTGATGGAAGGAGGTTTTCATTCAAATTCTCACGATACACCGTCCCCATTCATTCTTTCCTTTACACAGATCAGTCGTTCTGGTCCCTTTGCAGAAAAACAGCTACACAGCATGATGTTTCCACCCCCATGCTTCACAGTAGATATGGTGTTCTTTTGGAAGCAAGTCTCCTCCAAACACTGCGAGTTGAGTTTTTACCAAAAAGTTCTGTTTTGGTGTCATCTGACTATGTGACATTCTACCAATCATCTTCAGATCATCTAAATGCTCTCTAGCAAACTAGCCTGGACATGCACTGGCTTCAGCAGGGGGACACGTCTGGCACTGCAGGATTTGATTCCCTCGTCGTTGTAGTGTGTTACTGATGGTAACCTTTGTTACTTTGGTCCCAGCTCTCTGCAGGTCATTCACCAGGTCCCCCCGTGTGGTTCTGGGATTTTTGATCACTGTTCTTGACCATTTTGACCCCACAGTTCTAAATCGAGGGAGATAATCAGTGGTCTTTTATGTTTTCTAATAATTGCTTCCACAGTTGATTTTTTCACACCAAGCTGCTTACCTATTGCAGATTGAGTCTTCCCAGCCTGGTGCAGGTCTTCAGTTTAGTTTCTGATGTTCTTTGGTCTTGGCCATAGTGGAGTTTGGAGTGTGACTGTTTGAGGTTGTGGACAGGTGTATTTCATAATGATAACAAGTTCAAACAGGTGCCATTAATACAGGTAACAAGTGTAGGACAGAGGGGCCTCTTAAAGGAGTTACAGGTCTGTGAGAGCCAGAAATCCTGCTTGTTTGTAGGTGACCAAATACTTATTTTCCACCATAATTTGCAAATAAATTCTTTAAAAATCATGTTATTTTCTGGATTTCTGTCTCTCATAGTTGAGGTGTACCTAAGATGAAAATTACAGTCCTCTCTCATCTTTTTAAGAGGGAGAACTTGCACAACTGGTGGCTGACTAAATACTCCCCCCACTGTATCATAACATCAGCCTGCCCAGGGAAAACGGGTGGAAATTAGTTCTTGAGCTATGTATAACCTGCTACAATGCATCTTCCCCTTTGAGGTTAATGTTTATCGTACACTGTCCTTGTATATATAAACTAAACTAAACTAAACTTTTATCAACCAAAGTTTATGCATACATTTTGGTGGTTTATTCATAATCATTAAGTGCACTTTTGACTGGTGTGTGCATGTTTGAGCAATTATGAATATTCGACATTTCGCAGAACCTGTCACCGATTTCATCACAGCTTCTCAGTCTATGTTACAAAAAAAGTAATAAGCCCTAAAATAAATATATATTTCACACATTCCTGAACAATAATGAAAGGAGCGCTCAAAATATCAGCGAATAGGTCAAATCTTTGTTTTTGTTTGTTATTTTATGTAGAATTTTGACCACAATTACTGTAAGTAATAAGTTATCGTCTCCCAAGTAAGTAATCTTTATTTAGCCTTTCACAGACCAAAGTCACAAAGCGCTTTACAATTGTTGTGGGCATTTGTCCTTTCACTCCTCAACCCTAACCCTGACCTAGAGATGGGAGCGGGGTCGCCTGTACAGAAGGCCGATGCCAGACCTTTTGTGCATGTTTATGTGTAGGGAAATAGGAGCACCTGAAGGAAACCTACAAAGACACAGGGAGAACATACAAACTCCACACAGAAAGGCCTGGAGGTGGAATTGAACCTTCTTGATTTGAACCACTATGCCACCGTTCCGTCCAAAAGGCCGTTTTGTATATTTATTTGTACATTATTTGTAGGAAATAGCACTTGCTCCTTCAGTAACCTCTTTTAAATCTTTTTTTAAAAACCCACTTTTATCGAATGGACTTCCCATAACTGTTTCCACATTGTCTTTGTTTTGTCTGCTTTAATCTCATGTATTTATTTTTGAGGTTATATTATTATGACTGTCATTATTATTATTATTATTATCATCATTGCAATATAAAATAAAAAACAGGGAGATCAAATCCAGCCCGGTAGCGCCACCATGTGACAGCCAGCTAACACAACAGCCTTGTGCTCCGTGCCAGCAGGGGGCGCTCTACATTCAGCATCCAGCCACGCAGTCAAGCTTGAGCGATGGCTGCGGTCATGTGTCGCTCTGCGCTGCTCCTGGTCAGCTGACTGAGATGATAACTTCATAGTGTACCGTCCGCAGTGAAGATCTCTCTGATTTTGAATGAATGCCTCGCTATGCTTCGCTGAGGAGAACCATGGTCGTCGTGAACTCTGTCCTGAAGCTGGTGCAGAGGCAGACCTACACCTGCCTGTCGCACCGCTACGGGCTCTACATCTGCTTCGGGGGGATCGTGCTCATGATTGTGTCTGCCTTTCAGTTCGGAGAGGTGAGATCCCGTGTGCACTTACGGCCAACTTTCTCATGTCATGTCATGAGAGGCGTGGTGTGGGGAGGCTGTGCGCGCTCCACGTAGCAATGATCAATGTGTTGTGCCAGAAGAAGGAAGTATTCACCTGTTTCAGTCTTAAAGATTGCGTTTATGTGGCATTACAACAGTCCTAACAGTTGAGTGATCTTTGCTGGTAACTTTAGTAGCTGTTGCATGTCTTAGTTTAACGCTATGTTTCTGAATAACTTAAAAATAGAAACTGATATTTGGCACATTTATATATTCAATGTCAAACACAATGGAGTCTTGGTACACAAGGTCTTGTGTCAGAAGAACTCTTAAGTCTTAAAAATTGCGTATATACAGTATATGACAAGATATGTCATATGTTTTAGTTACTGTAGGTAACTATAGTTACCTAATAGGTACTACAGTTATTATAGGTAACTATAGTAACTGTCAAAAGTTTTAGTTTAACGTTAGAGCTAATTATGTGTATTTCTTGGGCCAATCAACATTAAACAGAAACTGTCAATTTTGACATTTGTTTTTCAGTACATTTCAACGATTGTCTATTACTTTCTCACAAAGGTGTTGAGAAGTGGTGACAATATTCAAAGATGTATGTGTGATGTTTTGCTTTGAGGATGGTCAGTAGAAAGGACTTTCAGGCATGATAATTATATGGTCTGTTTATTTAATCACTATCAAATAATGATCTGGGATTACATAACAAAAATCGCTCCTTACCCTTAGAATTGTATTGGCACCTTCCCTCCCACTATAATATAATTCGATAACATGAATGGAACCGAGTTCTTCGGGCAGTGACCTACTGTTGAAAAGGTACACTGGTGTAATTAATGTTGATGTGTGTGTTATCTCATATAAAGGTGGCGATGGAATGGAGTCGAGACCAGTACCATGTGCTGTTTGACTCCTACAGAGACAATGTCGGTGGGAGGTCTTTTCAAAGCAGGTAACTCATTGTAATCTAATCTAACTTGTTCAGCAACAATCCTCTATTTGTTTTTTGTTTTTTCTTGTCATAGTATTCACTGATTGTTTGTTTCTGTTGCAGACTGTGTTTGCCAATGCCTATAGATGTCGTATACACATGGGTGAATGGCACAGATGTGGCACTTATTAAACAGCTTAAAGCAGTTAAAGAGCAGATGAAGCGAGAGCAAAAGGCTTTGAGGTAGTAAACAAACGTCATTTTTGTACAGATAATTATAATAAACCTGTTCACATTTTGACTTAATGTTCTTGAGAAGAATTTATTACAAGATCATGTAACTCATTATTGTGAGCTCAAAGGTTACATTTTCTCTCAAAAGAGGCTTGTACCAGATTGCTTTAACCATTATATTTTATGATGGAAATGTTAAAGTAATTGATTGTTTTTTGATTATTTGTTTTTAGGGATCGTCTTGGCAAAAATGCAACAGAAACAATTGAAGTGCCAAAAGACAGGTGGGTGTCAGTTAATTAAAAGACTATTCTACAACACATTTAGTTTTAGGATATTTTAAGCATATTCAAATATGTTTAATGTACTCAACCAATAATGTAAACAATTAAATGCATTTTCACAAACAAACTTGATTAAACACATTGTTCCAGATTTTAAAAATGTCATCTGTTTTATACAAGATATTTTGGAGGCTTTAAACGTCAGTGACCCTAGTTGATCCTCTTCTGTGTTTCAGCTCGAAGCCAGAATGCCTACTATCCAATTGCGTCATGGCACCCATTCTCATCCTGGACCCCCCTCTGCCCTCCCACATCACAATTAAAGAGTTGCCTTCCGTTGTTCCATCGTTCTCTGACGCCAAGGAGCTCCTGCTTATGAACAAGCCTTTTCTTTCAACGTTTGTCTCCATTGTGATCTTTCACTCTCAGTCTGAAGGTAAACTCTACTTAACTACACATTCTATTTCAAATAGCATTGTTATTGGTACTCGTATTATAAAATGACAACGCTTGCCAGAAAACCTTTTTGTCAATGTCATTTTTTAGTTGTGAACGCAATTTACAATTCTCAAACGACCTGTTCATACCTCGTTTTATCTTTGAAGCTGATCGTGCTTATTCTGCTGCTTCTAAGGAGAAACATAAATTCAATTTGTCTCGTTGTTTCCTGGTGAGTGTTTTGATGTAAGTCTGAATGCCCAGAAAGCGCAAACCACTCACGTTCTGATGTCCTTTAGACCACAGATAAAGAGGAACCAGGTTTGTTCCGGATGCAGACTCTGGCCTTCTTACATGGATTTTCAGCGACCTACAAAGAAACGGACCAATTAAAAGTGAAGCTCCCGTCGGTCATTTCGGATAAGATTGCACAGGTAACAAAGTTCCTGTTTAATCTCACACCAGCAGATGGCAGCACAATGCTTCTGTTGAGGACATGATGCTTTACACACCACAATCTTTCTGTTAGAATATTATGCACCTTCTAATGTAACATAGCTTTGTTCACACTAAAGGGTGTAAAAGTGTGACAAAACGCCAAAGATTAGATTTTGATAATCAGAAGATATATAACGTTTTTCATTTATCCAAATACCTCCTCTGTCCATTTAGTAGTTGCTAGAAGATAACTGTTTTATACAATAGTCAAATTTCCTAAAGCGGCTCTGTTTATTTGTGTAACGGACGTGATCCTTTGACAGAATGAGCTGGGCGGAAGTTTGTTACATATTTTCAGATGTGCACATTTGATTCAGAGATTCTTTTTTCTACACAGAGTAGAAACAAAGTGATTACATCCATATATTAAACCAAAATAAATGTGATACCAGACAATCATTTTTTTAAATTTAATTTCTAGGAAAAAAATTGACAGAAATCATCCCGTCCGTTATACATTTTTCAAGGGTGATTTTAAATTTGTATTGATTATTTTTCAAAAGTGATTCCTTTTTAAATCAAATGATTTACTTATGTTGTGTTAGCCATGTTAATCTTGTGGGAGTTTATCTGCTGCTTTTTCAGACTGATGAAATTTTATTTTCCATGTAACGGAGTCATAGTAGAATGATCAAATCAGAGGATCAGCCTCTGATTTTTTTTAAATGTTGCCAAAAATGGATTTGTCAATCTTTATTTTTGATTATATCCACAATATCTCTGTGACATGTCTGTGTTGGAAATAATATTTCTAATCTATGATAGTAATTCTAGTTTTTGAGTTATAACCTTTTAATTTCCAAATACTTTAATCACACTTTATGGGGAACACACCCACATGAAAACATACCAGAGGTAGGCTATTGTAAGGTGGCAGAAGTCTAAAGAGACAGACGTGACTGACAATTGTCATATTTTGCAGGCATATAAGTTATCAATCTGGGGTTTAAATGAAAAAAAAAACATGAGTTAGTTTAGTGTATAAAATAAAACATGGCTATACCCTTTTATTTATTTAGTAGAACTGTGAGCATGATTGTGTCAAAATGTTTGATACGTCCGAGTTTTATTGTTTAGAGTCATTTTAGACGTCCTGTAAATATCTGATGTAGGCATTACAGACTTTTGTCTGCTGTTGGCTCTTATCCACTAGCTTGTGCACATTTTAACTAAAGTGTTAGCCACATATTACCTTTCTCACTTTGTCACAAGTAAATTAGATTATTGCAACGCCATTTTCTTAGATCTTCCTCTGAAGTCATTCTGACTTTAGAATCTTTATGCTTGCTTACAAAGCCGTCCATTATTCTAGCTTGAAAAAAATTAAGGTAGAGGAAGCTCCTCAATGACATTAAATGCACTCCATCACTGAGCTCAATATAGAATAAACTAAAGGCTCTTTTATTTGGTCTTTGTTATCTTGTCCTCTGGATGTGTCTATTCCTTCCTTCCATCCTAATGAATACAATAAAATGAACTGTGTAGGTGTGTATATATGGCCTGTGTTGCATTAATTGGATGTGACACTAGAGTCTTGTGGTAATGCATTAGGTTAGCAGCGTTTACCCTCCACCTCGTTCTCATTATACTTGTCTTCGCTTGTCTTCACTTGGGTGTGATGTGTCCTGTTGGTCATGTGATTGTTGCTGCTTGTGAAACCGTAGACGTCAGGGATTTAACATAAGAGCAACTGTTTAGAGTGGAGTGGCGCCAGCCTATAAGTGAAAAGGTCAGTAGGATTTTAATGACCTTTTCTGCTCTGCTCTGCACCCAAGACCCTGTTGGATGGGTTACGTTTTCAATACAGTGGCCAATGTTTACATTCTAAAGCTCACAAAGGCTGTGAACAAACGTGTGTCTCAACTTAAGGCAGCTGCGTGGAAATTAGTGGTAGATGGAGTCTAGGTTAAATGTCAAGGTGTTTGGTGATGTTCCTGGTGCTTCTGCGAAAGCAGGGGTAAGCTGCAAGAAATGTCTGGTATTTATAACTGGTGTTGAGGTAGCTTACTGTTGGCCCAGTTTATCTTTTGTAGTTTGTCTACACATATACATTTTCTTGAATCATTGATCACTAGTTTTCACCTCTCACATCCTTACATCAGCTTTTTAAGTGAAAAAGTGAGAACCAGCCTGCACTCAACCAATCAGCTTTCTCTATGTAAAAGATAAAGTGTTTTCTAATAAGATCAATAAAGGAGCGGATCCTTCTCAATATGTGGGTCTCCCAGAGGTTTCTCACCTTTTTCCCACCGGGTTTTTGTGAGTTTTTCCTTGCTGATGCAGGAGGGTCTAACAAGACGGACTGTGGTGATGATCCAGGACACTTTAACATTCTACAACATGTATGGACATTTATCAACATGTGTTCTATATTCTTTTTTGCGTCGTAACTGTTGATTCTCTGATCCATGTTGGTGATTTCAATGGTTTTGTTAAGTCCTAGTTTGTTTGTTTGTCCTCTATTGTATACATCCAGTTGTGGTTTGATTTTCTTTCACAAAATGTTACTTATGCTAGACTCTTTCCATTGGGATAGACAAAATGCATTTATGAAACAAAACAAAGTTAGGTACTCCAGCTTTTAATTTGCTTTTATTCAATCCAGGTTAAACTTTTGGAGACGCACATGGCAGAATGTGTCAAGAAGCATGTTATATTTTCTAATATGCCTTTCTTGTTTCCTCCACAGTTTGAGCTATATTCAGAGGCCAGTATCGGTTTGCTTTTCCTGAAGACGTCTCAGGACTTTACAGATCTGACACAACAGGCAAAAAAGAACCTGACCCTTGATGGGAAGAAGTTAAGCATCAGCCCGACCTTCCTGTTCTGGGACCAAACGCCCATCTCTGAAGTAAACTTGTACACTCCTTATTGATTGTAATTATTTTGATTTGAATATATAGATATACTTATTGTTCTGTATGTATGGTTAAGTCGAAACAAAATGAGGATATATCTGCTAGTCGGTTTGAAGACAACGAGGAGCTTCGTTACTCTCTCCGCTCAGTAGAGAAACATGCTCCGTGGGTGCGGCATATCTTCGTTGTGACTAATGGACAAATTCCTTCTTGGCTTAACCTGGATAACCCCAGAGTCACAGTGGTCGCACATCAGGTACGTTTTCAATCCATTATGTATAGATTACTTTCTGCTCTATTGGCAATGTTAAGACTCTTTTACTTTGCTTACTTTTGCACTTTTGTTTCTTTTGTATAGGACATCTTCTTGAACCAAAGCCACCTTCCAACATTCAGCTCTCCTTCCATTGAGACCCACATCCACCGCATCCCAGGCCTCTCCCAGAAGTTCATTTACCTAAATGATGACGTGATGTTTGGCAAAGATGTTTGGCCAGATGATTTTTACACCCACTCAAAGGGACAGAAGGTCTAAACCTATCAGGAAATGTTTGTGCAATTTGTTGAAATAAGATTATTAGTTAGTTTATTAGGTGGATAGCTTTGCACTGAATCCAACTACAAAAGCCTTACAACATGTTGCCAACAGGTGTATTTAACTTGGCCTGTTCCAAACTGTGCTGAGGGATGTCCTGGATCTTGGATCAAAGATGCCTACTGTGACAAGACTTGTAACAATTCAGCATGTGATTGGGATGGAGGAGATTGCCTGGGTAAAAAAATTACTTTCAACCCAAATTGAATTGAATCTCATGGAAGTAATTATGGTTTTGCTGGTGTTTCAATAGGACGCTTTGCAGACGATGTTCCGGGAGCCAGGGGCCGCGGGGCAGGAGCACAGGTGTGGCAGTTTGCAGCTGGCGTTGGCCTTGGTGCAACGTCCTATTGTAACCAAGGCTGTGCCAACTCCTGGCTTGCTGATAAGTTCTGTGATCCGGCTTGTAACATCCTGTCTTGTGGGTATGATGTCGGTGACTGTGGGCAAGGTATGTGCCTTTTTGTATTTGTGTGTGTACCCTTTTTCAGAGGGCTAACCCATGTCTCCATGTTGCAGAACACTTTGGCGAGCTGTATAAAGTGACCTTAACAAGAAACCAGACCGTTTATTCTCTCCCAGTGGGCGAGATCAAACCTTACTTCAGCTTTGCGCACGTGGCCCACAGAGTCTCCGCTGCCCATGTCAGTGACAACGCAGCGGTGCGCCACACTTCTGTTGCTAACAAGTGGAAGACCATTCACCTTCTGCTTTACACTGGCCACAATCGGACACAAATCTACTACAACATGACTTTTCAAAAGAAGGACAATGCCGAGTTCATCATGGGCTTTACTGTAGTCGTAGACACTCGCGAGGTGCCCCGCGTTAATGTATCTCAAACTACAGTCAAAGACAAAACCGGAGACCCTCATCCCACACCCACTCCTGAGGCTGTTGTGTCTTTCTCAGACATCCCAGAGGAAAGACGGGGGCCCAAAATTATCAGAAAGCAGTCCGCCGAGCAGTCGATGGTTATTCTAGTTCCTGCTGTAAATGTGTCATTGTTGCCAGCCTCAGTGCGCAGCGAGATCCAAAAACTCGATGAGAAGCTCCAAATTGGCGACATTACATTAAAAGGGTACAATTTGACCATGGCTGAGCTTCTGAGGCCTTTTGATGAAGTGAAACTGTCCCAAAAAAAGAAAGTGGCCAGTATAGAGACAGATAAACATGTGATAGCCACGTCTTTGGCTGATGAACAGGCAAAACTAGGAAGGGTAAAAATAAAACCCCCAACTGCTTCTGTCCCAGTCAACATTGATGATGACTTTCAAGATCCAAACACGTATACTGTAAGAGCTGCTATTGAAAGACCCCTGATTTCAAAATTGTTAAATGGTAAAATCAAAAGCAAAAGTCCAGAGACTGCACCGCCAAAAGATGATCCACAAGAACGAGTGGTGGTGGGGAGGAAACTGCAACATTTCACCTCAGTCGATCGAGGTTTCCTTCCCTGGGAGAAAAGAAAATTCTTCCACAGCCTTCTGGAAGTAAGTTGACTGTTACCTTTGTGTCTTTTGAACTACAGGAATGTCATACTTTTAATTATCTGCAGGAAGAGGAGCGACTGCAGAAAGAGCTGAGATACGAGGCCAATGGCGCTGCTGCAGGGCGGAGACTCCAGGACACTTTCGCCGATTCTTTGCGTTTTGTTAACAAACTCCTGAACAGCCGGTTTGGCTTCACATCCCGCAAAGTCCCTGCACATATGCCGCACATGATAGACCGATTTATCATGCAGGAGCTACAAGACATGTATGTAATCTAGGAAAGGACCATATGCCATGCCAATATGCCAAAAACGCCCCTTTGTTGTTGTTTAGGTTTCCAAAAGAGTTTGATGAAACCTCTGGCCATCGTGTGCGGCACTCTGAGGACATGCAGTTTGCCTTCTCGTACTTCTACTTCTTAATGAGTGCGCAGCAGCATCTCAATGTCTCTGAAGTGTTTGATGAAATCGACACGGACCACTCGGGGATACTGTCTGATCGTGAGATTAGAACACTAGCCACGAGGATCTATGAACTACCTCTAAACCTCCAGGTTGTTCCATTTTAACCTTGTTTTACATTTGAATAACAATTCTCTAATTTTATTGCCTTTTCTTGTGAACAGGATTTGACTGGGTTAGAACAGATGCTTATAAACTGCTCTAAAACATTACCGGCAAACCTGTCTCAGCTCGATTTGGTGAAGCCAACCCAAGAAGCGTATTATGACCCGAGCATGGTGAGATGTTTGTCCAAAGTTCTATGCAAAATGTTTAAACTTTGTTTTTGGGCCCATCTATTAATGATGATTTCTTTCTAAACAGCCTCCTGTCACCAAAGGCCTAGTGATCCACTGCAAAGCAATCACAGAGCGTATACAGAAGGCGTTCCATGACCAGAATAAATATAAGTGAGTCTTCAGTTTTAATTACTTACTTATATGTGAATACAATATTTTTTATCAATCATGACTTTTGGACAGGTTTGAGATCATGGGGGAGGAGGAGATTGCTTTTAAGATGATACGCACCAATGTGTCCCATGTGGTCGGCCAATTAGATGACATTAGAAAAAATCCAAGGTGAGTCAACTTTAGTTTGCACAATGGTGTAGTAGGTGGACCCTAAAGGCATACAAATGACCATGTTCTCTGGATCTTTTTATAGAAAGTTTGTTTGTCTGAATGACAACATTGATCACAGCCACAAAGATGCAACAACAGTGAAGGCAGTTTTGAGAGATTTTTACGAGTCCATGTTTCCTCTGGCCTCACAGTTTGAATTACCCAGAGAGTATCGCAACAGATTTCTACACATGGACGAACTACAGGAATGGTACAGCATTTTATAGCATGCAAAAAATATAATATATTTCACATTTCCATTTTTGTAAGTTCATCAGTCCTGTATTTTTATAGAGCATGGCAACTGAGATGTGAATACAAATGTGTGGTCGTAATTAATTTAGCTTTTCTCTCCAATATGGACTTTGGTGAAGTATTGGTGTCTGTCATCGGTAGAGATGGAGTGCTGCATTACTGCAGCTTTGGGAATCCCAGTGGGTTTTAATGGGACTTTATTCAAGAGCTTGTTTCTACTTTCAGCTAGCTTCAGTCAGAGGATTCCATCCTCTCAAAGGGACTTTAAAATTAGATCATCCACTTCAGATCAGCCGCAAGCTGTAAGATATTTGTAAGATCATAACACGAGCAGTGTTAAGGTGTTAAGTTATGATACCTCGTCACCCAGTTGATATTTGTCTCCCTGTACTTCCTGTTACACAATTGTAAATCAATATATTATCTGCTTTTTTCCCAGGCGAATATATCGGGACAAGTTGAAGTTTTGGACTCACTGCGTTCTTGTGACACTTGTCATATTTACAGTCTTGTCCTTTTTTGCTGAACAGGTCAGTATCTGCATAAGTCAGATTTCAGTCTTTACAGCCGTCAATGCTGCTCTTATAAACTAAAACACGCATTGATACAAAAATCACCATTCCCCTATAACTACTGTGTAACTTGTTGAGAGAGGCTGTATTCTGAAACGTTGTCTCCGCTTTATTGTCCTGAGGCCCTAATTCGAAAGGAGCTTTGGAAGAAACAATATTAAATCCACTACAGATTGAATTAAAGTGGAAAGGTCCTTGTTTGAACACTGACCATCTCTTTATTCACCGTTGAATTCACAGCTTCAATAGAACCAAATAATATGGTTAATATGATGAGCCAAGGGCGTAGGTTTGCGTGGGGACCATGGGGACATGTCCCCACCAATATTTGGTGAGGACTAAAAAGTCCCCACCAAAATGACATGATGTCCCGGGACCCGGACGGTCCGGGACACATGTCTTCCGTTTGTGCACACGTCGCGCCTCCTCCTCGCCTCCAGAGCAACAGCAGCAGCAGCAGCACGTGACCCGTTCCGTTCTCTGCAGTGATTGGCTGTCTTCTTCAGCGCCAAACTGAAGCACTGAGCGACTGTTTAATTTTTAAAAGTTAGCCAGCGTGAAGCAAGTGTTTTTTTTCGTTCCCTGAGTGTTGTAGCACGTGAGTAATCAGAGGAAAGTACTGTAGATCTATTACCATTCAAAGTACTTACGTTATTTCTAATCTGTCAGCGCACTGTTTAATGTTCCGAGGAGCTCACACGGCACAGAGACAGAACAGAACTGGCTCCAATAAAGAAACAGGTTGGTTGAAAGGCTGAGAAAATACTTATTGTGCTCTTACTATCCAAAATGTATAAGTGGGTGTGTTGTGTGAATCAGGATAAACTAGGAATAAAAATATTCCACGGATCCACGATTTACAACCTTTATCTGCTGATAATGTAATTTCTGTGAAATGTGTGACAGCGGGCACTTGCTGTTATTTGCTCTAAGCACATTCAAGCGATGCACTCGAATGTGCACGTCCTGGTGCAGCTGCTGCCGCTTTGTAATGACAGCCGCGGCGCTCAGTGAAAGCACAGCTCTAACATGGTACCGAGCTCGGACCATATGCAGACAGAACCATGTTGCAAGTGCGGGTCTCCCTCGTATCTCCCGCGTTTCTCCCCTGTGTCTCTGACATGTCTCTCCCCTGACTCTTCCCAAAGCGCAACCAGCGCTCCCGAAATTAAAGCTCGGATACCTAAATTTTCCATTGCGTTAACGATGCATGCTGGTTGTGCGCAAAACACACCACAACAGGTCATTTAAGTTTTTATTTTGCATACTTGAGAGCCCTGTGAGTCATTACTTGCCTTTTTGGGTTGAGAGTGGAATAAAAAAAAGAAAATATAGAAACATCCACACTGTTACTTATTGCCAAACTCTTGTTAACTCATTGTATTGAGAAATACTATGTAACTTTTGACATTGGCCAAGTTATATAAATGATTCTGCAGTTCATGTATATGAATGTCTGTTTTTGATTGTCTATACCTTCTTATATAATTTAGAAAAAATGCCACCTCCACAAATAAGATAAAAGATATCAGGAGCTTTTTTAACAGTTGGAAAGTAAGTAAGAGAAAGCACAAGTAATAGCAAATTATGAATTGTGATGATTAATCTTCTGTTAACATACATAACTGCTTCTCATTCAGTCTACAGCTGAGTTTAGTATAGAAGGCAACACACTATTGCAAATATAGTGTGTGATTACACAACAAATTCTGGGGGAGAAACTCTGGACCCCGTGTCAATGGGTGTAGACTCAGGTCGTAGTGAATGTCCCCACCAAGATTGGAACCAAACCTACACCATTGTGATGAGCAACTCTTATGCTTTTGTTTATCTTCACTGCAGCTGGTTGCCTTGAAGAGGAAGATCTTTCCGAGGCGCAGAATCTACAGGGATCAAAACTCTGAGGGGGTTTGATGAAGCTCTTACTCCTTCAGTATCTCGGGACAGCAGCGGGTCCTGCCGGGGATACTGTTTGTCCGCATCACTTTGAAGTGTGCACCAAGCGTCGTGTTCCAATGACACATTTAGAAGATGATTTATAGCAGCGGCCATTAGGCAGAGGCACAATGGCTGGCACACTGTGGCCTTTCAGTTCTCCACACACTTTTACACAGCACACTAAGGTACTGCTCTGGTCCTGCCAAAGTCCTGCTGAATTAAAAACTAGGAAAGTGCAGGTAAATGTTTTAAGTTTTTTTTTCCCTTCCAGGTTTTAATGATGGGATGGGTTTAAATTATTGAGGTACCAAAAGCTCATTGTTGAAGTCTTCTGTCAATACTTGAAGTGCCTTTGTCTTATTTGTAGGGTGATCTTTTAATCATTCCTTCCTTAGAATGTCTTAAATGTTTGTAAACGTCCATAATGTGTGAATGGGGTTGGGGTGAATGTTGAATACTCGTGTCTGCTCTTTGGCACTTGGGGATGTTTGTGTCCCTGTGGGACTCTACGGCTACTGTCTGAAATTCAGACCATTTGTGCATGTTTTGCAACTTTGTATCATGCGATTTACAGTGTTTCAATAAAATGTTTCCTTTTGGCGTCGTATGCAACATGTGACTTTGTTGTAATGTAAATAACAGATGAATAAATTGTGTAAAATATAATTTATTGCAATTCTTTCCACTTAAGATTTTTTTTTCAATTGACACAATGTTATGAAACATTTCCAAAGCATGAAGGTAGCTCAAGATAATTCCTATTATGAGCGCCACTCCCACAACTCGTTTTGCATTAGACATTGGACAGAATAATCATTGGAACATCCCTTTAACCCCAAATGTGTCAAACTGCAGTGAAATAATCATTACACCAGTGATTTTAGAATACCAATTACAAAGTGATGGTATTAAATTCTTGTACCTCGTTTATGCCTCAGTGGAAAAAAAATACTTAAATATTCACGTTAACTAATTACTAAAATTAAGGCCTTTCAAGTTCAAACCTGTACAATCAACGATTATAATAGCCCTTTAGGGAGAAAAACTGATAAAGCAGAAGAAGACTAGTGGGAATGCTTCATTAAGTGACAGTGCTCCCCAGGTTTAAGATAATGAAGTATCAGTTTTGTAATTGTGAAAATTACCCAAAGAGTGATTTTGATTAAACCTTGAGGAAAAACTGCAGACATCAGCATAAACACAGCCTCCTACACTTAACCCATAGAACTGCACACTGATTCACTTCATTAGTTATTCAAATTATCATTCAACCAATTCACACCAAATTAAAAATAAATATACTGTAAAAAATAATTTAAATGCGATTTGCACACAGACTTGTACATTTAATTTACTAATTTGGCTTATAAAGTAAGAAGCTAAAATATAAACTTGGGAGTTTATAGTCTGCCAATTCTCAAACATTTCTTGTGTGTTTTTCAATGACGTTTTAATTAGAAGTGGTCACTTTGTCAAGGCTGCAGTTGGTTGGGGTTGAAGATCGGTCTTCATTATCTGCTTTCAGGAGAGGGGAAAGGTCAGTATCTTTCCCCATTTCCTCCCGCCGGGCAATCCGTCAGTCACGATGGGTCTGAGACGTGATGCTGAAAACCTGGATGCGTAAATGTGCCGCTATCTGGAGGCAGACCCCTGTGCAATAACGGACCAGATCGAGAAGAGACAAAACCTGTAAAGACAATAATAACATCATTAATAGCACAATTATTACAACTTAAGCTACATATAGCTTGAATTAAGTGGCACTGACCATGGCTATCCAGAGAACAATATATTCGTCAATGAAACTGTTGAAATACTGGTTTAGAAAAAGTACTCCTGGTCCTATAAAGGCCGTGTCTGGCAGATATAATTCACTTTTTGTCATGTGTGCAATCTACAGAGGAGACAAACAGAATGGTGAAGCCTACAGTCTTTGCAGAGTGTAGTCAAGATGTTGAGATTCTTCATACTAACCACAAGCTTATTTGAAATTTTGGCGATGACCATGCCAAATGTGAGAAGGTACAAGCAGGGGTGATGCTCAAAGAGCTGGCTGGATGACTTTTTAAAAATAATGAAGGCGAGAGTGAGAATGAGGCCAATGTGCATACCAGGACTCAACACACTAGTGTCCTTTAAAAAAAACAGGGCAATTAGTTACTTAGTTGAAACACAGATCAAAGAGCATGAAGATGTGTAGATCGGAAAACTTACAGCAACTGTCGAGCCGTTTTTACCAACACCACCGTTCAGAATTACATTAAAATAATTATGACACGAGTAGAGGGCTCCACCGATAATTCCCACAATCGGAAAGGTATAGAACTTCAGTCCTATAACAGGTAACTAAAGAAAAACACAAAAGAATTTATCAGAAGGCAAGTATTGTGCCGTTTACACTGCAGATAAGAAAGCTCTAGGTATGCCGAGCATGATGTAAGGGCAAAGCAATTAAATCAAGTAAATGCGTGGGACATTATCAGCATTATCAGAGTAAGCCCAATCATGTCTAATAGATTACCTGTTACCTTCTCAATTCATGTGGTGTTATTTGTAGCCTCCAAAGGCAGCACAGAGTGAGAGTAAAACAAAGACTATTTAAACCCTGTAACTAACTGAACTGGGATTTGAGATTTTTTTCTCAAGTATTTACTCAGAAGAAAGTGTACCATTCACATAAGACTGTTCAAACACATCACACTTTGTTACCGTTGTTTGCCACAAGCTCACGCCTCCAAAAGCAGACATCAAATACATGGTGATAATAGCAAACTGCACTTCTGTCACATCAACCCTGGTGGTGATGAAACAACACAAAGATTGATCAGTATAGACACAGCAAGAAAATGTCTACATGTATTTAGCATTTAGACTCACAGGCCAAATCGAAGAGTCCCCGAAACATAAGTCTGCCAGTGTGCACAGAAAAACATAAACATCCCAATGAAACCACAAAAGAACATCCAGTTTGAGAAGCCCCCAATTCCACATGAAATACATGTTCCAACTGCAACAAAGACTGGAAAGCAAAACAGGGTTTTAAGATGCATGGTTTCTCATGCTAAAGAAAGGGATTATACTGCATCGGTTCAGAGAAATTCTTCAATTGTGTAAGCACCTGTGGAAACAGCATCACATCCGTGGTCAAAGAGCTCGCCGAGAGCTGAGCTGCTGTTGGTTCTTCGGGCTTGTTTCCCGTCTATCGCATCCAGAGACTGGTAAATGAAGAGGCCCAGGGCACTCAGGACAAAAGCCCAGGCAGGAGCCTGAAGGGAGAAACAGAAAATTTAAATATTTTAAAATGTCCCTAAGGAATAATAAAGTAGACATAACATAAATCACAAATTACAGACAGGAGTGGACAATGACTCCTCACCCAGCAAAAAAAAAAGCAAATGTTTCAGGCCATCTGGACTCGTCTCTGAGAGACATAAGGTCAACTACAAAAAGATGGCCAGTTGTTTTGGGCTGTGCCAGAAAGTAAATAATTGTAAAAATTCACATCATGTTTTTGGTCAAAAACAGGTTTATCAAAAACGTCTTTAACTTGTAATTATATTAATTCATCATTAAGATGTAGTTATTTACATGAGTAGTGGGTACAGCTTGGATTAAATCTTTTCAAAAGTGAACAATACACATATTAAGGCTCTGCTTGAACCCATCTGAGATCATATGTAGTGTGTAGTACAAACTGAATTCAGTCTAAATTAAGTGGTGTTCAACAATGAACCACTTATTGATGCTTTTAAACAGTACACTTTAATCAATTAAGTTTAGTTGCTGAAAACTAGTATTATCATTAGTACTTTCCATGGGCAGTTATTTGATTTACAACAGTACTTATTATTTTTAGAAAAGTGACAGTACTTGTACTTGAATACAGATTAAAGTACCTCTTTACACTACTGGTTCTGGGTATTTCGTTTATGAAAGCGTTTAATCAACCCTGAAAAAATGCCAAACAGTGAACAAGGAATCTGATTGAGATTTGCTCCTTGGACTTCAAACAACAAGTCAGAGTGGTGGACAAAGGTGCATGAGATAAACATTCTGCTCTTAGGGGTGGACCCATTGCTCTAACGTGAACCTGAAGCAACAGGTTTGAGGAACAAAGGTCTAAAGAGAGTGTACTATCAGCTTATACTGATTGAATCCAAAATATTTACTAGGAGCCACACCTAACCCAACTATATTTAAGTATATCAGGATCAGCCACTACTGGTGAAGCGTGTCTCCTTACGAGGAGCCAAATATGCTTGGACTTCACCTGACAATGCGGCAGCTCCCTGGTGGCTACTGGATATTAAACCCTTGTCAGGGAAACTTAGATGATGATTAATGTGGAATCAAATACATTCTTTTACATGGCACTGATGACGTGCGGTGTTTTGACACGTCAATAACAAACACTAACCTCTTCTGTAGCAGTGGGACAAAAATACACCAGCACCAGAGTAGACACGATATTGACCAGGAGTCCCACAATAGTCAAAGTATTGGGGGCGACCCATGTCGGGATCTGTTGCACTAGCCAGTTCCAGTAGATCTGGCACGGCGGCTCGAACAGGGAGCGACCGGAGGCGCTGTACTTGTGCTCCTCCAGCCGCTTGAGTTGTGCGGGTGACAGCGGCTCAGGACACAGCAGATGCGCCATCACCTCCCCTCACACGGTCTGCCGGGGAACCCTCACCCCCGTAGAAGTGTACCCACGGGAATTTCCGCTGTTTTTGACCCAACTCCGAGTAGAAGCAGCGGCTCATGAGACATCTACAGCTCCCTGAGTCCGCACAAGGCCATTTTACCACAAACAGGAAGTGATCCACCGGAAGAAGAATCACGTCATTTTCTAGAGTTTCTTGATGGATCTGTATTAAAAACGGGTTTCTTTCATTTACAGTCTATGGTTTCTTTCCAAGGATATTATCAAAATTGATCTTATATCATTTTATGCAATTACACTCTATAAATAAGATATATTTATTTCGGATCAGAATTAGTTATTATTATTAATTAATAAATAATTATATATTGATTAATGTATGTATACAAAATAATTCACAGATGCACATGAATTGTTATAAGTCATAAAGTTTATTGCAGCTTGTATGACATACGTACATTTTGTTAGGCATGTGCCTGATTGACATCAAACCTGTGTCATAAGAACATAAAATGATGAAAAACTACAATTATTGCTTAGAAATTTATGGCCAAATCTACTTTTCTTTGAATAAATGACCAAGTATAGGACCACTCGGCCAATTGTCTGGTCGAGGTCAAAAGGCTTTAGCAAAGATGTATCCATTTTTTACATGATTAAAAGCTACAACACACCACACAACTGGTTCTTCACTTCACAATGTGCAAGAGAGTTGCAAAAACAATGCCACCATGTTGCTGAACTTGAATGTTAAAACATCAAAGACAATAATACACTCGGCCACAACAGTTTTTCTCCTGACACATCTTCTACACTGTCCTCATCATAATGACAGTTGATTTATTGTACATCAAAAGAGGGCCCTTTACATTCTTATCATTTAAGTTAGCAAAAAATAGGGAATACATTATAGCTCACTGAAAGCATTACTTATGACGCGCACACAGCACATGCCTGAAGCCCAGAGGATGGAGAAACCTATATCCTGCCGATGCTGTGATGTCCATGTAGGGTCAGAATGGGGCAGAATGGGGCAGTGTCTGATTACTTCTGCTGCTCAACAACCTTTGCCTCGTTCATGTACTTGTCAATCAAGTGTAGCGGCACTCCACGCTGCATGAGCTCATAAAAGGTGAATCCTCCTGGAAACAATGGACAGCTGATCATAAAACACTTTTGGAGGAACTTGAATAGAAAGTAACATAACAGGATTAAGAAAAACTAGACAATAGATCAAACCCGATGCACAATATTCCACAAACCAAAGACTGAAGATGCACACAATTGCTGAATCAAATCGTGTCCTAATTCCGAATATTATTACATGTATCCACATGATTAAACTAAGATAAATAACTATATTAAAACTACTATACATTGTTGTAAAAACAATGGAATTGGGACACAGTTTGTAGAACTATGGCAAATTATGAGATGTTGCTGCTATGCAATGCAAAGCCACTTAACATTGCAACTCCAGTAAAAACGCAACCTTATTTGATCACAACAAGCAAAAGCTCTGAATGGAGATTTGTTTTCTCAACATTCACAACAGATTGATAAGTTTGCAATAAGGAAAAGTGTAGTGTTAGCATGTCATGTATTTATGAAGCAAAACTCTTGCGACTGCTTTTGTGCAAGAGAAAATGTTAGAGTTTGAGCAGACTTACCTTTTGGGTGCCACATAATACATGAGGCAGTCTCTGATATCCACAATAGAATTTAGTTTCCAAAAAAACAAAGGTGTTAGAGTTGGCGAGTGAGGGGCAGTGCTAAATATGTCTCATGCTTTGTTAATTGTATGGTTACACTATTATCTTATGTCTTCAACAGTTTATACATATTTACACTGAAATAGGCTTCCACAGATCAGGGAAAGTGAAGTTATATTCTGATTGATCAATGCATAATGAATGACATAAGCTTCATATGCCCGGACCATATGAAAGCTTACCTTATATGAGAACATACATTCACAATTCTTGAGTTTGGACTGGGGGAGAAAGAAGAGAAGAGGGGTTAACAAAATGTTTACATGGAGTTATATGTGTGCACCAGGGATTCCCACTGAGTTACTGAACTCTTTAAATGAGGAGTTACTGTGCACAAACATTACAGTCACTTGAAATGAAGTCATTGCGGTTGACACAGGGACACCGCAGGTCTCGATGTTATGCCTATGGAGGTGCGTCAAAATTCAGTTTGTGGTGTGCAGTCATGATGGACATGAATGGACTGGAAAACACAGGGATAAACCTGCAATGGTCAGGTCCTCCAGAGATTATGTTCACTTCACACACATGAACAAATGACAGATTACACATATGTGCAATAGTGCTCAATACTTACGGAAGCACAGCTTACATTATGTCCACATCAATGGTGTCAAGATCTGCTTTCCCAAACTAGACTTGTGCAACAAGTCATTTGAGGATCTTTCAGATATTGGTAATTGGAAAGTTTAATATCTCTAAGCAAAAGGAGTGCAAACTGCCATACCATAAAATATATGTGAATCAAAATCTGTGATAATAAGTCAGGACTAAAAAGAAGGATTTGGGAAACCAGTCTCAGGACTAGATGAGAAATTCAGCCCTGACACTGGTCAGTTTGCACTTACCTTTGACTTCCAGTTTGCAGTCGACCTGCGCCTCTCCGAGGTCGTTGACGGCTTTACAGCTGTACATGCCGCCATCATAAGGACTGGGCTTCCGGATCTCCAGAGTGCAGACGCCTTGGTTACTGAACATGCGGTAGCGAGGGTCGTCTAAGATGGCTATTTTATTCTTCATCCAGATAACTTTTGGCTACAGTTAAATAAACAGAATCAATGTTTGGATTTTAAACAAAAATACATTTACGGTCACTACTCAACGCAACCAGTATAAAATTATTAAAGGAGTCATATTTTGCTTGTTTTAAATTTTTAACTTGTTACATCATTCCCACATCATAAACAGACCTGGAGTTGTTCCTAGATCCAGCCACACTAATATCAATCAACTGACTTCTTGCATAAAGTGTAACCCCCTTCTGTCTAAAAGCTCCTGTCTCACTCTTGTAATAGTATGATGTAATTATATCACTATGACATCACACTCAGAGCGGTTTTCTGCTTTTCAAAACAAAAGTATCATCCATAAATTTCTCAAATAAAGTATGTTTTTTCACAATCACAATGCTGAGTTTGAAGCAAATTATGATAATCATATTTGGAACTAAAACAAAACATAACTCCTCCCTCTGGCAGTAGCATATTGAGTGACAGATATACTCTACCCTTCAAACTTGTTTCACTATATATTTCATTTTTAAAGATATTATACATGAAAGTAGCAGTAGAAACCCTATTTATTGGCCAAAAACAATGCATAATATTTCTTCTTTAAAGACATACATTTAATACCGTAGTGCATTGGTGATTACATAAACACAAATAATGTTGCATGTCAGCATAAAGATTAAGAAAATGGTTGACTTTACCTACATTTAGCGGGTGGTCCACACAGCACACCACCTACCCTTGGGTTGGCACGAACACTACAGTTCAGAGTGGCATTGTATCCGGCGATGGCAAACGTGTTGATCAGCGGCTGGGTAAACTTGGGCGCCTCCTTGAAGTCACGGTCACTGTACTCAGGATCTTTGAGCTCCATGCCTGTGGGGTCAAGGGTAAAGGAGTGGGGTTGTGCATGATACGGGCGCTGAGCTGTATCATGTGGGGAACTCCCTATGTGATGAGGGAAAGACAACGATGCATTCATTCATTATTAGCCCAGATTGCAACACCATTGTTTAAGGGCCTGTCAGTCATTGCTTGGCACTCACGGTGGGGTGGAAAACATCACTGACAGTACCTTCAAACCAGCTGTAAAAGACTTAAACGTTTAAACATTAGATAAGGAAGAAACAAATTCTCTTCCATGTGGTTTTTATGGAAGTAGAGTAATAGAAGAGGGTGACACGCAGGGATGCAACAATTAAGATTTGATTGTCATGATCTTGATAATAATGCCATTTCCATCTAGAAAAAACCCCAACACATTGTATGCAAATTAATTCATATACTTATTACATTAAAACTGGAGTGAATCATTTGTAATTTGTTTTATACTAAACAAATACTATATTACATTTTGGTTTGCCCCAATAGATGAAGTGTTTGGACAAATCAGACCACAACATGCTGTCTTGACCTTATTAGAAAACATATTAGCATACCATTTTACATACAGAGTTGAGTCTTTCACTTTTCTGTCCAAAAAGCAGACCTGAAGATGTGACAGAGGCCAAATAGTGAGGAACTAGTTATGTAGTTAATTTATAGCAGTTTCAAAGTTAGATACCTCAGCTTTAATACTAAATGTTTCACAGCTTTTTTAATATTTCAAATCAGATAAACGTAGTGTTGGGTGCATTAATATAAATGTTTTAATGTATACTACTACTTTGAGTACATTTTGGTCCAGAACACTAACTATTATACTAATAGTATTTGATAAACCTTGTTTCATTGTTATTGTTAACTATAATGAACATCTTTGAGGTTCCCCGTGGATGAGCTGGAGGAAGTGTGTGTGGATAGGAAATAGAGGTGTAACCATTAGGAAAGTCTGGCAACGGATGAAACGGAAGAAAATGAATGGATGGATGGATTGATAATGAACATCCATGTTTCCTTAAATAATTGCAAACAGTGAGAAAATAAAGCAAATGAGCATTTAAAATAAGTGTGCATGTAACATGAGTTACTTTGATTGTACTTCTAGTAACATGTTACTTCCAACGCGGGATAAACGTTATCTATTAGTGTCGCTTTATAAAAGGTAAAACAATCTTATGGAAGCCCTTTGAGTTGCGCAGACATTTCCTCTTTTTCCTTTCTTGGTTCCAGCACTTTGGATTGGATGAGTATTTCTCAACACATCTTTTAAATACATTTGTTTTTTATGAATTGGTTGAATTGAGTTATGTGTTGAATTGTAAACAAATTATTTGATATAATTGTTGCATCCCCAGGAATCAAATTAAATGTTATGCATTCTTAAAGATCCATACCTTCTTTCACAATTAAGGCACTCTTCTTTGTTTGAGTAGCTGTTTCACTTAGGCCACACATGTTCTCAGAGAAGACCCTGAAGAAATACTCATTACCAACCACAAGCTCTGTGATTGTGATGGAGGTACGATGGTAATGCTCGATGCATGTGTACCACTCCTGTGAGGTGTGCAAGAACAATTTGCATAATATAAGCCGACTGAGAATAATTTAGCAGAGATTTACATTTTTACCATAGTTTTTGTGTCTGCCTTTTGAATGGTATAGCCAGTTATTGGTGCGTTTCCGTTATCTTTCGGTGGAGTCCAGACCAGAGCTACATTTCCTCCCCAAACATCTTCTATTATTACGGACTGAGGAGGTTCAGGTAGGTCTGAAAACCAGTAAAATAAATCTTGTGTAAGTACAAAATATTTCAATATGAACACCCTTAATAAACATTTGTGCTTAGTTTTGGTGAACTCACCCACTATTTGTATGTCAATGATCGCTGTGTCCACATGATTTTCCACCTGCACTGTCAGCTGATACTTCCCAGAGTGGCTGCGCTCTGCTTTTCGGATGAAGATGATGCTGTCACAGTCAGTGTTGCGAATGCTTACATAGTTGGTTGGTTCAATGGGCTTGCCTTCCTTTAGCCAGGTGACCTTTGGTCTGGGTTTACCCTAAAATATTAGTTTATTTATTAACATATTTTAACAGAACAACAGTAAAAATCAGGGGCCTCATGTATATAGCCGGCCTTGCATGGGAGGTACCACACTCAAAGTCGGGAGCCGTTAGGGAAAGATGACTCAAGTGGAGAGGAGCAGGAAAGAACAGAGTCTGAAGATGTGATCCAGGAAACCTCCTAAAGGAACACTTTATTCATAATTCTAATTGTATTCATATTATATTCTAATTAATATCATTGTCTAATCTTCTCCTCCTCTGAACCTTTTACACAGGATTAGGAAACACAGACCCAAGAGCAAACGCAACGTACTGTACAAACTCCTGCTCAAAGCTTTAGGAATGAGGCCCCATTACCATGTGGTAAAGTCACATTACCATAAATGGGACAACAAGGTTAACTGCCTCGCCAACTCTCCGTGTGTATGTCTGCTTCAGGTGACGTGGCACACGGATTTTTGGTGGTTCTGAAAAATGATCAAATTAATCCAATTTGTGTATTACGAATAACTTTATTTTGCAGAGGACAGAACTTACCAATAACTTCTTTGACAAGTATAGGGTGCTGAATGGTGCGTGGACAACTAGCTCCTGCTTTATTGATGGCCTTAACACGCACTAAGATTTTAGACTCTGGTTTTAATCCTGTGACTGTGTACTTGGTCTTTTCTGTCAATTCTGTGTTAGCAGCAATCCATTCATCAGCTGTAAATAGAACATTAAAGAATATTTCAAGTAGTATGACATATTGTAATAAGATATACAATTAGGCTGAATAACAATACATATACAGTGCCTTGAAAAATGATTCATACCCCGTGAACTTTTCTACAGTGTCATGGACAAACATAAAGATTGTATTTTCTATATTCTTTTTCTTGTGAAAGACCACCATCACCCGGTAGAAAAGTACATGTGATACGAGGGAAAACAACTATACCATGGCCAAAATATGAGAAGAGTGGATATTTAGGTTATGTCCCCTTAGCTATGTACTGGCCTATTAACTAGATATGTTGTCAAAATATGATTCTTACTTCCTTCCACACAGTATTCCACTAAATATCCATCCAGACCAGCAGCTCCAATAGTTTCGGGCGGACGCCATTTTAGAGTGACAGAGTTGTCGGTGACATCGTCAACCACCAGCATAGTGGGTTCACTGGTCACAGCTGGAAAAAAAGATTTGAATCGGTCACAAATCATATAAACAACTTCAGACACATTTCATGACATGGACACGTGAACAGTGAACAGTGGTGAGTCTGGCTGGCTGGTATGTCACTGTGTCAAATCTCATTAGTCCAAGCTATTGTCTATTCCTGTGTTCAGGTTCACATTTAACTCCTATTGGAGCCCCTGGCAGACCTGTTCTTCTAAAACTCTAATCCACAGATGATTTGGCAGCCATTATAAAGACATATTTAATATCCCCTAAAGCTTCAGTCTGCCTTGTAGAGGTCACAGTCAGAATGCTTGGGATAGTGTGGTATGATGATGAACAGCTGTGTCGCTGGGGCTCCAAGGGCAGATCACACACGCAGTCAGCCATCATGAGAATGGAAATCTGCACATTCTTGTAAAACAACAGCTACAGTAGACGGGCCTTTTGAAGCATTACACATGCCTTTCTTTGAACATCAGAAGAATAGTTTCATACATCAGTGATTGTGTTTTCAAAGCAGAAGAATACAGAGCTGTGTCATCACGCAACATTATCTTTACTTTGACATTTGATTTTGACACATGCTCAGCTGCTGCAGCATAGTAACGGATGAAGGTTCTCTTATAAAACACAGCATTTCCACAGTGCTCTTAAAAGCATCATGATTGTTTTTGCTTTGCGTAACATAACAAAACAACACGTGCAGTGAGGCCCTTTGCCCTGATCCAGACATACATTTCTAATACAGTATAAGTATGGCTTTTTCCTGTGTGTCTCATTCCAATCCATTTCATGCAGCTCTATTGCATTAGAAACAGAGTGCGCCAGCACCTCGGAATGGACTGGTTCTTCACACTTCAATGGGCGCGCACGGGTGTTATCAATCGGTTTTCACTAGTGCTTTGCAAACACACTCAGTTTTTGGACAGATAATCCTATTCAAGACCTTTTCTTACCCAGGGGAATAAAGGCTTTTGAAGGATCACTGGGCTTGGATATGCCTATAGCATTGACAGCAAAGACCCTGACTTCATAAGGCACCCCCTCAATCATCTTCTTCGGTTCGAAAGAGGTTTCCTTGATCAGGTCAAAATTTAACCTCATCCATCTTGAACTCTGTTTCTTCTTTCGTTCAATAAAGTACCCTTTGAATGGGATCGAATGAAAATTAAATATATTATATTGATTTTCCTATTGCTTTGAATAAAATGGTTATCAATAAGGCTACTGTACCATTACCTATTATAGGGGATCCACCATCATACTTGGGGGCTTCCCATGTCATTGAGCACCAATCACCACCCACAGCTGGAACTAGGGGAGCATCCGGGGCATCGGGAATGTCTGCAGACAAAAGCTATCAATGATTAGTGTTTGTTGCACATTGTTTTTTTCAATTTTCAACTAAAGTATATACAGACTTTTTGAGCAATTTTATTTTTCACATTTCATTTTTATGGGTATTTGTTGTGAGTCACTTCAGCCCTTAAACACTTCCTATGAACATCTGTCAGTTTCAATTTTGTAATATGTGCATTTGCTCCTCACCAACAACTTTGATCTTGACACTAGCAGTGGCTTCCCCTGCCTCATTCTGAAGAACAAGCTTATAGTTTCCAGTGTCGTCGCGCTCAGTCACATCGATTGTCAAACTGGTTTGGTCGCCGTATGTCTCTGCCCTGACACGATGCCCCGACTCGAGAATGACCTGTGATGTACATTTAATACAATTTGAACAGAACTAAAACTGATCCAAAACTGTTAATAAATGAATAAACCCAGACTCACCCTTTCACCTTTCATCCACACCACCCTGGGTGCTGGTTCACCACTGATGGGAATCTCCAATCGAAGTTTGTTTCCTGCTACAATAATCACAGTGTTGTCTGGAAAGTTCAAACTGTCTAAATGGACTTTCGGTGGGTCTGGAAAAAGATAGAAGTAGAAGTTTGTTTTTCAAAATAATAATAATACATTCAATTATATCTGTGACTTTACCAATTATATGAACTTTGGCAGAGATGCTTTGAGAATATCCCTCAGGCACAAATGTATAATCTCCAGCATCGTGCAGGGAGCTAGTTTCTATTTCCAAGCGATGGATTCTCCAAGAAAAAGGCAAGTAATATAATAAAATATATATTTTTGTAAAAGTAGGATGTGTATGTGAAATTTACTTGTTCCTGTGAATAATGTTGATGTGGTCATTGGGCTGGATTAGTTGTCCGTTTCTGTACCAGCGGCCGGGTACATTGCCAGGGTATATCTCACAATTCAATTTAAGAGGCTGCCCCAGCCTTACAGTTACATCTTGCAAGCTCTGGAATATCTTAAGAGGTTTCACTGTAATCAAGTCACACCAAATATGATAGAACGTTGTTATAACTGCTTGATACATGCAGATGCAACTTACAGTCAACCTGCACATGACATTCAGAAGTGCCCCCAGTGGCCATAATAGAGTATACCCCTGTGTCCTCCCGAGAGGCATCGTCTATCACAAGATAGTGTTTGTTGCCTTCAGACTTTACTCGATATCGGGAACGCACTCCTGTTGGGACCTCAACACCATTCTTCATCCTGATAATGATGACACATTATTTGAATATTTGTTTTAACAAAGACAAATGTGGCAGGTTTTTACAGTAAAGTCCTTACCATTTAACTTGAGCACCTTCCTCTGACACCTCACATTCCAGCTCAATTCGCTCATTTACAGTTGTCTTCACAGGATCCAGACTTTTTATGATTTTAACTGGCAGCTCTAAATGAAATAAAGATGTTTTTTTTTTTTATCATTCTAAAGAGATCATGCCTTGATAATTATTGTAACATGATAAAAACCTTTCACAAAAAGCTCTGTTGTGCATTTTTCATCTCCTGCAGCCACAGAGTAGGCAGCATCGTCATTCATGGAGCAGTTGTTGATCACCATAATCCTCTGCGTTCCTTTGTGCTCAAAGATATATCTAAAATTCATATAATTACAGTGAGACCATAGACATTTAGAGACGTTAAAATGTTAGTAGGTTAGGTCATGTTGAATGAATGACTTTATTATATAGAAGTGTTATGTCAACATTCAAGAGCATGTTCAAACTTGTCATTATTTAGTTCTAATGAAGCACCCTGGTTTTCCCGCTCTTTGATCCTGCAGAAGTAAGAACGTGACACTCAACAGTAACACTTTTTCTAATATGGTTTCGAGAAATATCTTCCAATAAAGTTTGAATGTCTTTCTGAGGGCCACCAATTTTTCAACAACCTGTTCAACCCTGCGGCATGTGTGGATGAAGCAGAGGACAGGGAGGTGGTGGCTGCCTTCTCAGACTGGATTGAGAGAAATGATCTGATTCTCAATGCGTCCAAGACCAAGGAGGATGATCAGTGTCCCTCATCAGATCACAGCAAATGGACAGGACATCAAAGTGGTACAGTCTTACAAATACCTAGAAGTCCACCTGGACCACAGACTGGACTGGTCAGCTCAGGCCAATGCTATCTGTAAGAAAAGTCAGAGCAGACTTTTCTTCCTGAGAAGATTGAGGTCCTTTGAGCATTCGAGCAGTCAAATGTTGTTTTACCAGTCTGTGGTAGCTAATGCCATGTTCAATGGGATCGCGTGTTGGGGCGGCAGTCTGACCTCGAGAGACAGTAACCGGCACGACAGGCTGATCAGGATGTCTGTATTTGAGCATCTGCATCAGTTTGGGCCTTGAGCCACCAAAGACAAAAGACAGTGTGATCACGCCTTAGGGGCGAACTCTAATCATAACTGTGTATGAGACAACGATGGAAATACAGTGATGGACTTACTTCCTTTGACTTTAAGTCAGCAGGGAGCCACACCGTGCCAGGTCACAGTGAACAGGAAGTAGTTATGGCAGACAGGAAGAAACACGATGATATGTTAAATATACAAAAAGACAAACACATCGTGCCTGGAAGGCTCGGACCAGAAAACAGTAGAAACCTCCCAAATGGCTTTAACACTGAATGAGTTTGAACAGGGTGTGAAAGACAGAAACAGTGATCTTAAGCATACTTCATTAATGATAAAAATGTACTGTAATGTGTTTACAATTGTTAATATTTTTCTTGCTTTTTTCTACCTGACATGTTGCTGCAGTACAGTATTCATGATTTCGCACTGGTCCAGATCAAAGCGGAGAGGATTCATGGCCCAAACAAAGCGGATCAGGCAAAAATCCACTGTAGGAATGCTAACTTTTTGAAAAATGCTAACAAAGCATTGAGCATTTTACTTTGGACTAGAGCAGAGAAAATGGTCTAAACTCTGCTGCTGTGACCTTTCCTGCTCCACCCAGTGGCTACTCCAATCAAATGTAATTAAGTTAAACTATTTTGTGAAAAACCATTGTGATGAAAATCCCAATAGTAAATCACATTTTAATCTACACTTCAAGGTCAATCTGTAAATCTGTTGCTATATTCCTTCATCACCATTTGTTTCACAGACTGTCACAAAGCCAAGCGTGGTTAAAGACCTGTGGGGAAGGTAACACCTTTTCCTATGTAAAAATGATGTCAAATAAACATAAAATGACACTTTAAACATATGAGAACAATAAACCCAACATCACTTGGATAACAACCACCAATGGTTCACAGTGCAAGTAATAGATTATACATTTACGTTTTCTGGAGGAGATTCAAGATTGAAGAAGCAAATGCATTACTTTCGGGCGGAGGTCTGTGTTTGTCTGAAGACCAGATTAAGCCAAAACTACTGAGCAGATTGAGCTGAAATTCGTTGTTTAGATGAAACATATGTATGTAATATCTTTTTGGGATGTGATGGTAGGAAGAGTCCATTCAAATTGAAACACAATGCAGAGTGGAGCGCATACCCCGCCGTAGTTCTTATGTGGCAAGAATTTAATGGAGCATCCGTTTAAGTGCATAGATGCTTCAGACTACAGTCCATGAAAAGGATGTACAATATATACATGTGAACCATTGTTTTGGAACAAAATGGAACATTTATGGCAGTGACCAAGCACTCCCTTTTCATATCAATGAATGACATTTTATGCAAATGTTCATTCATTTGAGTTGTGCGGAGTGAGTTGAACTGATGAAGCCACATACTTGGGAGTTGGTCTGATTTCTTGTCCATTCTTGTACCACTTCAGATCAACCGTGGGGTCAGCTAAATCCACCACAAGGCGAATCTTCCCTCCTTTATCGGCTTGATAGGCCGGTTCCAACTTCTTTGCGAATGCTAAAAAACATTTATAAGTGATGTCCAAAACGTACAGTGGAATCCAGAAGTTTACAGACACTGAGTAAAAAAGATTCCCTCAAGGTATAAAGTTACATTTCTGACTTTGTAGAAAGTATTATTACTATTTCAAAATATTTACTCAATATTCCTAATATTGTGGCATAGAGCCAAAACACATATTTGAACAAAGTAACTGATGGTATGTAAATTACTTTCAGCTTGTGTTTTTTGCCCTATCTGCTAGTGAAGTGCTATTTATCCTTAGTTCCTTTTTCCAGTTAAGGGTCTCCCCATAAGGAACATTAATGCTCAGGTCTTCTCTTGGCCAAGAGATCTCCATTTTTTTACTGCAGTAATGGAGGTGCTGTGAAATGACCAATTATTGACTTGATACTGAGTGTCTTGATTCAGGAGAGAGGGCATTTTAACCACCATGTCGATGGCCCCTGGTGTCCACATGGTCCCACATAATTTTGGTTAATTATTTGTCTTGCAGAAAACTCCCTATCACTACATCAAAAATAAATAAAAAAAACACTCGTCACACTGACTGAACTAAATATGACAGATAAATTATTTCTTCTCTCTTTTTTTAAAATAATTTTTCTTTTTCTTTTTTTACATAGGTTATGCTTCTGCTTTTTACTGTAAATATGCAATGTTAGGTAGAATCTAAATTATAAAAAACATGCACCTTCACTCTTCTTCTCCTCTTTGGGTATTTTCTTCATTCTCCGCAGCAGACCCCTCAGGTCCGTAATGCCGTACATGAATGCAATCTTCTCATACTCATCCGGTCGGGCATTTTTTAAGATGTCCCAAACATCAACCTCTGGGGTGTCGTCCGGTTTAGGCTCTCTGGTGATCCCACATAATAACAGTATGAGCGCAAGAGCAAGAGAAGGCTATTAGCAACGTGTCCTGTGGAACTATTCTCACATACAGAAAAGAACAGCTTTATTCCTCAGGACATGTCACACAAAGAGATGGGCATGGTCCTAATTTAGGGGTTAATTAATTTGCCTATTTTAAAGCCTCTAGTAGAAATGGACCTCACGTTATGATAGGAAATGATGAAGAAAATAAATTATAATAATTAGGATAATATTGCATAAATGATGATATTGACATGGGTCAGCATGAAAGGGAGACTATCATGGGTCAGCTCGCTTATTATGGTAAATAAAGTGCGCTAATGAACAGACACAGTTTTATACACTTCTTTGCGACTCAACACGTTATACAGGTGTGTATGCAGCATACAGGTGTGTATGCAGCATACAGGGATAGAAATAATCTGTAGCTAATATTTAAAATTAAAATGACATGTTTTAAGCACTTGAAGCTGGCCCATCCCTTTGTTTGTTGTTGGTTGAGTGATCACTTCATAGATGAATTGACAGTGTTAGATGAAATGATATTATCTATAAAAAAAATTAGTCTTATCAATGCTGTAAACATTGCAAATTATAATACACAGCATGGTTAGTTCAAAAACATTCGGCTCTTTTAAATTAGACATTTTCCCAAATGTCTAAATTGTTGAAAAGCAAAAGGCTAACTTGGTTCTGACTTGATGTTTTTCATTTGTTTGTTTTCAGGCAAGTATCAAGAAGCTGAAAAACAAATGAGTTGTCTTATACATTTCTAAAGTGAAACAATAATGACAATGTAGCAGTAACACTATTTCACATCATCATTCCTTGGGGCCCTTCCGTCTACGCAGTGATTCAAAATGAAGCATTCTGTGTCATTCAAGAGATGAATTGCATCATTCAATGAAATTCAGTCAGCTTTCATGATACAAATCCATTTCCATCACTCTTTGTGGAGGGCAGGCCAAGTAGGAATGCTGTGTCCAAATGAAGTGTTACTGGACTACAGAAGGCCAACACTCTGTGTGTTCGATTATGTACTAGTTCTACATTATGTCATGCTGGGGATACTACGGGATTACTCACCGCAGTAAGGTCTAATAGCTTAATAACTTATGGATTTCACTCCACTAACCTTTGATGTCTGAATATGTAGGGAAGAACAGAAACAAGCCCAAAGTAAATGTATAAATTAGGTGGTGATTACTCTTTGCCTTTTGAGCTAACATTCATACCCCAAAGTCGTCAGATAAAGCCTACAGTAAACCTATTGGACCACCACAAAAATGAATAAAAAGGTTCAGCAGGATCTGCAGTCAATATTATATTCTACTGGTTGTATATAGGCTTATTACTTATTAACATACCAACTGGTGCTTGAAGACTTAAAAAAAAACTGTGAGATTAAATAAATACAAATACTATAAAAACAAACATAAATCTAATACGGAAATGAATAAAATAACACTCAGAGCTGGCTTTGATTCTCACCTATGTTTAAGGAGACCACTAAAGTCAAGCTCCCCTGCATCTTCTTGTCCTTCACTGCTGTTGTTAACGAGAAGAGATTAATGAAGACTTAATAAGGAACATACAAAACAATGTTTAAAGAACAGCACAAAGCAACTGCTCTGAGGCCAACTGATTATTAGCTTGTAACGCTAACACAGTTGGGGCTTTCACAAAACTGTTATGATCTTTTCAGGCTGAAGGTGTGATTTGTGTAAGACTCAGAGCGCTCCCAGTCACATACACAGTGTTACTGCAATGTCTATTCAACATTACTCTGTATCAACATTGTGATCATGATGTGCTAAAACTGGGATGCTTTGCGTTGTTTTCAACGTACATTGTTTAATGGATCTGAAAAGCACAAGATGGCCTTTCAATAATATATATTAGGTAGTTTGAATGGCTTGATTATTTTTTTTTTCATTTTTTTTTCAATGTACATTTTTCAAGTAACAAAAATAGTAGATTGTATTTAGCTTAACAGAAAAAGGGTTGTTCAGTAAATCATGAGCATTTTATTTTACCTCCTTTTAAAAGCTGAGCGAATGTCAATGTTTTGGGAACTCTGTTCAGTTTCTGCAAAAGAGTACACAGTGTATAGGCGCAAGGGTCAATATTTCACTAACATATTGCACTGGACCAACCTTTGATGTCTAAGTCAAAAGAGCAGCTGTCAAACTTGTCTTTGTAGGTGACTTCACACCTGTAGTTTCCAGCATAGTTCTCTTTGGCTTTTATAATGTGCATCTCAAACGTGTGTATCTGCCAGAGAGGAAACATCCACATTTTTCAGCACAAATCATATACAACCTTTTCTGATCAAAATGTTAGTCCTGGTGTAATATTGACTCTCATTTGGGTTGCCAGTTTTATCTGATGTAAATTAGTGTTCAGAGATGGACCAGCAATGTTTAAGCTTAATATTCCCAAAACAAACTGGCAACACAGGATAGTATTTGTAATAACATTATAAAACCAGCAAGGACAAAACTATGAACCAGCATAAACATTACTTTTAGTAGTGTACCTTTGTAAATCTGTCAAAAGTTTCTTTGAGTTGTAAATGCTTTCCTGTCTTGCTGGCAAGATCCATCCATTTTCCCTTGAACCACTTGATAGTGGGCTTACGAAGAAGATCTTTAGCCTCCACTTTAGCCACAAAGCTAATGTCCCCTCCTTTGAACAAATATTTTTTGCTGTCAAAATTAGAAATCCGTACCAATGTGTCTTCAACATTTCTTCAACACTTACCCACGGGAACAGTGGCGCTCTGGGGTCTCTCTATCAGCAGAGTGGACAGTGGTGGTGTGTCAATGGGCTTGTCCAGATCCTCTGGGGACTGACCCTCTCCCAAAGACCACACTGTTCAATTTGAAAGAAAAGAAATATTTTTGACTCAAAGTTGCACATAATATTAACTTACATTATCAACCCACCTGCAAGTGTTACCAAAGACAAAATAAAAGTTAAAAGTTATGACAGTTTTTCACATTGCACCTGCACCATGAAAAAACCCAACAGTCTTTTGAAAAGCTTCAAAATAAAGACATACATCTTCAACTTCACTATCACCCTTTACAGTAAACATGTCTGATGTTGGTCTTGTTCCAATGCGCCTGAAAAATAAGATGTTTGAATACCACTTCATTACCTGAGTCCTTTCTCCCCATTGCAGGCACAGGAACACTATCATCTAAACAAAAAGAGAAATTTACAGCATATTGTAAGAAATATTACTGTAAAGTCCACTTAAGCAAACAAACACTCGTGGGGTTAACCATCAAGCAGTTATACCTTTGCATGAAATTGACAATCCTGGTATTAGAACGTAATGTTTTATTATATTCAGTTTAACACCTTATTTAGAGCTATGTTTAGGTTTTTAGGATTCTAGGATGTTTAGACGTCTCCAACCAATGCATGTTAACTTGTTAGAAAATGAAAACTCTGATCTAACTCCGGTTTAGGTCTAGACACACGTTTTTTTGTGTTTCAGGCGTGGCTCAGTTTGTTGATAAGTACGGAAACAGTGCCAGGATTGAACAGAGGGCTTACTAGGCAGATCAACGGACAGTTTCTTGACTGAATTGGCATCTTCTGTGAAAAAAGCAAAATGATCATTGATGTTAATTATAATCTGAGTGTGTGAGAGTATGAATGACCCTGCTAAGGTAAGCCAAGCAGGCCCTTGTATGCCTCACATACAAAGAGTATAATTTGCTGTGTACAAAAAAACAAGGCTTGAAAAGAGAGAGTGTTAATTCTATAGAGTTGCAGGTTTGCCTCTTGTCCTGCACACAAAAGTACCAGGCATTCCCTGGAAATGTAATAGATAACAGAAGCTCTTTCAGGATATTATGAAATAAAAGATATTATGAAATGGACAAAGTAGTGACAAAAACAACCCACACACAGAATTCACAAAATAAATACCTTTGTATGTATTTTGCACCCATTCTGAGATATGGAGTAACATTACGTCCATATCTGATAATAACAGAGTTACAGGCCTCCTGGCAAGTTTAAATCACACCTGCATTGGATGTATGCTTGTGGCGTGTAGCCACATACATCTGAACATTTACCAAAGAGAATTCCAGAGGAGGTTTCAGAAGCTTTGACTTTGTACCAACCTGCTGTTGAGGGGGCGCTATTGGCTGCAGGAGCATCTTCACCTGCAATAAAGTTTTGATTGACAAATAGACGCACCTATAATTTCCATCAGAGAATGTGGGCCGCTGATCACACATGCAAAACACAATCTTCAACATGCAGCTCTCAGACAGAAGTATGTCCAATTCTCACTTTAAACTGAAATAAGACAGTAAAAGCACATCATTATAAAATATGCCTACACATGTTGTGCACAGACAATGTGTGTGCAAAAAGAAACTTTCTTGTGTTTCCTCTGATTTTATTAAATATGTACTGTTATCCTATTTAACGTTGAATTTTGAGAAAAAAAACAACTATTGAGCACAAGCTACATCAACCCTTTACTTAAAAAAAAAAAGTATGTGTAAGGCCAAATTCTTGATATTTTTGCCAGTTTCATATTTTTTTATGGTTTTTGCCTATTTTTTTCACTATGAAGACATGCACAAAAAATCTCACATGGGGGTGTTATCAAGTGTGTTAGGTTTGGAGAAAACAATTGATGAAATTAACAAGACTGTCGAGACACGCTGACTCGATAACTCCCCCAAGAAATTTCACATTTTCAAAGCCTATGGTAGCCAAATGAACAGTGAGTCTAAAACTCGCTTGGAGCCTCGCTCTCGATGGCATGTAAGTTTTCCTGCCAATTTGACTTTTTATCGCAGTGATCAAGACAAATTGGAGTTATACAATTCTCAAGAAACAGTTTTCATCCCTCACCATGGCAAATAACTCCTTCATTTTGTGTGTTTTTGATGGCCGTTGCCCTGAGAGGCTGAAATTAACATCAGAGCTGAAATTCACATCACTGAAATTTGATCATGGTGAGAATAATGCCATACAAATTACATGCCCAGTATGATGCTCTGATATGTTTTGGATGTTCTGATTGGCACCAAAATCGTAAAATCTTTACTTACATACCTGCAAAATATTTCATTATGCAGAGGGTGTATGTCCCACGGGTGACAAGTGCACAGAATCCTTTAAATGAGCTTTAATCTTGGTCTGATCAGGCTACAAATTCATTGCAAATGTACAGTAGTCCACATATCAGACTGGCGCCTGGGAGTCGTGGCAAGGGTTCTAATCGCTGCTTCCTGATTCAATGGTTATTTTTTTGCGTGTCTGCATTTATGTTTTATTGTATCAAAGTTGTATAACTAATTTGTATACAACTCAACAAGGCTATTAGTTGGGATGACTGCATGGTTTAGTATATACACAAATGATGTTATTGTGCAGAACAAGCATATCGTAGTGTTTCATTAGAAAGCTTGTTAATTGAACGTGCAAATTTAGGAGACACAAGAGACTGATAGTGGTTTACTTACCAGCGGGAGGGGGAGAGCAAGAACTCTCCTCCTTTACTGCAGAGGTCTGAAGCTCTGCCTGTTTCAGCCTCATCTCACCACACTGAGGCTCAGAGCCATTCTCTGTGGGGCTTGGCTCTTTAGCTACAGTTAAAGGCTGAGTCACCGTTGGCTCTGGTTTCCTCTCAGTCTCTACAGGCTCTTTCTCCTCTGTTATGGCTTCTGTTATGGGCTCTGTACAGCAGACAAAGCGCCAAGCTAGAGCAGCAAGCATCACACAAGATATAGCAGCATTGCAGTAAAATGCTTGCTTCAGGCTATATTTAATGACCAGATAGCACATGGTCTATATGTCCTTATTTCATATCGACAACTTTCTGGTCATCAAATATCTGGCTAAGTAGTTAATCAGAGGAAAAAATTACCAACTTGACTTGTGGGATTTAAAAAGACCATCCATAACAAAGCAAGTGGGTAAAAGATCTCCATGTAAAATTCCAACATTAGTTTTATAACTCATGCACTTCAAGACAACTGCAATTAGTAATTTAAAATATCCTGATTCAAAGTTGTGCCTCCTAGAACAGGCATGGCAAACACTGATATAATTTTCAATTCTTATTATTGTCTTGCAGCATTAATAAGAGGTTCCCATTTCCGCATGAAAATAACATTATTTAATTCATTCGCAACATTTCCCAAATAATAAGGACAGGTTGAATACATATATATATATATATATATATATATATATATATATATATATATATATATATATATATATACAGTGCCTTGCGAAAGTATTCGGCCCCCTTGAACCTTTCAACATTTCGCCACATTTCAGGCTCAAACATAAAGATATAAAATTTAAAATTTTTGTCATGAATCAACAACAAGTGGGACACAATCGTGAAGTAGAACAAAATTTATTGGATAATTTAAACTTTTTTAACAAATAAAAAACTGAAAAGTGGGGCGTGCAATATTATTCGGCCCCTTTACTTTCAGTGCAGCAAACTCACTCCAGAAGTTCAGTGAGGATCTTTGAATGATCCAATGTTGTCCTAAATGACTGATGATGATAAATAGAAAGCACCTGTGTGTAATCAAGTCTCCGTATAAATGTACTTGCTCTTTGATAGTCTCAGGGTTCTGTTTAAAGCGCAGAGAGAACCATGAAGACAAAGGGACACAACAGGCAGGTCCGAGATACTGTTGTGGAGAAGTTTAAAGCCGGATTTGGATACAAAAAGATTTCCCAAGCTTTAAACATCTCAAGGAGCACTGTGCAAGCAATTATATTGAAATGGAAGGAGTATCAGACCACTGCAAATCTACCAAGACCCGGCCGTCCCTCCAAACTTTCATCTCAAACAAGGAGAAGACTGATCAGAGATGCAGCCAAGAGGCCCATGATCACTCTGGATGAACTGCAGATAACTACAGCTGAGGGGGGAGAGTCTGTCCATAGGACAACAATCAGTCGTGCACGGCACAAATCTGGCCTTTATGGAAGAGTGGCAAGAAGAAAGCCATTTCTCAAAGATATCCAATAAAAGTCTCGTTTAAAGTTTGCCACAAGCCACCTGGGAGACACACCAAACATGTGGAAGAAGGTGCTCTGGTCAGATGAAACCAAAATCAAACTTTTTGGCCACAATGCAAAACGATATGTTTGGCGTAAAAGCAACACAGCTCATCACCCTGAACACACCATCCCCACCTCAGCTGTAGTTATCTGCAGTTCATCCAGAGATTAAGAAACAATTGTGACCACAACCACAAAATGCACTCGTGATGTGAGTGTGTATTGAAGGTTCATTCAGCGTTACCCACCTGGGGGCGGAGACACCTCCAAGGAAATCTCAGGTAAAGACGGGGCGCCATTACTTTCCAAGGGAACACTTTCCAAGGGAACACTTTCCAAGGGAACACTTTCCAAGGGAACACTTTCCAAGGGAACACTTTCAGGGAAAACGGTGTCGGGGGCAACCGTGTCTGAGTGTGTGACAGATATAAAATGCTGACATACAAAATAAATGGATGCACCGGATACTTACAATACCACAGCTTCTACAGTATTGCACAAGCAAAATATTGTGACATTTCAGATTGTGTTTGAATAATATCCACAAAGATGCCCACAGCTAACACCTGAGATTTGTTATGAAAGAGTTTGTACCATCATATGACCTGCAAAGCTATTAGGCTATGTCATACAGTTACATAACCAGAAAATGTTTACCTCATTATTGTGTAAACTTTAACATCTATTTTAAAGGGACAGTATGCACAAGTACAATTATTCAAAGGCTTTATTGCCACTGCATGTTGCATGTTAAGCACGAGCAGATAGGCTCTTTAAGCTCTATTATAATTTTAGGCAGAAACTGGCAACCCAAATGAGAGATGTGATGCAAAAGCTGCATTCTGATTGGATGATCAGCCGAAGATCAGCTAAATTAAATGCTGACCCTTAAAAGTGTCCAATATCAACTGTATTTTGAATTAAGATATTGATAAAAAGTGAAAATATAGATGAGCAATTTATCTACTGTCCCTTTAAAAATACATGTAATAATAATAACAATAAACCAATCGGTGTTACTTCTACACAAAGAGAATATTTAACCATCAGAGTGAAAATACCACGCATTAGGACAATGACTAATTGACTTATAGTAGGACTGAGTGACTAAAAATAGTGACTAAGTATTTGAAGTAACTTGCTTTCTTCACACCCAGAACAAACAAAGAGCTTCATTATAATAAACATTCACAAAAATTCAACGTTAGAGCCGACAACGCTGCACTCTTAAGATGCTGCTGCTCCAAGGTCAAAGTCTGGAGCTGCAAAGGCACGGCGGCACCTTACTCACAGGGGACAAGAGTGAGCCAGCTGAATCAACACTAGGGATCAGCCCGTTGAACACGAGAATGTCAGAGATGCTGACAGCTTGCTTGTTGTGGCCGGTCTCTCTGAGCACAGCAGCCTTCACACTCCTACAAAGCTGAGTTTACACATTTGCACCAGTTTAACAAGGCGCTCTGTAGTATGTCAAAAGTGCTGCTGCTTCAGTGAAACCCCCTTTCATTTGCAAAAAAGTGCACATGCGACTGTGTGTGTATGTGTGTGAACAATTCCACTCACCTTCAGGCTGACCGTTTTGCATCTCATCTGAAAAAGAAAATTGGTATCTGTATTAAAAATCACCACCATAAAGTAAAAAAAAATCAACAACCAATCCAGAGTTCCAATGTCACCAATTTCAAAGTGGTTTCCGACACAGCTAATTTGAATGTACATTGCTCTCTTGACAGTGGACATTTGAACTTTCCAAGTCCAATTCAGACACCTCACATCACTTCAAAACCTTGTAACTGGCTGGTGTGTTGCAGTCCTGCCCAATCACGTCATGCAATCCAGGAGGAGGCTAAGTCTGTCTCATTATCGTTTGGATACTGAGTGAGGAAAGTGTTGTTTTACCTCTTTGCTCTCCCAGTGCAGCTGACAGGGTGCAGGTATGTTCAGCTGTTGGCTCCAGTGTGGGACAGGGGCTCATGCAGGCTAAGTCAAACTGTTGCCTTACTCCCTTATATTTCTATCGTTTTCTATCGTTTTCAAATAGATTATTGCATGTTCATTTTCTTTCAAGCAACTCTGCTTGTGTAGAGTTGCCTAAAAGTCTCCCCAGTACATACAGTATGTGATGTACTGTGATGCTATATGTGATGTTAGTGCTATATGCTATATGCTATATGAACCAACTCAGACTCGGGGGGAAAGGGACTGGCCTCCTGCTGGTGCCCAGAGTTAGGACTAAACATGGGGAGACAGCATATTTCCTATTTACGAAGCTAAAATCTAGAACAGTTTTGTCTGAAACGTGAGCCAGGTTAAAACAGTTCTGTTTAGTTGTGCACACAACTGAAGGATTGAACCTTCACTCTTTTTAAATGTACTGTGATTATTTATGATTTTAAGGCCTTGTATTACCTTCAATTCATTGAGTATTCTATTAATCTTAAACCTTACCTGCATATTAATTACATACTTTAGAATGAAATAGCATTTATGTTTTAGACTGTCAAAAGTATAGGCAAAGGAATTGTAATCAAACATTGACTCCAAAGATTTTATTGCCTTCATACTATACCCCTGAGGAGGGCACAGGGGCATGATAGAAGCATCCAAAGGGCATCATCTGGCCTACAGAATGTGGCCAAAGTGTCTTGCATAAGGAAGGACACCTTCCTTATGCAAGACCTTGGCACTCTACAGCCGCAGCTACCCCACTGTGGCACCTGGTGATTGGTCTCCCATCACAGTACTAACCAGGCCTTGCAAACATCTACAACTCACCTAGGGGACATATCTGGCCTTTCTAGACGAGTGGTAAATAGAAATCCGTTGAAATAGAGCCCCAAAAATGTGTAGGACACATTAAATGTGTGAAAGAAGGTGCTTTGGTCAGATGAGAACAAAATGTAATATATTACGCTTTTGGACTTTTCTTTGCTTTGAACATTACAGTAATATTTGGCCTTCATACACATGCCCAAAATAGTTTTTAATTGAATCACTCAAGTTTTAGTTTAAAGAGCAATCTTTCTCTTTCATTCTCAAGAGGAAGCAAAATGCGTCAATTCACTTTGTGACGTGACACTACATTGATAACGTGGTCCGAGCTGGAGAAGCCCGTCTCCAAGAGGTGATTGACAGGGGGGAAATCAAAAGGGCAAATCAGCGCGCTCAGCCCCTCACCCGAGTCTCCCATTGTCTGTGTTGCCATCAAGCTATATTGTTTTTTTACTATTGTCGCCAACAAAAAGTGTTTTTGGGTGTAAATATGTGACAAAACTCCTTAGCCCGAAGACGAAGAATGCAGCAATTGTGGCTCAACTTTATTCACCGGATCTGCCTCTGATATCCGTGACAAATCTGTTCATCTGCAAGTGACACATCACCAAAGACCTCATCCAGAACACAATATATTCATGTTTTGGAATTGTGAATTTTGTCTTTTTATTAGAAAAAATATATATATGTACAGTATATATTTATCCCTCAATGGGGTTCATTGATAATTGCTTGACTGTGTGTTTGAAATATTTTTTTCTTTCACTTCACAATCGTCACACTGAGTAAGGCGCTGAATGATGGATAATCCCGGCGATCCAAGATGGCGCCCTATTCAAATGAATGGTTGTGCTCAGTGGCGCTTTGTGACGGCATGGGGGCTGAAAAGATTAGCGGAAGTTGCCTGAAACTCGCAAAGATCTATGGGAAACTCGCAAAGAACTTTGGGAAACTCGCAAAGATCTATGGGAAACTCGCCTGTATTTGGGCATCGTCTGGTCCTCCCGGTTCTGCGCAGTGGATGATCTCCCATAATGCGTTGCGTCAAACACGCGTGTGTGGGTCTCACACCAGGTCTCACGCACGTGCACAGAGGGGCTCGGCCGCGCTCTGACCAATCAGAGCAGTTCATCAGAGCGGGAGTTAGAGCGAGAGCCAGAGGAGCAGAGTTTGTGCCACTAAAGTGTGGATTTAAACAAAACCGAAGGATTTAAGAAGAAAAAAAGTTCAGGATGACAAGGGACACTAAAATCCCCACAAAATCCGACCTTTATGAAAGCTGTAGGTTCTCTGTCAGCTGAGGTTGAGCTGTTTTAATATGCATTGAGTTCTATGGGGAAAATTTCTGGGTAGCCCAGGTGAATTTAGTCTGGTTCAGTCTGCAGTACCGCGAGAATCCCCAGAGCACATGAGTTATTCAGCTAGAGGCTAGTAACACCCTATCCAGTTAATATAATACATCCATGGGATAATCTAGCTAAACGAAGAGGGCCACATTTTCAGGTAAAGTCTAGATGCTGAATTACCATAACTCATAACATAGTGAATCATAGTTTCACAACTCCCACTGATGACTGCTGTTGTTGTGTCCTTGGGCAAGACACTTGCCTGAAGCCCCTGCTGAAAGATCTCAGCCCCTGTGGACTCACCACCTACAGGAGGATCAGTGAGGGGCTGGTGCTCTGTGTACTTGGTGCAGCCACCCCCCAACCCAGAAATGGATTAAGGGGAAGAAAATGGATGGATGGATGGCATAACATAGTGCACAGACAGAAAAAATATAGAGGTCAGATTTCTCACTAGTGGATGATTGACCTCTCCATGATCCAGAGAGCGCTGTGCTGGGTGTGAAGGGAGGCAGAAGATGGAGATGGCAGGAACAAGGGATTATAAGTGCACTCATTCTGAACTATTCCAGGGACAAGAATCCTATCCCCAAGAGAGTCCTGAGCTACTCAGCCGCTCTGTCATCTCTGGATAGGCCATTTTAAAGACTGAAGAGTGCGGTGACTAAAACAACAGAGGCCCCTTTCTCCTCAGCTGTTCAGACTCATTTAAAGAACAATATGTTTCTTCCTACATTTATTGGCAACTCTGCGCTATTAGTTATTTATGGATGCTGTTTTACCAGTGTGGCATCTGCTGCATCTTTATCCCCACTGCATTGTGTCCGGGGATCAGATGTTTATGGCAATGGATGAAGTCTTGAATGATGCCAACTGGTACTGATGTCCACACTATTTTAGTTCCATTCTGTCAGCCTCAATTGTTATTGTCAGGCTGTATAAGTCAGTGGTTCCCAAAGCGGGGCTCAGGACGCCAGGGGGGAAGCAAGACTGGGGGTCGCAAGAGGATGTTTAGTAGCAATGTAATTAACAAATTTTATTTAGTGAATTATTTGATGAAGGAACACTATATTTTTACAATAATTAGGTCAGACAGTCAATACAGCTAATGTAATATGTTTTGATGCTTCAAATTATTATTATTCTCAATTTTATGATGTAGTGGGCGTCCCTGTGTGTACTGTGTGTATCTTAATGCCAATTGATATTAATCATTCCTCCTACACTTTTTGATGCAAATAACAGATGAATAAAGATGAACACCCTATAAGTACAGATTTAGTTGAACAGAAATAGCATGGAGAAAAGACAAGAAAGCCATAGTACCCAGGGAGCAAAGCTAATGAGAGAGGGTGTAATGCCATTAACTATTGACAGACATGGGAGGATTACAAATAAATGGCTGATAATCAAAATATTCAATAATAAAAATATTCTATTGCAAATATGTTGCCCTAATTAATTGGTTTATTTATCTTTCTTTTATTAAATAGTTAATAAGGTGGGTATTTGTTTTGATTAGGAAAACATACATTCAATATGAATTCAGGGATGTTTTGCATTAAGTAAATGTGATTAGATTAGTTGATTCATAAAAGGTAATAATTGGTAGATAACTTGATTATTAAAATAATAACCATTCCTAATGAGATTATTGTAATAAAATAGAGGCAGCTGGAGTCGTGTCAAGAGGATTTTTAGAGGTTGGTAATGATGGTCTTGAGTTTGCTCAGTAACTTCATCAGTGTTTTTGGATGGTGAAAGAGCAAGAGTCACACGACCTTCTACACTTAAGGCCAGTTCATCCAGAGTGCCTGACCTGATCCATGCGCACAGTGCCAAGTCGATGCTGTCAACATTCCTCCCCTTGGACCTACTATTGTCTATCCTTGGTGTGAGTCTCAAACAAATCCTTTATGAAGCTGAGAGCTGAGAATCTTCTATACTGTGTATTGTTCTACATGCAGGCATCAGTAATACAACACCACAAGTTGCTTTGAGAAAATCAAAGAACAAACCTTTGAACTGAAGTAGTTCATAACAAAGGAAACCATTTACTTTTTAAAGGTGCCATAAAGGTGCACATGGTTTTATTTAGAAGGTTAAAAATATTCTCTTCCCTGTAGAGATGTCATTGTTGGATAAACTGGTGTAAACCCTTTGAATTGAAGAAATACCTATTCCATCACCAGGTATTGGTGATGGACCCTCCACCAGAAAACCTATTACACCTTTAAGACCTGTTCAAACAAGAAATCGTAAAAACCATAACAACAAATATAAAATGCTTTTTGACTTACCTTTCTTTGTGGGTTCTGGCATTGTGAGTGTCCCTTGTCCCCAAAAAGGCACAGAGAATAAACTTTTTCTTGAGTCTTTCCGTCCTGGCAGCAGAGTTGGTGGTGGGACCAGTTGCAGCAGCAGCAGCAGCACTTCTCGAATCCAGAGGGCCTCAGTGATGTGGGATGGAGACTGTAAATCTATGTGGCGGAGGAGGAGGAGGAACAGAGACGGAACAAAATGGACAGGCTTAAGGGTGTTATATATTGAGGTACATGCTCCTCCTCTCTACTGTGAAAATTTGGAGACCTTAAACATTACTGTGTTAGATCTTTGGCTTTGTGCAAATGGAATGATTCAATGCAACTATCAGGAGCTTGTTGAGCAAACACTGAGAAGAAATTTTATCTTTCTTGTGCAAAGGGTCTTCCCTACTAGTGGTTTTGATTATAATCTTCCACAATGCATACAAAAACTATATATATGTATTAACTTTATATAGCCACAGATGCTGAGTGACAACCTCACACATTTATTAATTCATAGAGCATGTTGGTGCTTAAGTGGCATCTGCAGGTGCCATCCCTACAAAACAACATTCACAGCAAGACAGAATATCTCCAATTGTTTTCCTTTTCAGGCGTTTGACTCAGTCTTTCTTGGTACAGGTCACAATGGCTTCAATAGGGCCCATTTATAACCAGGCAAAGGCTCCAGCTGTAAATACTAGGCTTAGGGAAGTATGGAGGGTCAGCTACAGAGAATACAAAACAATTTTGGTATTGACTGGAGCAGTGGAGATCACATCACACAAGAGCCTCAGCTATGAGATCATACATGTTGAATAAGTGGTCCACTAGACACAGACAGCACTGACCTCCTATGGCTGCAGATGGACACTGCAATTTCAAACCTCACGCTCAAAATGTAACTCTGTGACGCCATTTGATTTGGTGTGAGTAAGTCAATACAATATAGGCTATTTGACTTGAAGCACCAGTTATCTGTGCTGTTGTGCTAAATAGTTTACATTAGCTTGGATAGAAGTATTTGTATTTATGATTATAAAGTAGCACAGACATACCTGTGTTCTTGATAACTGTATAGACAATGTACTGACAGCCTGTGGTAATGACTGTTCATGATAATGATAAGTTCATGCTTATACTCAATGGGAGTAATGAACGGCCATGTTGAAGCCGTTTCCAGCCTCATCCATCACCATCGGAGAGTCAGAGTGGAGGTAAATACAGCTGTCCAGTATTTGCTCACATTTGCACATATGAATTAAGTGAACACTACCGCAGCCTTTGGAGATATCCTGGTGACCTGAGCTGTAGGAGAGCTTTGAACCTGTCCAAAAAGCATGAATTACCAGATTCATGCTTTTTGGTGGTTTCCTTGCCATGTTTATACAAGGCTGTCATATTAAGTTGCCCTTTATGTTGTTCTCATAATATAATACCTTTAACGCTTTCAGACTTACGTGGTTTTGTTATTAAAAATTAGGGCCGGGACTTTAACGCGTTAATAAAGATCAATTAACACCACAAAAATTAGCGCGTTATAAAAATTGGCGCATTTTAATCGCATGTGTTTTTTGGACCTCGGTACCTTCCTCACTGAAACTCGAGCTCCGTGACTTTTCTTGTCAAAAGTACATTATTACAAGCATAGACTAACTTAGCGGTGTCTAAATCTAAGTGATTATTATTATTAATAATATTACATAAAACAATAAGTGAGTTAGAGACATGGAGCGATGGACTGTGTGAGGAGGAGGAGCAGCGAGCGACTCGTTTGTGAGTGGAGAAGGAGGAGGCAGAGGACGAGCAGCGACACAGGTGTGTGAGCTGCCATTGCTGATGTTTAATCCGTATGCACACATCAAAAACGTAATATAAAAGTTTTAGCAAACAGCGCATGCCTAGCTTTAGTGCGTATGTTGTGGTCAGAGTGAGTGGAGGCAATGACAGAAACGTTATTGGATGGAAATAAGTCCGTCTGATCATCCACAATGAACATGTGTTGCTTAAGCTTATGTATTCAGTCATTATTCAATGGTAAACTAAAAATCCATGTGGAAAAAAAAATTCTTATCACCGTTCTCAGGACAACATTTTTTTTTCCCAGCCCTAGTAAAAATATAAAACTATTGTGAGATTGATCTTTGTTCTATATTGTTGTTTTTTCTGCTTTATTAAGCACAGACTCACTCTAGTTTTTTCTCCATGAAGATATATTTTGTCTTAGAATGTTATATAAAACAATAATTTAAGAGTAGGAACCAAAATATGTAATAGTTCCCTGAGAAATATTGTCTGTAGTGCGTAGAAGCTGGCCTGGTGGCAGAAGTGGAAGAGTTTACTCCAACAATATTTGGTCTTGACAAAAACAACAGCAGCATGTCATTACACTGTATCCTTCTCTAGTCATCCATTATCCAGTAAAGACACTCATCTCATAGTATAGTTTTAATTTATCATCTTTCTTGTATTCAGTTACGTTAGATTTCTCTAGAGTTTCTAGGCCTATGGGATGTATTTACCTTTAGGGGCGCATATCTTACTATGCAGTTGTCAGACAAGAAGAAACTAGAGAAATCAGTTGTTTTTTTCAGACAGATGTATATTAATAAAGGGTTTGCCTGTGTGCATGTGTGTGCGCAAAAGTGATAAGAAGCAGCCCTTGACATTGAAGAAAATGTATAATGCATGCTTCTATCTTACTTTGCACTTCAATGTTTTGCATTTAATGTAACAGACTGAAATCATGAACATGTTTTTATTTCTTAAAGAAACTCAAGACAACAATGTAACAGCTGGATTAAAAAGGCTTGCGGCTGCTCTTCTGCAACAACAGCAGCGTGTTGAGGTTAAACTGGTAAGTGAGCTTCTTCTTCACCTTCATTATCTCCCCAGACCTGGCATAGTTTCTCAGTGCACGTGACATTTTCTGATAAGTCATGGGTTTCTTGTTGCCCTTTCGTTCACCCCACAATGCAGCCACCTGGTCCTTGTTGGTGGATGAGAAGTGGAAAACCCCAGTGGCTGATGGAACCCATGAGACACAGTGGGCCATAGAGGGATCCTCCAACAACTCAAAGAGAAAGTGAAACAGGCGCACCCTTTTACCTGTAAACAAAAGTCAACTTACTCATAAAGGAATAAAAGCAATGTAGGGAATTTAAAGAACAGTAGACAAAATGTTTCCTGAAGTGGCCCATTTTCCAGACAATCTTGATTCAGATCAGGCACAGTTAAATAGCGACTGTGATGTTATCTGTGAGATATGTAAAATTCAGTTCACTGACTGATGAACTGCTCTCGGCTACAGTACAGGCCAGGTCTTTTATTTACTTTTGTGGTTTTGTTTCCCTCTGGCTACAGGCTATAACAATATCTAGTGTCCAGAAAAAGCAGAACTCACCACTCCCTGTTGCTCTGGTGGAGCATTTGTGCAGAGATGATTGTGATGTTGATCCGCAGTTTGGCAGTGGCCCTGAGAATGTGCCCATGCGTTCTGCTGAAGGACAGAACGTGAGATGAGATGACTGAATCCTCTGTGATGGGACAACAGATATGTTTAAATGAAGTACAAATTGTTATAGTGTTGAATGAGTTGGATTACTTTAACATGACAGTAATTGAAAAGACTTACTGGTGACTCATCGTTGATCTGTTGCAGTTGATAAGATGGATGTTGATGTTGCTCATTCAGAGAAACAGGTGGAGGCCACTGGACTGAAAAAACACACAAAACAGTTATATGTAATCAAATTGTATTGTGGTCTTCTCTCATTACTCATTACTTGGAAAGCAATATCTGTGACCTTTATCTGGGAAATGGGCTGAATAAATAAAGAGTATACTTACTTACTTATACTTACAATATTCTTGACTGTAATTTTGATAGCACTCTTCTAAAAAATCCACTATCACCTCCAAATCAGACTGAGAATCCTGAAAAGATAAGAGTGCGTTATCCTGTGTTGATCACTATATCTGAAATGGTTACGTACCATTGTTGTATCGTTGTCCCACATGGTGCAGTGTAGCATGGGCCGCTGAGTCTGTAAAGCTGTGAAAGTGAACATTTTATATACCCTCATACCCCTAACTCTCCAGAACACCCCACTTCGACTAAACAATGCCCACAAGCCCACAAAACCAACAGAGGCCCGACACTGTTCCTCTGTTCTGACCACATCCTCTCCCCTACTGCAGATAAGGTGAGGTCTCTGTCACACTCTCAGGAAGAACTCACTTGCTGCCATATTTTTCCTCACAGGATGTGTTATAACTTGAGGCCACAAGGGTCACTGTAGTAATTCATTCAAAAGTGACACAAGTTATTTAGAATGATTTCAAAACTCAAACGTTTGTTCAAATCAAATTTATTAACATACATTTATCATAATAAAACACAGATGCAGCAGTCTGTTTCCTTACAAATATATAGTACATACATACATTATGGGTTCTTGAATAAGTTGTGTTCAATTTCAAGAAAATATCATAATACAAAAACAAGATTTCAGATGCAACGATTAATTGCAAATTAATGAATTATTTCAATAATTCACAACTATTTCAGAAATCAAAAAATTGTTACCTTTCCTATTTACAGACTACACAACTATTGTAAGTGCTGTCAGACACAAACAGAGCAGTGAATACTATACAAAATGTCCTCCAGTGGTTTCACTTTCTCTGTGTCAAATTTAGATAAAAAATCCCATACATGCCCATGCATTCATCTAATTGATTAATAAAATAAAGATTTGCTTAATTATCAAAATAATTGTTTGTGACAATTGTGATCATTTTAATATGACGTCCGTGATTGTCATTACAAATGTTTTCCCCTGACGACAATGACAATAGGACAGTTTTAACAAACAAACATTTGTTAATGTTTCTTGCAGTTTTGTTTATTTAAATGTATAATTAGTTAGGATGGTTTAACCTGGATGTCTTGTATATAAAAAACAAAAACATATCTCTCAACTATACTTGAGAGCTCAGGATTTGTTGCAAGAGTGCGAGGTGTAGCCAGGGTACAGTTCATAGTCTTCAGACATCGGTGAGGGTCCATAAGAGCCGTACCAGTGGCCTGCGGTGCTGAAGCTGCTGTAGCCCTGCTCACTGTGGTCATTATGTTGAGGGCATTGTTCGTCCTGTGATGGTGGACGGAGCTGGGTCATGTTCCCCTGTGACGAGCCCAGACGGTGCAGAATGTCCGGGTTAAACTGGTAAGTCAGTTTGCGGCGGACCTTGATGATCTCACCGGTGCGGCTGTAGTTTCTCAATGCTCGTGCCATCTTTTGATAGGTCATGATTTTGCGGTTGCCTTTGCGCTGACCCCAGCACTCCGCCAATTTCTCTTTGTTCTTTGAGATGAAATGAAAAGTGCCACTGCAGCTGTCTGTCCACTGGATGGAGTCATGCATATTTGGGTCATGAAGAGCCTGGTGGAGATATTCATACAATCTGAGCTTCTTGCGCCCTAAAGAGAAAACGGATCAGTCAATATATTCTGTCTGTTTATCTTTAAAGATGTGTTGGGCAACTTCTGTAGAGGGGCTCATCACCAGATTGATTGCCAGGTGTTACAATAAAAAAGAAAGATTAATCGAAAATGAATGCTACCTTTGCTGCTCTGTGGTGTTGGAGGGATGGTGTAAAAATGGGGTGTAGCTTCTGTGGGTAGAGGCATATCAGACCATGGCTGCTGCTGTAGGGCATAAAGACATTGTTTTTTAGAAAAAAGGGTTTGGGTGATTGAATGTTTTTTTTCCATGCATGACTTTATAGTCCTTACAGTTGTATCACTCCAGTCATAAGTGGAAGCGGCTGCTTCAGAGGGGTGAATAAGTGGGTAGTATGAGATCGGACAGGGCTGTTGGACGGTGCTCAGTGTCTCATAGTAGGGATAGTCTGAAATCATATTCAGATACATTTAGATAAGTTGCAGCCCTCTTATTTTATAATAATATTTGTTTGTCATGCTCCTTATATTCCTACTGTATTAAAAAAAAACTCTGAAATGTCCTTTCTATGGGACACATAAACTCTTATGTTAAAGCAGTGAACAGACCTGGGTCAACAATCACTGCTCTAACCTGGAACAAAATAACTCAACATCTTTTTGGTAATAGCAGACATTTTTTATTGTTTTCCTTCTAATGAAGTAAGATTTTAGGTGTTGAATAAGTCAATTTTATTCTGATTATTATTTGCATGTCAGGCCTTTAAATTAAAAAAGATAATGAAGCCCTGACTTAAAATGGTATTTTTTGTTTATCCTGCTAGATAGGTTTTTTGCCATTATATTATGAGAGATTTAAATATTTATAGGATAATAATTAGAATTTATAGCAATAAATATCTGCAATGTAATTCTGCATTTGTACCATGCTTAAAAATGTGAGCCTAGGTGTGAATAATGAGATCTGTCATACCTGAATGATCATAGTAAGAATTATTTGAATGCTGTTTAATAACATCAATTGCATCCTGGAAGTTTTGGTTAAAATCGCCATCTATGGAACTCTAAAACATACAAAAGATCAATATTATTAGATTCTACAAGCATGTTCACATAAAATAGAATAGGTTAGGTTCTTGTTTGACTTACCATGTTATGTAATTCTTCCTTCTGAGGAAGACCACTTATGCCCAATATGATGTGTGCAACGATTAGCCAGGGGCTTATATACTGGGCCTGGTCACTGTTTCTAACGTCACTTTTTACACATACACTTCTCTTTTTTGAAAGAATAGATCAGATACACATCTAGGTATATCACTGCTTACAATCTGTAAACATTAAGCTCTTTTACTGGCCACATAACCTTTTAATAATATGAATTATGAGCAATCCCAGGATTTGCATGTTATTAGGTTATCATCAAACCCTAGTCATTTGCGGTCTTTGGCAAAACTGCTGTGTAAATGTAAATAAACCATTTGCATGAAATACATCATAGACATTGGTGGGCACCCAATACTTTATAAATGAATATAAGTGAAGTATAAACTAATTTGATACTAAAAGTAACAGTTATCAATACAGGAAATTGACATAAATGTACAGTAGACTTTGCCAATATAGCTCTTTCCTCTATAGTTATAGAAGCACCTTGCTTTTTCTTTCAGAATTAGTATAAAACACAAGTAGTTTTATAAAGTAATGAGTATAAAAACCTCCACGGATTTAGAGATTCTGCTTTGACAACGCTGTTTGGTGCTGAAGTGGATGAGTCTCATAAAAACCCACCAAGCTTCGATCAAGACTGTAAAGGTTAATGGTTAATTATGTGGTCATCACCTGTTACCCTCAGGCTGTCTTTATTTTCAGAAAGTCGCCCCCCCTTGAACACATAAACACGCTTTTTGAGAAGTAATTTTATCTCGAACAGTCCGTTTTAAATATCAACCGACTCTTGATGCTGAAGTTCCCCTTTTGTCCCGGTAAAAGGGAATGATGGCCAGGGAAAGGAAAATAGAGGTGAACCGGAGCCAGACTCTTGCATCCAACCTCTTTGTCTATAAATCCTCCAACTTTTTACTTTGTAAGGTTTCTAACAGGAGTGAAAGTTTGGTGGTGTGTTTCCTGCTCGTGCAGCTCACTGATAAAAACTCAATAACCACAAAAATGCTCTAGGATTGCCTTTGCTGACGTACATAATCCATAAATCTACAATTAAACCCACAGCAGTATCCGAACAGGAAAATTGGGAAAACGTGCATTTTCATAGAGCATGCAAATACTGATGGTTTATTTGTATTGTTTATGTTGCACATCTAATGTGTGCATGAACTAGTTACCAACTAGTTTATAACTGAAGGACAGCCTTCTCCCAAAATGTCCTGTCAGTCCAGGGCGTAAAGGACTGGAACAGAATACCAGCATCAGTGAGGGACAGCACCAGCCTCCCCACATTTAAGCATCAGTTAAAACTGTGGCTGAGGGACTCACAAATAAGTGAGCATGTGTAACATAAGTCTGAATAAATAAGCAACACTCAACAGGAAACGGTGCAATAGGGAACAGTGCAGTAGGGAGCAGTGCAGTAGGGAACAGTGCAATAGGGAGCAGTGCAGTAGGGAGCAGGGCAGTAGGGAGCAGTGCAGTAGGGAGCAGTGCAGTAGGGAACAGTGCAATAGGGAGCAGTGTAGTAGGGAGTAGTGCAGTAGGGAACAGTGCAGTAGGGAACAGTGCAGTAGGGAACAGTGCAGTAGGGAGCAGTGCAGTAGGGAACAGTGCAGTAGGGAACAGTGCAGTAGGGAACAGTGCAGTAGGGAACAGTGCAGTAGGGAGCAGTGCAGTAGGGAACAGTGCAGTAGGGAGCAGTGCAGTAGGGAACAGTGCAATAGGGAGCAGTGTAGTAGGGAGCAGTGCAGTAGGGAACAGTGCAGTAGGGAGCAGTGCAGTAGGGAACATTGCAGTAGGGAACAGTGCAGTAGGGAGCAGTGCAGTAGGGAACAGTGCAATAGGGAGCAGTGTAGTAGGGAACAGTGCAGTAGGGAGCAGTGCAGTAGGGAACAGTGCAATAGGGAGCAGTGCAGTAGGGAACAGTGCATATATTTTCGATATACCGCGATACTTTCTCCCGCGATTCGATTATCGATATGCATTTGCCAAGTATCAATATCGATTTTGAAAAAAAAAAAAAATTGATGTTTTTTTTATTTATTTATTTTTTTTTTTTTTAAATTTTGGAATTGGTATCAATACTTAATATATGGCTACATTACGCATCTCCATTCTATTTATCATGAAATAAAGAGTAATTTTTCTTTTATTTATACCATAAATTGGCATATTGTATATTTCTGACCAATATATCAATAATCGTCATATCGTGATAAAATCGTTATCGTGATATTATCGTTATTGTGAGCTTTGTATCGTATCGTATCGTGAGGTACCCTTAGGTTCCCACCCCTAGTAGGGAACAGTGCAATAGGGAACAGTGCAGTAGGGAACAGTGCAGTAGGGAACAGTGCAGTAGGGAACAGTGCAGTAGGGAACAGTGCAATAGGGAACAGTGCAATAGGGAGCAGTGCAGTAGGGAGCAGTGCAATAGGGAGCAGTGCAGTAGGGAGCAGTGCAATAGGGAGCAGTGCAGTAGGGAGCAGTGCAATAGGGAGCAGTGCAGTAGGGAGCAGTGCAATAGGGAGCAGTGCAGTAGGGAACAGTGCAATAGGGAGCAGTGCAGTAGGGAGCAGTGCAATAGGGAACAGTGCAGTAGGGAGCAGTGCAGTAGGGAGCAGTGCAATAGGGAGCAGTGCAGTAGGGAACAGTGCAATAGGGAACAGTGCAGTAGGGAACAGTGCAGTAGGGAACAGTGCAGTAGGGAACAGTGCAGTAGGGAACAGTGCAATAGGGAGCAGTGCAGTAGGGAACAGTGCAATAGGGAGCAGTGCAGTAGGGAGCAGTGCAATAGGGAGCAGTGCAGTAGGGAGCAGTGCAATAGGGAGCAGTGCAGTAGGGAACAGTGCAATAGGGAGCAGTGCAGTAGGGAGCAGTGCAATAGGGAACAGTGCAGTAGGGAGCAGTGCAGTAGGGAGTAGTGCAATAGGGAACAGTGCAGTAGGGAACAGTGCAATAGGGAACAGTGCAGTAGGGAGCAGTGCAGTAGGGAGCAGTGCAATAGGGAGCAGTGCAGTAGGGAGCAGTGCAGTAGGGAGCAGTGCAATAGGGAGCAGTGCAGTAGGGAGCAGTGCAGTAGGGAGCAGTGCAGTAGGGAGCAGTGCAATAGGGAGCAGTGCAATAGGGAGCAGTGCAGTAGGGAGCAGTGCAGTAGGGAGCAGTGCAATAGGGAGCAGTGCAGTAGGGAGCAGTGCAGTAGGGAGCAGTGCAGTAGGGAACAGTGCAATAGGGAGCAGTGCAGTAGGGAACAGTGCAATAGGGAACAGTGCAATAGGGAACAGTGCAATACAATGTCTCATGTCTTCTGTCAATTGTTGTTTACTGTCTCGCATGTCTGTACGTGTTCAGCTGTCCTTGTACATGTCCTGTATATAGTCTTGTGTACATTGTATTCTTTGCATGATTTGTATTATTATGTCTTGTTTTTTGTTTTTTTATGTTTTTCGTTAACATCAACCTGCCAGGGGGGTCTGCAGATGGAAATTAGCCTTAGGCTATAATCTGGCATATTTACATTGGTTAAATGTTCATTAATATGCATTGTACCTCCTTTTAAACCCCAAATAAATAAATAAATGAAATCGGGAATTTCTATTAAAAGATTGTATTATGTAATTGATGGTAATTTAAATTTTTCTTTGTGATATTTAAACATAAAACATTGTGTCTACTGCATGGTTTATATAGCTTATTAAAGATTCATCCATTAACAGGGTTTTTCAAAATCATCAAGTACTCATGTAATTGTAATAGGGCTGAAGAGTTGTTACGTATTGCTCTATTTGGCCAAACAAACCAGCACCACAGTTCCTCTTCTTAATTCAATAGCTGCATGCATGTGGGACAGGCCAACTAACCACAGCACAGAAAGGCTCTATTGTTCTCTATTTACTGGCACTGAATGAAAATCAAGAAGTGTGAAGTCATGGATGGATAATGATTATGACTAAGAATGAAGCATTAACCGCAGATCCAGATAACAAAACCATATCACGCCAAATCACTATTATATATCGAGGACAAAACAAAAAAGTGAGCGTGCTAAGTAGACAAAATAAGTATATTGATTTGAATACATTGGCCTTCATTTTTTATTAGAATTTCAGAGTTGATCTTATTTTCTTAGTAGGGCCACAGCTCCATAGGCCACTACTCCTACAATGGCAATGAGGGCAGCGCCTTCACAGAGCAGCAAGGGCACGTCGGTAATAGCATGTGTTTTGGCAGGTTTAGACTCTAACTGTTCCCTTTGTGGTGATGTTGCTTGAAGTGAATGTTTTTGTGACGACTCCGGGTCATCTACTGCAGTTTTCCTTGGTGTGAGTATTGATGGAGGGTGAAGGAGTTGTGGAGTGGAGAAGAGCTCTTCAGCTTCCGTGAATGTGGTGCAAAACGTTGTTGGTGTTGGAGGGTCCAGTTGCAGAATAGGCAAAGGGGGGAGAGCCATCGGGGGAACCACCTGCATGAACTCTGTGGGCTCTGCCTCAATGTGCGGGTCTTCTGCCAAAACTATTATCTCCATGCTTTGTGGAGCCCAGATGTCTTCCTCCATCTCCAAACATGATGCCTCTGCACTTCTCTGTCCGGTCTCTGGCCCCTGCTCCTCCTGACTCAAGGGTTCAGCCTCTAAGGTGGGGTCTCCAATGTCTGCATCCTCCATTGTTGACCAGGAGGAGGCCAATAAGCTCTCATGTTGCCATGGAATGTGCGGCACAGGAGTCAACAAGCTGGTCTCATCGTCACTGCCCCCCCTGGACTCTTTCTGGTGCTTCCCCTCCAGAATGATCACTGCAAGGCAAGTGCGGAAGTTAGGTTAGTTTTTCATCAACCCTGAACCATCAACATCTACATATGAAAACAGCACTTTAAATTTTACTAAAAATGAATACAAAATGTCAAACAACAAACCAAAGTTATATTGTTGAACATTTCTTTCCATTGTTACATTTTGCTGCTCCAGTGCCAGCACTAAGTCGGGGCTTGGAAAAAGTTTCTGGTACCTTATTATAGCCCTGGCCTTCATATTTTGCTATCTTTAGTAACTGCACATTCCCATCTGTTTAGAGCAGTGGAAGCTATTCAAGTTATATGTGAAAGGCAGGGTTAGGGTCTATATATAGGGAAATCTTTATTTCAACACTTTGTTATTGTAAGAATAAAACATTTGATTAAAGTAAACACATAACCTTGACAACATTTTTAATTTCAGATTCAAGGAAATGATAAATAGGCTGTTATAATGGTAATGGTAAAATTGTATTGCATTTTTGCATTTCTCATTTACATACAGAAATACTAATTATGTAATGACTCTACCACATACAGGTTTCCATTATGAAACGAGTATTTTGTTATTATTTTTTTACACATATTTAAGTGGGCAAACTGACATGGGCAGGCAGTAGTCTTCAATCACACCCACCAATGTATAACCCCAGGCTCATAGCTATTACGCATACATAACTTTTGTATTCTTGCCCACTCTGAGGAAAGGTACAATCGTCATTAATGTACCATACCTGCGTCTTCAAGGTGGCGAGGCCTAATGTGTTTGGTGAAAATCTGAAGAAAGGAAAATTAAGAGGAAAGAAACAATATGAACACATAAGCACTGGTGCTGCTCATCACGCTTCTGTATGGACTAGCGGCGCTCTGTCTGGATGGTGTGTCTCCTTTTTCCATGAGATCTGGTTCCATCTAGTGTCAATGCGCAGCACAATAAATCCTGGTTGAATAAATCAAACTAGTGACTGATGTCGCCACACTGACGCGAGCATAACAGTGCAGTGTGATTAGTTTATTTGTTACAGATTTTACAGATTGATCTTTTTAAAGCGGCGTCGCTGTGGCTCAGTGTGACCGGAAGTAAACATCACGTGATCTGACGCATCAGCTGATCCTCGTAGACATCTTTACGAGTCACGACTGCGGCTTGACATATTTCCATTTGCGCTTTAAGGTAAGCGATCATCCAGCTTCGACTGCTGTGAATACTCCGTACGCGTGTGTTCTGTAGCCGTACGTCCCCCACACGCTCCGAGTCCCATTTACTAGTTTGTCGTGTTCTGCTTTTGTCGCCCTCACACAGGCCCCGGAGGATACAGCACCATGGCTCTCAGCGATGCAGACGTACAGAAGCAGGTAACCTTTATGTTCACATCCACAAGTCACGGACCAACCTCAAACTGAGCATGTTATTTTGCTGATCAAGTCGTTGCTCTTGAGATGTAACTTTTGCATCAGAATCGGACGTGAACAAAAGTGACATTGACATAGCAACATGCTAACAGATCAAAAAATGAAAGATTTATGTATCTGCCCATTATAAGAAATACACCCATTTAGCGTTGTCTAAATATGCTGTATATGCAATAAAGAGATATTTTGTTTTTTACATTTTGTGCATGGCTAACCTAACGCAGGCTGGCATGCTCAGTAGGATCACATGATTAGCACACGCATCGGCTTGGGATTGAAGAGGAACTGGATGATATGACCTTACACTATAATTGTTGGGAGTTCTTAAAATAAAACGGCTTTGCATTCACAAATGATCTAATAGCTACATGACATCCATTCTGAGACAAATGTTTACATATATTGAATTCTTAGTGTTACTTTTCAATCATCTCTACAGATTAAGCACATGATGGCCTTCATCGAACAGGAGGCAAATGAGAAGGCAGAAGAGATTGATGCCAAGGTACTGTATTTCCATCTGAATAATTGGTGGATATGTAAATATGAATTATTTAAGGTTTGATATTTTGCCACATCATTTTATCCTTTTATTGTAGTTTTCCATATTTTTTGTTAATACTTGACTAAAAGTTTGAATATTTTTCTTTTAAGGCTGAAGAGGAGTTCAACATTGAGAAGGGACGACTGGTTCAAACTCAGCGGTTGAAGATAATGGAATATTATGAAAAGAAAGAGAAGCAGATTGAGCAGCAAAAGAAAATGTGAGTCATTGTCTTAAGTTTATGAAAAGAAAAGAATCATAAATGTTTTTGGGGCCTTCGATGACAAAATGTGTGTTCAGAAGCCTAAATCGATATGTATATTCCCCCCCCCCCCAGCCAAATGTCTAACCTTATGAACCAGGCCCGACTGAAGGTCCTGAAGGCTCGCGATGACATGATCTCAGTAAGACACATTTATGCAGCAGCTGCCTGTATCCAACTACATGTTTAACTAAAATTATGAACTTTGTTTTCAGGAAATGTTGAATGAAGCTCGTCAAAGGCTTGCTAACATTGCAAAGGATCCAGCCAGGTATCCAGCTCTGATGGACGGCTTGATTTTACAGGTTGGTTCACATTTTTAAGAAGAATCTATATAATCAGAAATAAATATATAAAAATACTTTTTTGTCATCCAAAGGGTTTGTATCAACTTTTGGAGGAAAAAGTAACTATTCGCTGCCGTAAGCAGGATGTCCAAATGGTACAGGTGAGTGGGATGTTTTTGTATTTAAAATGTATTATTTATTTTGCATTGAATGTATTATTCCTACTATTTTTCCAGACATCAATCCAGAAGACTATTCCTACTTATAAAGCAGCTGTGAAAAATAATCTGGAAGTACGCATTGATCAGGACAATTACCTGTCTTCAGATATGTAAGGAAAACTCTGTCATTCTTGGAAAACAATTGGTTTCTCTTTAATGATCTTTGGTTTGACCTGGTCATCAATAAGTCATTTTAAATGATCACTGTGTGAAAACCTGCACTACTATTGACACTGTTTCCTATTGACACTTGTCACTTTTGTTGTACATAATTATTGCACTTTTATTGTACATATATATCCTGCATGTAACATGTTTGCACATTTCCTCCTTTTGCACAATCTGAGTGTCTCTATCCATGCCAATTGTGACATGTAAATTTCTCCTATGTGAGATAAATAAAGCACATCTTATCTTATTTCAGCTCTGGAGGTATTGAGCTCTATAATGGAAATGGAAAGATTAAAGTGTCCAACACTCTGGAGAGCAGACTGGATCTCATGGCTCAGCAGGTATGTACTGTCTTTTGAGAATAAAGTATTCATACATAATTTATTTAGCAACTTCAATTTTGTCTTTTTTTTTACCTTTTGGATCTTGTGCCAATTCTAACATAATGTATATATTTTCAGATGATGCCTGACATTAGAGTGGCTCTTTTTGGTGCCAATCCAAATCGCAAGTTTATGGATTGAGGGTGTCTGCTATTTAGCACTAGATCCATGTTTATTTTTTATTTTATTATTCTTGTTTGTGAAATGATTTTAAACTTGAAGGTGCATTGTGTTTTGTGATGTATCGCTGTATTTTCTCTGTGCATTAAGGGACATGGTTTTACTCTGTAATCATGATTGGTGCACAGTTGTAATGACTGGTTTACTTTGCTGCTCCTTTGTCAGTCTCTGTTTACACTATTTAGTCAGGGACAAGTTAACAATTGGAAACTGTTCTAACAGATACGCTCTAATTGGATCTGTTTTCACAGCACATAGTTATTTTTCCTGACTCGCTTTTTTTCCAGTTTTGTTAACTATGCACTAAGTTGCAAAGAGCATTGTTTCACCAATCCAACCAATTTTTGTGGAGAAAAAAAACGTGTATCCATAGAACTCAAACATCTGTGCAAATCAAAAATGTGTATCTGTCCCAGTGACTATGTGTACTTTATTCTTCCTCCATGTCAAGGACATGAGATGATATTCCAGAGAATGCTATGTGTATGAAGAGATGAACTTTCCAGATTAAATTATATGTATGTGTTGTGGTTGTGCTTTCTTTTCTGACCATGTTGTAAAAAATGAGTGTTGAAAAAAATATAGTATAAATAAATATCTCGTTTCTTCATTGTTAAGCATGTTATCCCCCTCCTCTTACACAGCCCATTCATGCCCCTTTCATTAGTTAGTCACATGGTAGCTGTCAGACAAAAATGTTCCAATTAAACAGTTACTCTCAGGATTTTACTGACATGGTTTAGCAAAAGCTCTGAACGAGAGGGACACAAGCTTTCTGGGGAATGCTACAATTCCTACACATGTAAGTATTGATAGACAATGTTTACTTCTGATTTGTTTTTGAACGGGTTAGTCAATCTAATGTACTGTCGTCCTCAGCGTCCTTTCAATTGTAAACATCTTGTGTCACAATCCTCGGAGGGAAAATGTTTCTTGTGGATTGATAGTTGTGTAGCAAAAGCAGTATATTAAAGCAGTATATTAAAGCAGTCAATGCTGTTATGCGTTCATTATAGTCATTATAGGGATTGTCAAACAATCCTACACTTCTGATTTCATCATCGCATTGGACCACTTCCTTGAAGAATCCATTAGATTTTTTTAAATGTTGATTTTTATTTTATTTAAACCTGAATATTTTCTATTCAAAAGTTGAGTTTTGTTTGTTATACTTTTGATATTTTCTAAACTTTATTCATAATTCAAAAAGGATTTGTTGAAATAATTTTTAACTGAGACCCATGTGCATTCAGTAAAATGTACCATAAGATTTGTAAGAGGATATTTAATGTTTCCTAAAGCAACACTATTTTCCTTACATAGACTTTAGTTGGTGAAAATTGAAATATAAACAAGTCCACTTTCATGTGCATAGATGATAACATTATAAATAATACATATTTTTGTAATGATTGATATAGTAAACATGTTTGTAAAAGTTACTGTTAATATGGAAATGTCTATTTCAAAGATCGATAATAACACTAATTAATTAGAAGGCTGTTCTTTGTCATTCCTAGAATATGGCCAGTGCCACACCTCCCTGATCTACTCCAGGACATGTTTGTGTGGCTAAAGCGGCCGGTTGCCTTTGTGACCCTCCTGCTGCTTGTGAAGGCCAGCTCTGGGATGCCTGACCCTTCTCAGAGGGACCAGTTACTGCGCGATGAGGCCTCCCGACAAACAGGGGGCCGGATGTCTCTGAATATGGCTGAGCAAAAGCTTGACTCACATTTGCACAAGTTGAAGCTCCAGGAGATGTCAGCAGAAAAGTTCCCACCTGCTATGCACTTCTTCAATGCAAAAGCACTCATTCAAAGTAGTCCCGTCTATAAACTAATACAAAAAATGCCTAAAGGTGAAGGAAGTTATTGAATCATATAAATTACAGTATTATGATTATCTTATCATATATAGAATCCAAAACCTAAATTTAAAATGGCAATGTTTTTTATACAAAAAAAAAAAACATAATAATTTTAGTATATTGATATGTATGATAATAATAATGTGATTCAAAGTCTGCTTTGGGTTCAACTGTAACTTTGTTTTGAAACAGGTGCTGCCCTTCATATTCACAGCACATCAATGGTCAGTGTGGAGTGGTTAGTGAAAAACGTCACCTACAGGCCTCACTGCTACATTTGCTTCACTTGGGACAATTCAGTCCGGTTCCTCTTCTCTGACAGACAGCCTTTCCCCAGATGGGACTGTTTCTACTGGCAATTGCTAGAGACACTCCGGGCTAGAATAGCAGACCCAACAGGATTTGATGAGAGGTGAGTTTATTCATGGTCCTTCCTGAACCTTTTCACAATATATACTGTTCAAGTTTTAAATTTATTAATTGCTATACAAATATCCCTTTGGTAACCTTTGTATAGGGCGTAAGTCCATGTCCTGAACACGAGGTATAATAGAAAGACAGTTGCACTACACCCTTGATCAATATTAGCCTCTGTATCTTGCAATGGTATTTATTTGATTTATTCTGTGAAACTATGAAATCTGTTGTGTTTTCAGCTTGATGCAGCACCTCACACTGTTCACTGATGATCCAGACAGGGTGTACCCAAACCAAGACATAGTTTGGGAGAAATTTGAGAAAGCCTTCATTGCAGCAGCTGGACTTATAACTCATGCTCCTGTGCTTAAGGACTATGTGTACAGAGGCTTGGAGGAGCTTTACTATGACAACATTATGTACCTGGAGTTGCGCAGCGGCCTATCAAGGGTCTGTATTTGCATCAATATTAATAACTAGGGTGGAAATAGTGATGAACAAGGGTATATAGTAGAGTAAACCATAGTAGTAACTTTTTCTCTTGCAGACGTATGAGCTTGATGGCACCATTCATAACAAAGTATGGACTCTCAAAATTTTTCAAAATGTGACACAAAAGTTTGTGCAAGACCACCCAGACTTTCTTGGAGCTCGTATAATAATTTCCGCCCACAGGTACCAGTGGTCAAAACTTAGATCCTTTGCTGTAATTGTTATAATGCTTAATTTCAATGTTCTCCAAATTAAATTAGTATAATTTAATATTTTTGATTCATTAAATTACTTTCACGAGTCAGGAAATGGATACTGCTCTTTGAAACTTTTAGGTGACAAGTTTTAACCATGTCTCACAAAAAAAACAAAATTGCAAAATAAGATAAAATACACTATGTTTGTATTCAGGGCACTGGGAGTAACGGAAGTGAAAGCTGTTGTTAAAGAAGCTATTCAACTGCAAAAAGATTTCCCGGATGTGGTTGTCGGCTTTGACATGGTAAGATTAATTTAGAATATTCTCGTGCTTAGCTTTTTAATTGAATTTTGTGTCTGTAAAGGTTGGCAGAGAAGATGACGGGAGGACATTGTGGTTTTTTAGAGAAGCACTTTCTCTGCCTGCTCAACTTGGTGTCACACTTCCATTTTTCTTCCATGCTGGAGAGACAGGTATTCCTTGGATTGTTATGCAAGAGGTTCCTCTAGTATCTAGAATTTTTCATTCTCATGCATCTGGTTTTTTGGAGCTATTTATATTTAATCCAAATAAAACATTTTTTTTTTTAAATGTCCCCAGGGAGTCCTCACTATCTGGATTTGCAAATATGTTCTTTTAGCTAATCTTATCAAAACAAAATATGTACTTTCTAAATCAGTCAGTATAGTAAAGTATATTTTATTGCAGACGATGAAGGATCTGATGTGGACCAAAACATCCTAGACGCTCTTTTATTCAACACCTCTCGCATTGGTCATGGCTACTCCATAGTCCATCACCCTCTGGCCAAAGAAATATCCAGAAAAAATAACATAGCTGTTGAATTGTGTCCCATTTCCAACCAGGTCTGGGTTTCTACATTAAGCATTATTGCTAAATAGGTTTCATCTAGAAATATGCATAAACTAATGAAGTTGGATCCTTTTTAGGTGTTGAAGCTGGTTTCAGATCTCAGAAACCATCCTGCTGTTGTGCTCATGTCTGAGGGTCACCCTCTGGTCATCAGCTCAGATGACCCATCTCTGTTTGGAACATCAGGCCTTTCATATGACTTCTACCAAGCCTTTGTTGGAATAGGCGGCCTGAAAGCAAACCTGGGCACTTTGAAAGAACTGGCTTCTAATTCCATAAGGTTTTTAAATATGTGCATTGTAACAGATATAGGATCATATTTTTCATGTCTCTTTATAGGGCTACAGAATAAAGTACTAGATGTTTGCACTGAATGAAGATTATCTTATTCACAGGTACAGCTCACTGCCCACGAATCCAAAAAAGAAACTCCATGACATGTGGCAAAAACAATGGGACCTTTTCATTGCCAACAACAGTTGACCAAAAGTGAATGTTTCAAGCATTGACTGCAGACAAAATGACAATTATAACATGTGTCAACAAGGTTATTAAATATTTATTGAAACTGATGTTGCTTCTATTAATCTCAAACTCAAACATGTTCCCAGCAGCAGGCATCATTGTTGATGTATGCACTCTGGCACACAAATATTTTTACTACCAAACAATAATAGTTTATGTTATTATTTAACAAGAGATGTGACATGGTTTATTTTCATCTGTAGGATTGTTGTAAGGGGATTATAACAATCCTATTATTTCGTGCTTTTTAAAACATGTTGTATTCGCCAGTGCTGACCAGTGCAATTCTGAATGACCAGTGTGTAGACATTCGAGACTTTAGTGAGATCCAGACATCTCTTTGTCTCTCTGTTCTTGATTGCTCCTCCCTAGAAATAAAAGCCATTCATAGAGAGATTGTGTATACAGTAGCTATTTGATGAACATATATTTTACTGTCCACTTACTTGTTCGAAGTCCCACAACATATGACACTTCTTGTCTTTGGCCATTTTGCAATCAAAAAGGCCGAGTGAATCTCCAGTGTCTACCAGACAGCGATTGTCATTATACTTATGGGATTTTATTCCTCCAATGTTTATTTCTCCGGATGTCCAGTACACACAATTCTGTAGAAAATGGATTATATCGTTCAAAGATGTTGAAGCAATTCATGTACAATTTCACTCTGAAAAAGAACAGACCTGAGGAACTCCATTATGGCAGGGATGAATGATGGGAGTGCTGCCAGTCATTGGACCTTGATCAATGCATAGATCTGGTTTTAGCTCATTTATAATCTGTCAAGAACAATATGAATCATACAAAGGCATGTAATTAAGATTTAGTGAATGTGCGTCCAAGACACATCAACACTGCGTTGTCATGTCGTATCCAGATCTTCTCAGATCCTGTTGACATTCATGTAGTAAAGTATGTGTGACTCACTTCAGTATTAACTTTATAGAAGTGACATCATAATTGAACTATAAACTTTATTCAAGGGAAATTATGCAAAAAAGGAACAAATGTATCTCTCTTCACCATTGTGTAGGTAAAAGAAAGCAGTCCTTGCTGACGTCAAACAACTTATTTTATCAAAAAGCTTTGAAGAAGAAAATAAAGTATACCTCAAACCCCGAGTAATTCCATTCTGAACTTGGTAATACAAAAATGAGCCATCATGTGAAATACTTTACTAAATAATAATGGAGCATGGAATGCATGTCAATTGCAGCTTTACATGATCTATTTACTAAAACAAAGCACAACATTTGGCCACTTTGAGACTTACTGTTCCATAACCCAGAATGCTACTGAGAGCCAAAGGTCTCAACTCTGGATAAACATTATCAAGGTACCACTTGAAAGGCTTGCATTTCAATCTCTCCCTTAGTTTTTTCCTCTCTGTGACATCACCAATGTCTATCCCATGGTTCTGTGAAACAATTAAACACTTGTCACTGATGACCATTACAGTTTTGTTTCATTCTAAACATACCTCACCTCCAGAGGAACAGCCCATACCACATTGACATTGTACTTGTACTCATCCATCCACACTTCTGCCACTCTCAGGGCGTTGCGCCTCACTGTTGCAGACAAGTTTGTTGTATAAGGTTTTTTTGCCCGTTCAATGTGAGCAATTTTAGAGCATGGAATAACTTCAATGCTCCCTCCACATAACCAAACCTGACGATAAAATATGAAGATATAACATTTAGCACTGCTAATGTCTCTGCAGGTGACTTTCTTTTTTCTTTTTTTACTAATAATGCTCACCCGAATGCCCAACTCCACATTTTCTCCACCGTAAATTTCCATACCACCATCAAGTGAGCCAATCTCCTGTAAAAATGTGCGATCAGCAACGAATATTCCCATGACAGAAGGACTCCTTATTATAACAAGAGGAAAAACACACACAATTGTGTTACAACACTATTACTTTTTTGTCTTTATAAAGTATGATTTTTACAAAAATATTGTATATAATTATATGAAAGTTAGCATACTTTCCTGGCAGCGACTGGTCTTTCTGTGCATACCACTCTGGTCTGAAAGATTCGTACATGCACCAGAGTGCCCAGTCAAATGCATGTGCAGATGGTTTGTAGGGAGTTACAGTGAGGTCATCAAACGTGACTTTATCAAACACTGGGGTCAATATCACAGTCCTATCCTCTTTAATGCGGGCCAACAGTGGTTCTGCCCTATAAGCACACTTACAATCAGCAAAACTACAATAATATATCCTAAAATAAGAAAAATACTATACCATTGGACGTTGACCTCAATATGAGCGTCTAGAATGGCCACCACATCACCCTCTGCAACTTTCCATCCAGACAGTCTTGCCTGTGTAAGACCCAGCTGTTTTGAGTGATAAATTCTCTTTATCAACCCTGGATTTATGTAATTTATGGAGTCGATGTAATCAGTCAGTGCCGTCTTTAAGTCATCTACAAAGACAAAACAAAAATAAGTCACCTAAATTATGAAAATGATTAGCTTTATCCAAGATAGAAATCAGATTTATTCAACACAACATATCTGATGTATAACAACCAATGGTGCTATGGTCATCCACCAAAATGATCTCTTTTAGAAGCCATGAGGGTGTCTTGTCAATAATGCTGCGAATTGCCCTCTTGATAATGGAAAGTGATTCGTTTAGGTAGATCAGCACGACACTGATGGTAGGTAGATCATTTGAATACGTCTTTTCTGCACATCTGTAAAAAAGCAAATATAGTGTTTCAGTTTGTGTGAAGACAAAGTTACTATATCTGAGATTGTAGTACTGACTTGTCTGGTCTTGTGTCTGGGATTGCTCTGTTCAGTGGCAATTGGTCACTGAGAAAAGCATTGTAGCCATATGTTTGGAACAGTGTCTCTGCGGTCTTCTGCTCATCCTCTGACAACTCATCCCCCCACTTCATGAACAGGATAGAATCTGGGTATAGTTTCTGCACAAGTGGCTTCTTCCGTTCAACTGTGGCTCTGTTTGCATTTGCTATTTAATAAAAAAATAATAGAACATAATGTATACAAAAAAGGATACAAAATAATAGAAATAACGTAGAGGTTTGAAGTCTATATCAAACACATTTAAGTTGTTATTTTGATAGCAGAGAAGTAGACCAAACTCAATATCCTAATAAATACTTGAATTAATAATAGCTTTAGATAAGGACATAAAACTAGTAAAAACTTGTAACATGATGCACATTTGCATAAGATCCAAGTGTATTGTATATATTGCATTTAAAGATAAGTTGTGTGAGTTTAACAGCTTGCTACAAAAAACAAGAGAATTTTACTTTTCTGAAACTATTGAAAGCTGCAGCAACAATCTGTGTGTTTTCAACAATTAATAGATTAACAAACTCCCCTGTTAAGTTGCCATTAGGACACTCCTCCAATGCCAAGTGTAATGAGTTTGCACAGTTTTTCCGAGACAAGGTTCAGGGTATCAGAAACGCCATCACCTCCACAACACAAGTGACAATGCAACAGTAAGTGAGGCATTTTGAGCTACCTCATTTTGCACCTGTCGATGATGAAACTCTTCAAAAGATAATCAGAGGTCTGAGTTTCTCTACCTGCAACCTGGATGTACTACCCCCAAGATTTCTGAAGTCTGTCAGGCCCCTCTTAAAAAAGACCAGTCTGGATGCTGCCGTACTTAAAAATGACCGTCCCATCTCAAATCTGCCTTTTATGGGAAAAAATCTTGAAAAAGTTGCAGACAAACAACTTGCTGAATTTCTAATGACTAATAACTCAGTTTATATGTTCCAGTCTGGCTTACCCACCACAGCACTGAGACCGCTCTAGTCACTAACACTGATGCAGGAAAAGTCTTGGTTTTAGTCATGTTAGGTCTGAGTGTCACCTTCGACACAGTCGACCATGAGATTCTCTTACAAAGACTAGAGGACTGGGTTAGTGTCGCTGGCACCGCTCTACGCTGGTTTAGGTCTTTCTATCCTATCTAGAGGAGAGAAAGTACTGTGTGGAAATTGGAAACTGTGTCTCAGATAATATGGCCCTGACCTGCGGAGTGCCACAGGGGTCGATCCTGGGACCTCTTCTGTTCAATGTCTACATGCTGCCATTAGGTCAGTTAATACAAAGTACCAAAGTGTCCTACCACAATTATGCTGATGACATTCAAATCTATGTCTGCAGCTGCAGCTCGAGTCCTGACTAGATCCAGGAAGTATGATCACATTAGTCCAGTCCTCAGGTCTCTGCACTGGCTTCCTGTGGCTCAGAGAATAGACTTTAAAACAGCTCTGCTTGTGTACAAGTCTCTCCATGGCCTCGCACCAAAGTACATCCATGACATGTTAGAGCCATATGACCCAACTCTGAGGAGCATGAGGACGGGACTCCTGCTCGTGCCCAGAGTCAGAACTAGACATGGGGAGGCAGCGTTTTAGATTTATGAAGTTATGGTCTGGAACAGTCCTCTTGAGGATGTGAGACTGGCTGCCTTCCTGGCGATGTTCAAATCCAGGTTAAAGACTGTTCTTTTTGCCTGTGCATACAACTAAAGAATTTAAATTAATTTAATGCACCGTTATTTATTATTGTAATCCTTTGTGTTATTTTAATGTTTTTAATTACCTGTGTGAATTTAATGTTGATTTTGTCTGTTTTTAATGTGATTTTTGCCTTGTGTGGTGTGGACTGTGAGGCGCTTTGTCTTGCTCTGTGTAGGAAAAGCGCTCTATAAATAAAGATTGATTGATTGATAATTCTACAAAACCTCCTTTGATATTTGTATTAATTTAATTCCAGAAATAATGTTAATGTATTGTGCAATACAGTATATATATCAATAGTGTGACATTGCATGCATGTTGTGATTAATTAACTGGTGCCCCAAATTAAAGCTTTTATCACTGAAAGTTTGTATTTATTTTCTTATTTAACCAGGAAAGTCCCATTGAGATTAAGAACCTCTTTTTCAAGGGAATCCTGGACAAAAGTAACATATTGTATTTTTAGATTCAATCCAGTTCTCCAATATCAAACAAATGTGTGATATCAATTTCAAACTCAGGCGGTATTATAACCTGTTTTTTTGACTATTTTTCCTGAACCGACAACTATTTTTACTTACACATTTTATTCATGACAGCCTCCAGTTTGTCCATTCTCCTCAGCATTCCAAGTATAACAGCATTATGGAGAGGGTTCGGCAGTTTCTCTGAGTATTTATTACCATCCAACATCTTAGATCCAAAGTAAAAGAGACAAAAAACAACCGCAAAAGTGAAAATAAATCTCCTGAGTCCAGTGGGCTTCATGCTGGAGGATAAGTGTTGTACTGGGGTTTGTTTTCTCTGCAGATTTGGGTGGAGTCCATCATCTGCAGGTGTTCACTCCCACTGCCATTATTCTTTTGCACTTCTATGACGCCGTTACACGGATGCCAAGACTATTAAATATCCCCAGGGATCCTGGGGTTTATGCATTTTACATCAAACAAAGCAGTGTTGTTGATGTTATAAACTTTGTTGGTCTCTGTGGCTATGACTCTTGTTCCTTTAAAGTTGATGGTTTTAAGTCATTCATTTAAATTGTCAAAAGTAAAAGGTACACTCACGTTGACCAATTACAATTGTAACCTTTTTAAGAAGATACACCTCCATCATAATTTGTAATAGTTGAATTTGACCTTCAAAAATGCACAAGCGCTGGAAGCAAGGCCCGGTGATCAAAGATGGCGGCCTTTTCAAATCAATGGCTTGTGCTCAGTGGCGCATGGACTCACATGGGCACTGAAAGATTAGCAGAACTCGCCCATATTTGGGCATGCCTCTGGTCCTCACAGTTCTACACAGTTGGCAAGCTCCCATGATCCTTAAAAATGTAATCTAAAAGTAAAATTGTACAGTTGAAAATGAAACTTAGGTGCAAGTAAACTTTATTTATATCACTATTCACAGACAGTCACAAATATGCACTCTTTAGTTAACTTATTTAGTGAGCTGCCCTGAGGCATCCCAACAGAAAAAAGTAGCACCACTAGCCCGAAAACCTCACAGTCCTTTCAGCCAAAAAGCAGTACAAAAGCAAAAGAAGGCTATAAAGAAATAAGACTTAAATCAGTATTGATCTTCATCAGTCTTTGACCAGCCCACTGTGCAATCGGATGCCAGTAACTTAATGCGTATTTCTTTAAGCACTGAAATTTGTTTTTTGGCTTGCTCAGTTCTATAATGTACAGTGGGTATCTTTTAAAAATGCACATATTAAACAATAAAAAACTCCATCCCCTTAGTAAAACCACTGGCAGGATAATTATTAAATCAGGAGGAGGGAGCATGGGTGGGTTAAAGCGGTACTTTAAAATTCTTAATTCTCTTGACATAAAAAAGAAAAATGGCGTCACTTTTTAAGTACAGGTTTTCTAGCACAAACTATAGTCATGGAAAAAAACAAATATCAGTGACTTGTAACACTGGGGTGAAGTGGCTTAACTCGGACCAGACGGGACAATCCCAGGCGCAGACCTTGACTCGGCGATCTCACTGGAGGACTGTTTGATGAAGAACCCTTACCTATTTGGCCTGTGAATAAAATAATAATGTTCAAGACCAATATATAGCATTATGTGATAACATCCGTCAAGACCTGGTGGGGTCCACTTTTGTGTCCTGTTTGTGGCTGGACTCAGGCATGTAGCAGGTTTTGAAGCGTTTAAAGATGTCGATCTTGAAAGGCCAGATGGGTTGTTGGTCAGGGAAGTCCTTACATCTGTCAGACAAAATAAAAAATAAATAAATCATTGCCTAGTTTTTAATTAGATCATGTTTATACTTTGACCCCCATTAAGCTCTTTTAAAAATGAATCCATTATGTCTTTGTGTTACGCCTGTCTTTCTCGCTCGCCCTGCAGATCACAGCTCTAACCTTCACCGAGAGGCCTGGAGTTGTTCTAATTCGGCTCTTTGCTAAAGTCATCACCTATTTTTGTCCATTCAAACGTAAGACCTAATGTAGAGTATGGACTTGTGTGTGAGTAGAACCATAGAAGAACAAAATATAAAATGTGAAGAAAAGGTATTTATCACCTTAGGAAAAACATGAAGAGTTAATTAATGTGTAATATTTCAGCAGTGTCCACAACCTGTCCATGTTGTATAAACTGCTTCCCATTTATATTGATATAAATAATATAGGGCTGCAGTAAAAATTTAAAAAAATTAAAATAAATTACCATCACACATTAGGCAACTGGTAACTCCTCCTTATGAGTTTACAACTTTTAGGGATTGTGCAATCCAAAGGAATATCTTGGTTACTGAAATTGTCCTCAAATAGTATCTCTAAAAAATGTGTTTCTATACATATTCTTTTATTCAATTGGTTTAATTGTGCAAAAAATGACAATGAATTTACTTCATCTTTAATAGGCAAACACAGAGTGTTTTAAAAACTGTTGGGGGTAAATTTATAAATGTCCATTATAGCTTTGAAACATTTCTTCAATGTAAACAAGTTTCTGTGGACAAGCGCATTGTGAAGTATTCACAATGACTAAATGGTGTGAGCATGCTGACATCCGAATGCTCACACCAGAAAGGTGTTGATAAGGGCCAGAAAGGTCTGGTTAGGAGTGGACTGACAGTACTGACATCACCATACTGCTAGATTAAATGTGGAGGAATCCAATTTGAATATAAGCTAACTTGAACCAATTTGGTGGGCATTCTTTCTGCAGTGATAACTTTGGGTTGTATCAGGGGCAGACATGTTGATTAGATAGTTGCTATGGCTCATATCTGGATTCAAGATCCCAGAGAGCGCTAAATCATATTTTGTAAGACCAAAATGGTGAGTGTGACATAAACGGGTTTATAGGAGAGTCAGAACGAGTTTGTCCATGACTATTTGGGCTTCATCAATTCCTGAGGTGAGGAAATGAATACCATTGAATCATGGGAGCTTCTGGGTTTAAAATTTGAAATTAAAATATTACATACAGTCCTATTAAAGTTTTATCATTGGCATTCCATGCCGTTCTATCTCACCCACATATGAGAGGATTTTTTAGCCATCGCAAAGTGGGGGAATGGCAACACTGGTTTAAGTAGGAAGTACGGGTTTGTCTTAAGTCTGTCAATTATGAAAAGAAGAATTTATGTTCAGGTTGGAATTTGGACTATTAGATCCTATCCCTTTCACCAAAATGCAAAACAAGCTCACCTGGATATCAAAGTAGATCATAATGAACATGTTACAAATGGTAAATATACAAACCTGTGGATTTAGTCTTCTTTTTAGTAGATGGCGGCTGTTTGACTTTTATAGTCTGTTTCTCCTTTTTAGTTTGGGTCACCTTTTTGACAGTAAATTCTTCATCTTCACTGTCATGGTCTCTGTAATCTTCGTCACTTCCTGAATCTATGAAAATGTACATTTCAATAATCATTTGCACTTCATCACATACAAGATTGCTGTGGTTTGATATGAAGTAAACCTGAAACAATGCCAGGCTGGTAATCATCATCTTCTGTTTTCTTTTTAATTATCTTTAAGTCTGAAGCCTCTTTCATTTTTTGGGATTTGTTGGGTTCTGATTTTATTTGATCCAATCCTGCAAAAAAAAGATTACATAATTAATCATCAATTAGAGAATTTGTGGAAATGTGATTTTGTACCTAAACGCATGGTGTCTACACTACAGTTGGACAAATGCAGTGAACGAGACAATGGTTCTGTGTGCTCATCTACAGAAAGAGTCTGGACATATGGGTCTTTTGAAAGACCCATATTCAAGAATGGGTCTTTCAAGAATAAGTATTGAATTAAAAAAAAAAGATTTACAATTATAGGATTGTTCTTTTAAAGTACAACTTACCTTGTAGTGCTGATGACAGATCTGATGCTTCACATAATGGGTTTAACAAGGAAAGAGAAATGGCAGCATCTAGGTCTCGTTCAAGGATCTTGACATTCATAGGTTTTCTATATAAAAAAAAAAAAAAACACATTGTGTAAATTATTTATGATATTCTATTGTTGTAGAGCGATTGTGAAAAGTAAGCTCTATAATTTTTACCTAATCATTTATAAATACCTGCTTTTCTGACTTGGAGATCTTGACTTTGACTCTTGACTTGACACACATGTGGGTTGTTTGAATGCTTCTTTATTCTTTTTACTTGGAGGACCTTTTGCAAAGGCAAAATCCTCATCTGTAATAAGAAATTACAATCTGGTTTTAATCAAAAAGCGTCATCTTTATGTCAACATGATGAATAACCGAGTAATTATGTACTAAAGCACTTGTATTAATCATGTAACTTCAATAATGAATCTATTACATATGAGTTAATTTAGCTAACTATCAAAATAAATTATACTACATCCATGTCCAAAACATATCCAAAGTTAGTGTGTAACTCACCATCGTCTTCAAAGCCCTTGGACTCACAGTAATTCACACTTTTAGTCTTTCTGCGTCAGGAATAATAAGTTAGCAACAACATAGGACCACAACAGTGCTGAGTAAAGTGATACCTTGAGGGTCTGTCCATGCTGAACATGTTGTCCAACCGTCAACTGATGCCTTTGTAAATATTTCAACCACGAGTAGTTATGTCGCTAAACGACGTTTAAAAAAAAGAACTAATCTCTTGCGTGGCTGAAAAAAGCTGAACCACCTCATTAGTTTTAGTAGATTTCCTTTCAATGTTGTTGTGGTTTGGATCAGCCCGCGTGAACGACCGGAAGTGGCGACATCGGTTGGGCCCCGCCCCCTAAAAATATGATCGATGTCGAGGGCATAAAAAAAACACCTATAGACCTTCAGCGTGCCATTTAACATAATGTCAAGCCTTTGTTTGTTTGAATTGTAGTTATTATGACTCACAGCTTGTAAAAAAAAACATGCGTATTTACTTAGTACTGGGCTTGTGCCCTTTTTCTGAAATTACTGCCTTATTGCGAATAACAATATTTACAATCCATGACACTGCTGAGGTGTGATGAAGACCATGATGCTTCGAGAGCAGCTGTCAGCTCTATTGCATTGTTTGGTCGATTGTCTCATCTTTATTTTGGCAATGCACCATCAATTCTCAATTATCACAGTAATCAGATTGTCTTTTAAAGTGACCTGTGATTAGTTGTGGTACACTTTAAAGTGTGGGCAGGTGCCGATTCCTCTTGGGAAAAGAAGTCAGCATCTTCTGAACACCACAAACCTTTTTTTTAAAGATCTTTTGGCTCGGCGGCATTTATCCGCTAGATGGCAGTGCAGACTGTGGTTGCTTGTCAGTGCTCAGTACAGACCATAGACTGTATTTATTAAGTACAGACACGGATCTATAATAATATCAGTACAGATAAAACGTAATATCTACGTCCTATCTACAGCCAGTGGGGATTCTACATTACTTTATTAGGAAGGCCCAACATTTGTATCTGTCGTATGTATACATTTCAAACAATGGCTTTTGGTGACCCTATAGATGTATGGTGGAGACCCATATATTTTTCCCACTACTGGACGTAATTCATTAATATATGAATGTCATCGTCTATAGAAATAAGACTTTGCTGTTTTAGATTAAATGTAATGCTGAGTAAGATATATTTACTTTATTGACTTGATTATAATAAAGCTCTTCCTGTGGACTTTGCATAAATGGTTACAAGGGTATACACTACAGTTATTGAAAATTACATTTTCTTGATTGATTTCAAGGGTACAGCAATACATTTTGAAATAATAAATGAGGGATGGGGTATTCATGTGTTCCCCTAAAATCGTGAGCTTAGAGGCAGGGATTACTACAGCTTTACTGGTATTTTTGTTTGTGCAAATTTTACTTTGGTCAATATTTTATATGTTATGTATGTTATACCAAAAATATTAATATCCATCGAACTGGAAAAACTGTTGTGCTACTTACAAGGCACATTTACAGATTTTTTTACTACTCCAATGCGCTGCTCCAAAAGGCTTAAAGGCACAATACATCAGTATGAAACCAAACAATTGCAGTATAACAAGAAATCCACAGTTTGGAACCCATGGAATGTGTTTTATGATTTGTATTCATTTATTTTTCTGGTGGAATGACGTTTTGACTATAAACAATAAATCACACTGATGACGTTTAGTTATCTTTTTAATTTAAATTGAAATGGCTCTGTTCATTACATGATTGCTTCAGGTAACATCCCCAATCATGAAATGTACGTATTTAAAATACTAAAATATTGACAAACTGGGATCAAATTTAGAACATTTGCACGTTAAGCCTGGACCTAGAACAGTTTAGCAAAGACAGGTCTGAGGATCTATGAGTGCTCTGAGAAGAGTTCCTTTGTTCGTCCCACAGGGGGGAAATTTCGATGTTGCAGCGCACATACAGGACAGTAGTAAGAGCACACAAGGAGCACACACAATATACAAAATAAGTAGTAGCTATGTTTCTTAACTAGCATAACTAGCTGTAGATGCTGAAAATGCTTCAATACCAGTACAAAAAAAAAAATATATATATATATATATATTAGTTTGTCCCCCACCTGCTGCACTGTGTCCAGGGAACAGCCCAGGACAGAGCTGGACTTCCTGATGACCTTGTCCAGCTTCTTCCTGTCCCTCTCTGTGATGCTGCTGTTCCAGCAGACCACACCGTACAAGATGGCTGATGCCACCACCGAGTCATAGAAGGTCTTCAGGAGTGGCCCCTGCACTCCAAAAGACCTGAGGCTCCTCAGCAGGTAGAGGCGGCTCTGGCCCTTCTTGAAGAGGGCTTCTGTGTTATGAGTCCAGTCCAGTTTGTGGTTCAGATAAACACCCAGGTACTTGTAAGAGTCCCCCTCTCTCTGGATGGGGTTTCAAAAAGGAAGCGCCAGTCATGGATAGATTTAAAAGATACTTTGTAAAGCACAAACACAGGGCAACTCAAGAACACAAAAGAGGAAGTATAAAAATCATACAGTTGTCACATGACGTATACTACAGAATAGCAGATGCAATCTTTCAGTTGTGAAGATTGCTAAACAGCTAAAGAAATTTGTTTTTAATCTGGATTTTAGAATTGTAGTAGACCTTTTCACATTTTCAGGAAGACTGTTCTATAGGTTTTGGCTTTAGCCACACTACAAGGTTTTGGAAAACCTTGGATGAAGAAATAATTTTTAAACAGTTGCAGTAGCACAAGTTTGTTTTAACTTTTCCATTAAGTTGTAGCTGGAAGAATTCAGCTTTGAAAACTGAGTTGATCGGGTTAACTCATAGAATCTCAGTAAATGTAAAGGGTTGCCATTTTGCAGTTGGCGAGTGGGCTGCTGTCTGTCGTGGTTTGTCGCAGAGAGGACCTGGGATGTGCTGGTCCATGTCTTTTACTCCAGACAAGGAAGGGCCCTTGTGGTCACATTCCTCCACTCCTCCAGCCTACAGCGTAGACCAAAATATCAAATGCACTTCAGCAAACATTATGGTCAAAACATTACTCGTTGACTCATACATACAGTGTTTACATTTTATTCACATTAACTTTGCAGAACTTGCAGTAAAATATGTATTGTTTGGGTGATGCAGAGTAATGTGCATAAATTTACTGTTATAATAATCATAAGTGTCCGAATTGTTTACAGAAAACATGACATATTGAGACAAACCGATTTAGAACTGTCCCTTATGGGTACATCATCTCAGAAGTTGTCATTTTGCATTTGTTTGGTGGTCAGAAGACAGTTTCCCTTCGACCACTGATGTGAATGCCATCATTATGTGTGTTTTAGCTTCTCACAGTTGTAGTTTGTGTGGGGCACTCGGTCTAGAGCTGCTTCCATATTTGGCTGTTCCGCAGGCGGGGACTGCTATTATTAACATCTCACCAACGCCAATTTAAATTTAAATTTCAACGGATATTTTTAAGGTGTTTATTGAATGGTTTTGATATTTAATGATCTGTATATAGAAGGTTATTTATGTAATAGGCTATGGTTCATGAGAGTTTCAGCTTTTGTTTGTTTCACTAGTTTGAAAATATATATATATATTTTCCCTATGCTGGTTTTACCTTGGAAACCCTTTAATGAAGATGAAATGCTCTGTCAGAGAGAAATCATTGCTACTCTCATCGAGAGTTTAACAAACCACAAACTAAATATGAAAAGATGAACTGTTAAGTGTTTCGGATATCCGGTCTTGTATTTGTGTTGGTGTGTTGTTGTAACCTAGAAATTGCCCTTCGTCTATGGACACAAACCCGGTGGCAACCACAGCCCCGCCACAGCACCACACTTTCAGCCAACAAACCCAAATGGGCAGACAGGTCTTCCGGAATTTGTTTTTCTAAAAGCTTCTCTTCAACTGCGCATGCTTTGGGGGGGCACTATGACAGAGCTCTGTAGCTGTAATTACATTGTAGCATATTTTAAGATAAAAGGGAGCATGGTTATTTTAATTGATACTTTTAATTCACATGAATTCAGGTTTTAGCCAGAAAGGGAATTGTTATGCAATGTATGTAGGTATGCCATTATTAACAATGGCATACCTTCTTTATTTCTTTTGCTGAGTGCCACTTAAAAAATGGAAAGGCTCTCCAGACCTAGTGTATGTACAGAGCAGTTATTTGTACAGCAGTCTAGGTTGTTTTGTTTTAGGCTGATAGTTGTTTATTATTTGTTGTAAAAAGTTGTTTATTTATACAATTGAAATAACAACACATTATAAGTTGGCACTTTATAGGTACCTTGAGAATATATGATTATGAATTTAAAATGCCTGGTAACAGTTGTGTTTCGATTATTTTGGTCATATAGTGAGCCAGAGCTTCTGTGCTGCAATGCAGTGAGTGTTTATCAGTGTTTGAACACAAGGGGGCGTTCACATCTCATCATATCATACAGTATTAAGTAGTATTCATTTTACAATGCATCATGTTCTGGTTCTAGTTAAGAATTGGTTTCACAATTTGTTTGTGCTTATATATATCATTAAGGCATAATCTCATTTAAAACTACAAACATGTTTATCCTTTTGATGTGTTAGAAGAGATGATCAAACTTTTAACACACTTATTGAATGATCTATGAATGTTTCAAAGAAATAGGGAATACCACGCACCTTTAAAGAGCCTCTTTGATACATTGATTTAATGCATTCACCAAGACGAGCATGACAAAAAATAAATTATTCAATTTTTGTTGTGCTGGCAGAATGACAGCAGTCCGGTCCAGGATGACTCACTCACTCAGCAGTATGCCAGTCCTGGCGCTCTTCTTTCCCCGTCAGCCAAATTGACTTGATCCGGTGCTCATTGCACGGAATCACTCAGTAGTGTAAGGTGGATGCAGCCTCTGCACTTGTGACAGGGCTCTCATCCCACTGGGGTGAAAACGTGCAAAGCATTGAGTGAATGTGTTGAGAGGATTCTCCACATTCTCAGTCTCAGGGCTGGTGGCCTGAGTTGGTGTTGGGTTCCTGGAACAGAGCAGCTGACAGCCCTCTGATCTTCTTGCCCCCTGACCAGTGACTGAACCAAATCTTAGATCTTTTTAGCATAGGTCATGTAAA